AAGTCACTTGTCCAACAGTGTATCTTGTAAAGTTGTTGTAAACTAGAAGTCAGTTTGAAAAATAAATGCAGCCTTTCATTTACAGATCTCATCTAAATATAAAATGAACTGAACTTTGAACTAGTTCAAAATTAAAATTGTGAACTATGAACGTGAACTATTCACTTTGAACAAGTGTGAACTGAACTTTGAACTAGTTCATGAAAAGTGTAAACTTGCACAACACTGATAATATCGCCTACAACTTAAATGTCACTGGTGAAAACAACCTGCATAGGCTCATGATGTCTGCACTACTGTCCTATAGTGACCTGCCACATGAGGGGACACGCACACAAACACACACAAACACACACAAACACACACAAACACACACAAACACACACAAACACAAACACACACCTTCATCATCGTCATTAACCTGAGAACGCGCGGACCACGTTTCCTTCCATAGTTACTGCGCGGACACCGACGTGCTCCCGTGCGCCGCGTGTGGATCGTGTTTTCTCGCTACGCTGCGTAAACCGCGCTTCCTCCTGTGCGCCTCTAAACCAGAACTAACCCCAAGACTAAAACCAGGACTAACCCAGTCCAGGACTAAACCAGGACTAAACCAGAACTAAAACCAGAACTAAAACCAGAACTAAAACCAGGACTAAAGCAGGACTAAACCAGAACTAACACCAGGACTAAAACCAGGATTAATCCATTCCAGGACTAAACTAAGACTAAAGTAGGACTAAAGCAGGTCTAAACCAGGTCTAAACCAGGACTAAAACCAGTGATCTCATATATAAAGCATTTCTCTATCAATAATATTTTTAATATGGTTAAGGAAAGACTGGACTTTTTATTGTCTTTAAGTAAACAAAAGTTATTATGTTCAGATTTCCTCGTCTTTGCTACTTTACAGCAAACAGTTTCTTATTCATGGAGACTTGGGCTCAACAGCCAATTTGAAGAGATTTGTTAAACAATAAATGACTTTATAAAGTCACTTTTTTAAAAATCTATATCAGTCTTTTGATCTGCCACAATAATGTAATAATGAATTTAAATGAAAATACCTCAAATCGAAGCTTTTCTCAGCAATTTTTAGATGAGATTAAAATGAGATTAATTAGATTAATTAATTACAGATCATAATTAATTAATCTCTCAATTTTTTTAATCGCATGACAGCACTAATTTTATTTGTGTATTAAGAAATATCTGTGCAATGTAACTATTATTTGGATGGAAACGTAAATGTACGGTAGCAATTTTATGTTGTTTTATGGTAAAATAGTGAAGCACACGGTGCGATTTATAAGCTAAATTGAATGAGCTCACAAGTTCATTGCCCGGACTTGTTCTCACCGTCCGCTCCTCATGGCGATGGCGGCACCTTAACAAGCACCAACTGAGACAGAGAAACGGTGGTTTTATGTGTTTTAAAGCTAGTTAGTGTTTATTTTGTGTATTTATGCTCATTTCATGTTGTTATTGATAGGCCATGTTGAATGGGTAGAAGAATATTCTGCTACAAACGAACTTTGGAAAGCACGTGGTTGGAACAAGATGGCGATGGCGAGCTGGCCACAAACCTTCTGAACAGTACGCAGGAGAAAAACTTCCCTCTGTTGAACACTGCATGATTTGCATCTAAACTGGTAGGATTTACCCAACTTTCTGCAACGCTACTGCAGTGGATTCAGGAACAGTGAATTGCTAATTAAAGAAGCAACGAGTAGAAAAAGGACTTTTATTCTGCTATATACAGACTTATTCAGCCTTTTGCTGAATAATTTTAATTTGTGATTTAGTATTTTATTTTTAGACCATTAATTAATATTGTAAAGGGTATTTACAATGTAATTGTTTTTGGTTGTGAGAAACAGAACAAAGTTCTCTAACTTGAACTGAACTAAACAGAGTTAACAAAATTGTTGGTACTCCTCTGGCAATGAAAGAAAATCAACAATCATCACTGAAATAACTTGAAACTGATAAAAGCAATAATAAATAAAAATGTACTGAAAACTGTAAGACAAAAATAAAACATTACTTTTTACCTGTGGTTCAAAAGAATAATTTGAAAAAAACAAAATAATGAAACTGGCCTGTACAAAAATGATGGTACCTTTAACTTTATATTTTGTTACACAACCTTTTGAGGCAAACTCTGCAAACAAATGATTTCAGTCACTGTCAGCAGGTATTGTGACCCTTTTCTTGTGAGCAAACTGCTCTAGTTGTCTCAAGTTTGAAGGGTGCCTTCTCCAGACACCATGTTTCAGCTCCTCTCACAGATGTTCAGTAGAACTGAGATCTGGGCTCACAGAAGAACACTCCAGAACAATCCAATGTTCTGTTCTTAGCCAAACTATCAAGGTATTTTGGAACGAAATGTGTTGCCTAGTGTCAGAAAGCTTGGTCTCGGTCGTCGGTCACGGGTCTTCCAACAGGATAATGAACCAAAACACACAGCTAAAAACACCCAAGAATGGCTAAGAACAAAACATTGGACTGTTCTGGAGTGTTCTTCTGTGAGCCCAGATCTCAATTCTACTGAACATCTGTGAAAGGAGCTGAAACATGCTGTCTGGAGAAAGCACCCTTTAAACCTGAGACAACAAGGACAGTTTGCTGTTCTTGAAAAAATTAATTTTTTCTATTTTTATTTAATTGAAGCATGGCAGAAATCAGCCTGTGAACAGAATTTACTTCCTTATGAGATATCTGAATATTGCGAACTCTGTGCACCTCCACAGGCTGAAGGAGAAAGTTAATGAAATGAACTTTAAAAAAAAAAAAAAAAAGGAAACATTATTGCTGAGTGCATAGAACTCACACTTCCCAGCAAGAAGGTCGCCCGGGGCTTTCTGTGTGGATTTTGCATGCTCTCCCTGTGTCTGGGTGGTTTTCCTCCCGGTACTCCGGTTTCCCCCCCATCAACCCAAAAACATGCACCATATGTAGATAAAAAATCCTCTAACTAAGGTAGTCCTGACCTAGTCAGGCTAGTGCCACCTAGTGTCTCCACTCAATTTCTCTCCAATGACTAGGTCAGGAATTGAAATACACTAGACGGCTCGCAAAAACCCTAGAAGTGTGAGTTCAGGCACCAGCCAATCAGCGAAGAGACATACATTCTGTATTGGCAACGATTCCCGAGATCAAGGATTTAAAGCCGGAACAAAGAGAATGTTTGGTGAATTTTATCAAGGAGAAAGACGTATTGCCCTTCTTCCGAGGGGATTTGGGAAAAGCTTAATATACTAGTTAGCCCAGTTAGCGGCACATTACTTAAGTCACGACCAAATATCAGCGACTTGTTAAATGAAAAAAGTACTCGCCTACTGTCAAGCGAACAAATTCTAACACTGCGAGGTCAGGCGGTTTATACGAAGTGAAACTGGCTGATGAATCAGGCTAGTACTGACCAAGCCTAGCAACAAAATCATCGAGATGGGTGTAAGGGTGCCCCATGTGCTGCCCACTGCTCTTGAAAGGATGGGTGAAATGCAGAGGACAGTTCCTTTTGGGGACAATAAAGTACAACAAAACAAAAAACAAACAAAAAAAACAAAAAAGAATTAGGGTGGTACAGAGATGGCCCCTTTTGCTTGTTTCCATAGAATGTTCCTTTGGCTTTAATATTCCACACTATGACATAAAATCTCTATGGAGATAACCTTAGAACCCTAACCCTAACCCTAACATTGACCCAGAGCAGGGTTAAGCAATTTTAAGCAAATGTTAAGGTGCTTTGAAGATGTCAATATTTTTTTTAGTTTTCAAAGTTTTTTTTTAAATGTTAAACTGACCTTTGTGAAAACAGTCTGCCCTGTCAGCTGAACACTAGGGGCCGTATCTTGCCCCTAGTCTTAGCGCTTAGCACACGTGTAGGGCGTGGAGTTCTAAACAGGAGGTGTGCCCTGCCTGAATATCAGGTGGAGTGGAGCAGACTGAGGGTGTAGTGTGGTGCGTTTAGTAAATTGCCAGAATCGTAAAAATAAATATCAAACAAGTTCACTCTAAAACAACATGTAACATGCTCAAGGCTTCTTTTATTTGGAAATATATTAGGATGATAAATGCTTAACATTCATAACATGTCTGTGTGCGTTCAGGATGCCCTCCCACAGAAGAGCACAGCTCCTTGCCCGCTCCCTGTATCGGCTCAGCTCTGATTTGCACCGTCACGTATCCCCCATGGCAACGGTACCTACACTGCCATGACACCGGGCATGCTATGCCATTGACTTCAGTAGCATCGGAGAAACATGGGCAGGTTTTGTTGTGTATTTGGTTGTTCTAGGCGCTCTGAAAAGGATAAAATGATCCGTTTCTTCACTGTTCCTCTGGAAATTACTCATGAGGGAGCTCAAATAAGGGAATTATCCAAAAAAAAAAAAGACGGGAATTATTCCCATTTTACTGTGCAAGGTTAGCAGTACCTATTGAGCAGCCACTAATTAAAAACTAAAAGCCCATGTTGGCAAAGAGGTGCATTTGCTTTATATAGTTCATATAGATTCATGTATAAACTCATAGCATATGGGTTAACATGTGTTGTGTGAAAATGAGGAATAACTGAATTCTGCACCCACAAGAGATCCTATTTTACATGCTTTTAATGTTAAAGGAAACCAGAGCACCCAGAGGAAACCTACACAGGCATGGGAAGAAGATGCAAACCCCACACAGAAAAGCCCCACTTCGTAGAATCAAACCCAGGACTTTCTTGCTGCCCAAATAGTTCTCCAAGATCCAAAGCTAACCAGAGTTTGATGAGTCCTCAGTATGTCAACTTATTTCAGTTGTAAAAGAGCAGAACACAGTACAGCTAAACACAGTAAATAGTTTCTTTAATATTCCTTTGTTCACTTGATCATTTACACATTATTCACAGAAACATTTAGTGACAGCAAATACACAGATTCTTCACTGTGTGGTCCTCAACTCCAATTTCATGTTGTATGGTTTAGGGGTCACAGTAATGCCAAACACCAGCTCATAGTCAGGCTCTCCTGCATCCTCAGGCCAAATGAACTTAAACCTCCTCAGAAGAGTCACCATGATGAGGAAGAGCTCCATTCGGGCCAGGCCTTCTCCCAGACACACTCGAGGACCTGGACAAAAATAGAATAGAAAACAGAATCCCTCCTTGGATGTGCATGTAATATATCGGTGCTTTGAATACTGATTCTTTATTACTTGTCCAGGTAGTCTTGCTTCTAGATTTCTGTCTGGGCTGCAGGACCACACTGTGCAAATTGTGTCCCTCCGCTCCTGCTGACTTTCTACCACCATAAAGTGTATGCTCATTTGTTTTGGGTCGGATTGGGCCCAGACACGCAAAGGAATTCATAGAGATTGGAAAGACATGTCTGTGGCATGAGCTGTATAAGCAAATCCTAAAAACAAAGTAACAAGAGGAAGAGCGCTAACTGCTGCCCCAAGACGTGCTCAGTGACATAATGCACCTGAATGCACCTGATGACTGTAACAGCATATAGTGTACTAAAGTGAGATGTAACTTTCTGGAGGTGGAACGTTAACTGCATTATCCCATGGAAAGTTAAAATCATACTTCACAACATTCTCTGTGGAATATTACAGCCAAAGGAACAACATTTTCATGGAAACAAGCAAGAGGAGGCCCTCCCCAAACCAAATAAAGGTCAGGTTTGTGGAAGTGTAACCCCCAGAGTAAGGACACTTGTTTGCAGTGATAAAGAAAAAAAAACTAAAACAACAAAAACATGCATTTTTGAGTACACTACTTTTTCACTCACTGGAAGATTTAGACATCATCACAAAATGGTGTGATCATGACATTATGTCCTACCAGCAGAGAAGGGCAGGAAGGCATCTGGTTTGACAAACTCCCCCTTGTGGTTGAGAAAGTTTTCAGGGTTGAATTCATGAGGAAACTTCCACTGTCCCTCTTCATTGAGCGCTGACGACAGATTGGGGATGACCATAGTGCCCTAAGAATAAAACAGATATTTTACACTACTAACACACACACACAACTCCTGTCTCTTGTCTCCTGTCTATAGACATCAGTCTTAAATCTGCTCAAAAAGTGGGCATAACCTGCAGCAGAAAATTGAGGTGAGTGCAAACATTTGAAAAAGGAAGGACTGGGGCAATAAATAGGATTTGACATAAATGTACCACTAATGCAATGAATTTATTAATCCTTCTTACTTTGGGAATGGAGTAGCCCATCAGCTCTGTGTCTCTGGTGGTCGCATGAAAAACACTCAGAGGGACAGTGTCAGCCACTCTCTGACTCTCATGCACCACAGCCTGACGAAGCAAAAGAGAAAAGAAATGTGGGTAAAATCTCCCTCAACTGCACAGAAGAATACAAAACAAACCTCAGGCTGTGCACAGTTACGACAAAGCAATAGATGACATCAACAGTGAATTTAGTGTTGGTGTGAGTGAATGTGATATCAGTCAGAGGCATTTTATACCTGGACATAAGGCATGTTGTGTCTGTCATCGAAAGTGACACAGTCCTTTCCCTCCAGCACTCTGTCTATCTCCTGCTGACAGCGCTCTGGGGAGAAGACATAATAACATTAACATGACCACTGAAAAATACAAAACTGAACAGTACATGATCTAACCTTGGATGTGAGGTTTGGTCATAAGGTAGAGGAATCCAGTGAGCAGTGTGTTAGATGTGGTGTCGGTGCCCGCAGAATGTAGATTGAGACAAGACATCAGCAGTTCTTCTGTAGAAAATGATGTGCCGTCATTGATTCTCTGTGAAAAAAATGACTGTTAAAAATAATTGAATTTGGTCTCTCAAGATCTATGTTTACCATTTCCATGTTTTTCTACATGCACCAATGGAATGACTCTTGAAATTATTTCAAAATAATAAGTGTCAGGTGTGACAAGCCCCTGAGAGGTATAAGTCACTAAAACAAACCTCACTGTGTACCACAAGCATGGTGTGCCACAAGAGTCAGTATTGAGACACATTCTGTTTATGCTTTGCATGCTGTCTGTAATATAAGAAGAAATTATGGCAATCATCCACAGTTTTCTTGCCACTATTGACTGTTAGACCTTTTCAGTTTGTCGTTCAGTGTCTGTGTCATTGTTTTATACTGTTTTACTGTTGAGCTTTGACCTCCAGCTGACCACTGCCATGAGTGTGTCTGGAAAAACCGCCAGAAACAGACTTCATATTTATAAGGAAAGCTTAAGGTCCCCGTGTTTTCTAGAAATTTCTTGCTAAATTTGCAATGAGTATCAGTAGTCACTTTTTGAAGCAGTACAGAAATATGCCACAAAGAAAGAAGCCTGTCTCCGAGACGACAGATGACTCAGGTGCGAATGGAGCAACAATGGATTCTGTACTTCAGGAGGTGATTCATGTGGTAACGGAGAACCTCACAAAAGTATTTGAGGGTAAACTTAAGAGCCAAGGTCCAGTTTCTCCAGGAGCAGCTTCAAAACCATGAGAAGCAAATCATTGAGGCTGAGGCTTAGATCTCTGATTGAAAGGATGCTACAGCCCCAATTAACAATAAGGTAAAGTTATTGAAGAAAAGCATTAAGGAGCTTGTGGAGCATTTTGATCAACCTGGAGAACCAGGACAGATGGAAAAATGTAGGCATTATTACATCTGTATGCAGAAGGACCGCCTCAAAATTACCCATTTTGTCAACTGAATCAGGCTTCTTCTTTAGTGCCTTTTGCTCAGCCATAATTATCAGGTGTGGAGAGGGACACGACAGGGCTGTCGTCTCTCCCTTTTGCTTTTTGCCCTGGCCATCAAGGCAGTGCGGACTCATGAGGATATGCACTGTCTAAACATTGTAGTATACGTTATACACTGATGGTGTGATTATCTTCAAGTCCCAACTTGATGTTTTGTTACACCTCTCACTGAGACCATTAATAGATTTGGTGACATTGTGGGCTATAACAGCAACCACTGGTACATTCACCATCTAATTATACCTGGTATCTGAAGGGATTTGTATACTTAGGAATTAAGATAACCCCCTCTTTCAGTAAAATGTATAATGCTAATTACATTTCTCTACTTGAGTGTATTAAATTGGACTTTGAGATGGAAAAGCCAAGCCAACAAGGCCTGATAGGACTCCGTCTTCAGCTTTACGGCATCCTTTACTTTCGGTGTCCACCATGGGGTTCCAGGTATTACTGCCACGACAGGCACCACAGACTTTACGCCCACAGCTGGGAGCGGCCACATTGACAATAGAGGCCGAGAACGAAGCCCACACGGACTCCATGTCCTCAGCCTCCCGGAGTGCGAGTTTCTCTGTCAAACGTTCCCAACAGACCCTCACTACACACTTGGGTCTGCCAGGTCTTTCCAGCTTCCTCCTCCGCCAGCGAACCCAACTCACAACCAGGTGGTGATCAGTTGACAGCTCAGCCCCTCTCTTCACCCGAGTGTCCAAGACATGCAGCTGGAGGTCAGATGACATGAGTACAAAGTCGATCATCGACCTCTGGCCTAGGGCGTCCTGGTGCCACGTGCACTGATGGACATGTGGTCGAACATGGTGTTCGTTATGGACAAACTGTGACTAGCACAGAAGTCCAATAACAGAGCACCACTCATGTACAGATCAGGAAGACCATTCCTCCCAATCACCCCTCTTCAAGTGTCACTGTCGTTGCCCACGTGGGCGTTGAAGTCCCCCAGTAGAACAACGGAGTCCCCAGTTGGTGCACTGTCTAGTACCCCTCAGAAGGACTCCAAGAAGGCCGGGTACTCTGCACTGCTGTTCGGCCCATAGGCAGACACCACAGTGAGAGACCTGTCCCCGACCCGAAGGCGCAGGGACGCAACCCTCTCGTTCACCGGTGTGAACTCCAACACACGGCGGCTGAGCTGTGGGGCAATGAGCAGGCCCACACCAGCCTGCCGCCGCTCCCCGCGGCCAACGCCAGAGAATTGGAGAGTCCATCCTCTCTCAAGGAGTTGGGTTCCAGAGCCCACAACTGTGCGTGGAGGTGAGGCCGACTATATCTATTCGGTAGTGCTCAACCTCCCACACAAGCTCAGGCTCCTTCCCTCCCAGGAGGGGGGAGGAGGGATACATCTAAATTAGGCAAAATTACCTTTAAGTTAAAAAAAACAGTGATGAGAAATGCAATATTAAATATTATTATCATAGTTAACAGCACCACATTCAGGTGTGGCGTATGTATTACATCATTTTCACTCAGTGCTCTGTTGTCGTCTGGATGTGAATATTTATTGAACCAACACGTGTGAGGACGGAAATATTTCGGCTTATAAAAAAAAAAAAATCCAGGAGCGTTTGGATGTAGTCTTAGTTTTCAAATTTGGTCTACAAAGTGGATTTGTATAGTCTAGATTTGATGGACTGTCTCTTTGTTGGCCTTTACTCAACTTATAGACAAATATGGAATTAAGAGACAGGATTTCTAATTTACAAATTAGGGCCAAGCTTGTACCAAGGAAAATCTGTCTGTGAGAAGCAGTTATTCTCCTCAAGATATTCTTATAACCTGTTGAAAGAGTACACCATTTCAAATACGGCCCACTTAAAGGGGATTTGGGAAAAAGGGTTGGGGTTGGAAATTAGTAATAAAGGATGGGATGAAGCATGGAAGAATGCAATTTCTCCCACATTTCTCCTTCCCAACAACATACTGTATATTTAATAGAGACCTTTCTCCATTATATCTAATTGTAAAACAGAGACTGGTAGTCTTACACACTGCTACCGGTCCTGTAGGAAAATACAACATTTCTGGTACATTATAAAATATGAAACAGACAGGATCTTGGACAATGTAACCCACTGAGCCTGCTATTTGGATTATTAAGAGATACTTCTGTCATTGGGAAATGTCAGCATCAGAGACTCTACAGGATGCTCACGTTCTGTCTAAAAAAAAAAAAAAAAAGTGTGATTCTGAACTAGACTGAAACTAATCAAATGCAATTTTACAATATTTTACATTGTAGTTTTAGTCATAGTGTAGCCTACACTTTTGACCAAACAGTCTACTTAATTAGGCTCTAGTTTAAACGATAAAATAGGCTATAAACTAGGTACAAAAAAAGAGAGAATCACTAAGGAACCAAATCACTAAGAGGTACAGAATATTTTATGGTTTAAATAGTTACTTTTCAAAGTATTATGCAAAGTATCCACCTTGTCCATTTCATCCAGATAGCAATCGACCAAATCCTGAGGTTGTCCTGGAAATCTGGTCTTCTTGTGCTCATTTATTATAGAATAAGTCATGCTTTTTAGTGTCTGAGGCACAAAAATAAGAAAGACATAAAAAAACAACCACAATAAAAAGCTTTCCAATCATATTTAGATGCTACCTGCATTCTCTTAAAACCTTCTTTGAATGGTAATGGCAAGCAGCGAATGCAGGGAAAACAATCATACAGCTGCAAGAAAACACAATGGTTATTACAGCACTGGACTTATGTGTTTGTGTTTCAATACAAATATATAAAAACTTACAAAAGACCAAGGTCCATTGAGAATTTTAAAATTCTCAGTGAAATTCTTCACAAATTTTATGATAAACTCATCATCATATTCAAATCGTTTTCCAAACAGAACAAGGCAGATCACGTTGGAGGCGATGTTGTGAAACATAACTTGAGCACTCAGACTTTTACCTAAATGACAAAAGATAGATAGTGCAGTTTGTAGTAAACACTGTGAAATGGTTCCATGCTGTATTTCAGTTGTTCTGAGAGTTTGGACTTTCCAAGTTTCAACTTAAAAATATATCTGGGTTACCTTTGCATTTCAAAATTCTGATCTGGGAAATGAAACATGACTTTGGTGCTGCTTTGAGAATAATCTGACAACAATTGCATCAATACCATTTGTGTTATTTTCCATTAGTTACCACTACAGTCCCCTGTATCTTTACAGTTCTATTTTGTATGTGCTCTGGATACCTATGGGTTTCTCTATTATTTATTTCTCTCTGGTACCTAGCCAACCTCTGAGAACGATCAAAGCAGTCACCATGCCAATCAGTGCCCACAGCCTGACACATGCCTGCAAAGCTGGTGCCCTATAAATACTATGCTGCCAGCCACATAGCTCCTCTTGCCATAAGGAGGAGATACACACAGCCCTGATTCTGCACCACATTTTCAGGTTGGGCTTTATAGTGATCAGGAAAGGAGTGCATTCCTTCATCCAGCTGGATTACCAGCTTGAACTCTTAAGGCCAGTGCAGGAACATGGGGTCACTGGAGCTGAGTTTTGAGTCTCAAACACGAATAATAATAATGATAATGTGCACTGTTCTTAGCAAGTTTGTAAAGGCATTTGTATAGCGCTCATTAGCTTGTCTATGAACTGAGTGACACCCCACAATCACTCTGTTTTCATTAAAGGTTGTATGGAGGATTTTTTTTTGTTTCAAATTGTCAATGATAGCATTATAGAGGTGCAGTAGCCTTATAATTATGATGACCAAAAAAAAGACAATAAAAATTCATCAACTCTGGACGTGGTGGGGCCAGCTAAACATTTGCCAATAGATAACGACACTGCCTCGTTATCTGTTAGCTGACAGGCTGTCAATCAATCTCCCTACGTTTCTAGCGTAACTGACTTGCCTGCGCCGCCGGTACGTGGTTTACGTACGCCTGTCACGCAGTCCACAGACGCAAGCCGCACAGACGCTGTTTACTCCACCAACGCAACAGTTCTTAGCGGCTTTTTTTGACCTATATCTTCCTCGCAGTTCGCACAAAATTTGTTGCAATGGCGACAAGAATCCAGGAGCAGTTAGCCACAAAAGAAAGTCAATTTTTGAGGTCGCTGAAAGAAGAAGACAAGGGGAAAAGTAGCGAAGCCAAACTAAGGTGATTCTTGGAGATTCATTCCAGCGATGGCGCAACTGAAGCAGACGCAGGGTCTAAAGACTGACGCATTGGTCGCCAAATTACTCCTGGACAGGTCACTTCTGCTTATTATGAAAACTTACTTTTTTTTTTTATTTCCAAGAGCTAGACAAATGTTTTTCAGGACACGAATGTGATATCCTATGTCTGAAAACGTAATTTTCAATGCAAAGAAAGAGTCTGCTTGCAGCTGCGTGTTGTAGTAGTAGCTACCCCCCCCCCCCCCCGCACCTCACTTCTCCGCCTTGCCTAACCAACACTGTAGTTAGTTGTTTATAAGTCATGTGCAGCGATGAGTACTTTCTGGCGTAAGGAGGAGGCGGGAGGAGGCGTTTCTACGTAGGGAGCTGTAGGGGAGGGGGGGTGGTTTCACGCATGCGCAACATTTGAAAAAGGACAAACAGTCGCTGGATTTCTCGTTCCTTGGAAAATCCTCTAAACAAACTTTAAGGCAATCTCAAGAATTCTACAGGAAATTAACAAAAATCACTCGGAGACTGTGCACAGCCATTTGTACAGATGCCATTACTGTGCAAAAAATGTACTTTGTTTTTCCAACATGACAACTAGAATACAGCATGAAAGTCAGTCCAATATGAAGACTTATTAAAATGGGAATTATAAACACACCTGTGTTTTTCTCCAGTTTATTGATGGTGTGCTGCAGTTCTCCCAGAATCCTCTGCTCCATCGACTGTTTACCCAGACCAAAGTTTTTCATGGTCATCAAAGCAAAGCGACGATGCTCCTTCCATTTTTGACCATAATCAGCCAGAGCTACACCTGCGCCAATTGCACATAAGTAATATATTATTTATTTTTTATTATAATTTATTTATGATTGAAGCTGAGGTACCTGATTTTCACACTGTGACAGGAGGAAGTAGGTATTTAAACATAAGTTTGTTCATACAAACAAGTACATATGTCTTAATAGGCCTGGGTCTGAATATATTGTGTTAAGATCCAGGCCTACATTTGCATTGTATTTCAAGGTCACCCTTGATCAACACTTAAATCATAAAAATAGCCAAAAAATTCTGTTCAAGACAAACCAGAGTCTGTACAGTATTATTTGGTGATTTCAGTATCCATCAAATGAATTTATAACTACAGAGACGCACGGCAGCAGGACATGAGCATACCCTAGGTTCAGCAAACATCTTCATACTACTTACTTTAACAGGTATATGTTTTGGAATACTGTCCAAAATACCTTAAAAAATGAATGGCATGTGATCAAATGTTACCAAGTCATATGAATTTACAATGCATGTGCATGCAGCCATGTTAGACTGGATTAGTCACTGTTGGCATTGACATAAATATAACTTTCTTTGGGAAAGAAGAGATTGGAGAGAATACAGCCACAACACCTTGTTTTAGGTGTTTTCCAAACAGTGATTTGGGGGGGGGGGCTTTAAGGGACTAACATGGCTCTGTTAATGATACAATTTGTTAATACAGGACATTCCCCAGACAAGTATCTCTCATTTTAGGTAAAGGGGAGTTATCTCCACTCCAGCCATTCTAGTGCCAGGACCAGGCCGTGGTAAGGACAGCGGCAGAACACATCTGCCACATGGACGAAGGAAAATTTAAGTTAAAACGCATCTTGGTAAATTGGTCAAAATGTACTGGACTGTGTTTTATGGATCCTGGTGTCATACTCATGTTCATAATTACGAGAATACCACATTGCTTTCCCATGTGGTCTAAAAATTATTATGTGTTCATATCATATTTTCTTGCCTCGGAAGCGTTCACTGTACCTTTAAAGTGTGTTCCCTGACAAACCTGTCTTTGATTTCCCTGCCTAGATATTGGTTATGATATGAACCAGGCATGAAGTATGTGATTTGGGGAAATGATTGGATAACTTTACTCTGAATGAAATGTGATCTGGGGGTCAGCTAAGCTCAGGCACTAAGGTGCTCAGGTGCCCTAAATTTGCATATGACAATGCCCGCCACGTGTGCTGACCAAAACCAAATCTCACTTGTGAAAAAGTGCTTTCGCTTACTAGCTGGAGGTGGACCAAGAAGACCGGGACCAGCCAGAGTTGGACCAGGGGAGCTAAGACCAGACCTGGGAAAATACCTGCTGAGAGCTGAGAGGACCCAGAGACCCGGACCCTGGTGAAGGAGGCGCGACAACGACCGCCTGAGTCGACACCGCCCATGCTGCTGCCTTGCCCGTGCGCGTGACAATGAACGCCCGAGTCCACAAGGACTAATCAACTTCGAATGGAGAAAATTCCATCAAAGTAAGAGCTGGTTTGAACAGTGAATGTGCAGTGGTTGGCATCCATCCTACAATTGTGTCCTATTACACATAATGCAAGCGCAGTAGCGACTTAGCGAAAAGCCAAAACTGAGCTAAGCTGAACTCCAATTCTTTAGCTACCTCATGTTGTTAAAATCGGTGCTTTATTGTTAATCACGTAATCAGAACTTGAAAGCTGAGTGTCTAGTTGTTATTTTGCTAATAAACTGCACAAAGGAATTTGCTGGTTTCAGTGATTTTTCTTGAAGTTATCATCGGGTCACTTTTTCATGAACTTTTCCTTCAGATTGATACAATTTATAAGTTGTTGTGATTGCTATGGTTAAGTTTTGATACGGTCAAAATAATACATGTTAATTATATTACAATTTGTTAATGCTAAACCATTAGACGCGCACACACACATACAATTCTACATGTAGGTCATTTGCCCCTACAAAAATAAAATAAAATAACCTTTTTCTTCTACAAGTGCATTGATGTACACGTCCTGAGGTCGTCCAGCGAAGTCTACACCCTTATTAACCAGAGCCTCCTTCAGAGCCTGGGTCCCACTCACAACCACAACAGCTCTGGGCCCCAAGTACAGGCTGTAGATGTTCCCATAAGTCCTCCTCAACTGGAAACCAACAGAAAAACACACAAACATGGAGAATCTCATCAATATTCATTTGACAGACAGACAGACAGATTCAGGTATTGACTGCCATTATCTCAGGAGCACCTTTAAGAAAAACAGTACAGCATAACATGATGGTGACAGTGCTCCAATGTGAAGCACCGAAAAAAAACAACACCTCTGCAACATACGCACATGATCAAACACAATCCAATGGAAATTGGAGGGGGTGGAGATACAGGTAATACAAAAACACAAAACAGTGGGGGTGTGGGATACGGGGCAGGCTCCAGGGAAAGGTATGTGAGAGAACCTCCCTGCTGTAATCTCCATGGGAGTTGGTTCCAGCCAGTCTTGATTGAGACCAAGCTACCTGAGGGAGGCCATTTAGATAAGATTGGGATTGTTTGGGTTTGGGCCAATTAGTAGCATTTCAATTTTCACAGTTACTCTAATTTTGTCCATATTGAGCTCAAGGTCTTCCTCTATGCAGCGCTTCCCGTTTCTCCAAAATGGTATCCAGAGCCACTGTTCCATCCAACCTGCGGTAAAGCCTTTCAGTGATGTTTTCCAAAATGTGGTACAAAGCTGCAGATCCCACCTGCCCCCCAATTCAATCAAACTGGCCAGTCAAGTGGGGCTTTGAGCAGCTGCCTCAGTAATCCAAACTTTTTCAGGGCATGGCCCTGATCTAATCCAATCAGCAAAAGTCCTGTAATTGTGGTTCCGAATAGGTAAATATCTTGTATGTCCTCCACATAAGGAACTGCCAGATACATGCCACGCCACTTATGCCAACTGTCCATTGTGTTACACGATGAACAATTGCTGCTGCAAATGTCCTGGGAGGGCAAGCGGGTTTTCACAAAACTGCGTTCCTCCTTGAAAAAAATTGTGTCAATTGTGCTGAGAGACCAACTGATCAAATCTATAATTAATTTAGGTTTGGAAGAGCAGAGCAGAGAGAGTTTCTCAAAAGTATAAGTCACTAGACTAGACAAGACAAAGAAGCAAAGCAGGGAAGATAAGGGGCAGGAGAGGAGAGTAAAAGTGCATCCGCCCTTGCCAAGTGCCAGAGGAGAAGACACTGACCGTATTCCCTCATATAATTCTAACTATATCATAACAAAGAAGCAAAATAATACACATTTCAGATGTGCACTACTACTGATTTATTCATATTTTTTATCTTTGTTCATACAGTTTTTATCGTAAACAAGACATGGGTGTATTGTGCTTTGTCATCTAAAGAAGAGGTTGGGGTAAGTTGAGCCACTTCTTGCATTTAAGTTTTTTTTTTTGTTTGCTTTTTGTTTTGTTTTTTTTGTTTAGTTTTTTTGTCAAAAAAAAAAAAAGATTTTATTTTGTCAAAACAATGTAGAATTTGAATAAAATAAAACATTCTACATACCTTTTAGGATGCTGCCAAATGTTTAGACTGATAAAACATTTTGTGACCAACAGTAGTATTTTATTATTTATTTTTATCTTAAAAATACAAATTTAAGCATGTGTTTCTTATGGGTGCAAGGATTTATCCCATAGTGGTTGGTTCAATTGACCCCATATTATTTTTTGATAAATCTAATTTACAGTTTTTTTGTTTGTTTTTTTTAAGTTCAATATAAGTTTCATAGTTTGCACATGACCTAAAAATATGACAACTTTTTTTCTCTCTAATAATTTGGCTGTTTTTCAGACACCAGTGAAACAGGTTGGATCACTATCCTATCAGCTCTCTTACCAGCATTATATAGTGACTCACATGGCTCATTATGTGTTTGCAGTAAATAAAATGTTTTCTAGTTTTAGAAAAAAATATCAAACTGTTATCAAAATGACTTGAAGAAAAGGAAAAATCACCGCTGACATCACTCTAAATGTTATCACAACAGAGCGCTGCTCTTGAGCCACTTCTTACATTTGAGTTTTTTTATTTACTTTTATTAAATTTTTTTGTCAAAACAATATAGAATTTTGTTTTTGTCAAAGCAATGTAGAATGTCAATAAAGTTAACATTCTACATACCTTTTTAGGATGTTGCCAAATGTTTAGACTGATAAAACATTTTGTGACCAATAGTAGTATTTTTATCCCATAATATTTTTGATAAATCTAATTTACTGTTAAAAAAAAAAGAAAAAAAGAAAAGTTCAATATGAGTTTCATAGTTTGCACATGACCTAAAAACATGAGAACAATCACCAAAAAGAAAAATCACCACTGACATCACCATAAATGTTATCACAACAGAGCGCTGCTCTGCCATAACATACATTAGGGAATTTATTTAATTAAATACTCCAGATGAAATAAAAGGCCCTTAGCAATTGTCTGGCTGCCCACGATAGTGTGACGGCCCTACACAATACACTCAAATGGTAGTTCTGATCCATACACTTACCGATTCAAAGTACTTCAGAGGGTTCTCAAGGCTTAAGTTGAGTGCATTCCCTAAAAATGGTAGAGCCAAAGGTCCAGGAGGGAAGTTTTTGGGCCGTTGAGATTTGAACTGAAGCAACAAGAAGCAGAGACATATCCACAGGAGCAGCACAGACACAAACATGGTGAGAGCAGAGAGCAAATAAGGACATGAGTCAGCCGAGGTTTCGGTAAAAATCTATTTCTTTAGCCCCGCCTTTTTTTCTCTCAACAAGAACATTAAAAATAGTAACTGAATATAGATGCAATGAATAAAATACTATTTTAAATTACAGTTACAGTGTCTAAAATTCCCAACTCTATTTTCTCTTAAATTACGACTGAAGCATTCAGTCTCAGGTTACGCTGCCATTTCGTCACTTTCTGCTTTGGCTTTTGAAAAGAAAAAAAAAAAGATTCTTTTTAAAACCATGTGTATCACAGTGTTGTGCATGAACGAGTTCAAAAGAACGCGTTCATTGAACACGTTCATTTTTCAGTGAACTTTGAACTGAACGCAACACTTTTGTAAATCAAGAACTTGAACGTGAATTTGTTCAAATTGTGTGTGATGAACGACGTACGTCACTGTTGGGGTTCAGTTAAACGTCGGAATTTGTTTTCACCTGACGAGTGACGATCTGCTCGCACTTCACCTCGCGAAACCACAGCCGCGCGAAGGCGACTCCACCGGCAGCTTTAACGGAACATACGGGCTCTTGTGTCTCTCAATGGGAAGTCAATCAAACGACTGGGCGCGTTTAGCTGCTTGTATTTACCTTCTGTACAGGCTGACCACGGCAAACGCATGGATTTCAAAAGAAAATTTCAAAGCACTAATTAACAGTGTATGTGGATCTGGGCTCTTTCACATGATACACAACTGCCCAGGGAGCACAATGTGCTGATGGTAAATGCACAAATACAACAATAGATACATGCTCTCTGTGTATTTTGACGGGGACGTTCGTGTAGCGTCAAAAAATAGGATGGATCCTATTTTCTGAAATCTACACGCACAGGACGTGCTGCTCCGCGCGCATATTATTTGGTACATATGTCAGTAACGCGCGTCACAATGCTTTTTTAACCTGGATTGAAATGGTGGGTTTTTCGTTTTTCTTCATACAAATTTGCTAAAATCACCGCGATATCAGCAGCGGTGAAACGCCGGAGGTGCGCCCGCGTAGACCGGGATCCTGAGCGAAAGGACCAACGCAGAAGTCCGCGCTCCACCGAGATAAACGCAGCTGACGCCCGATCGCACTCGGGGTTCTCTCAGGGGCGGTCCTAGATTCCAAGTTCTAGTCCTGGTTTGGTCCTGGTGTAGTCTTGGTTTAGTCCTGGTTCAGTTCTGGTTCAGTCCTGGTTTAGTCTTGGTTTATTCCTGGTTTAGACCTGGTTCAGTCCTGGTTCAGTTCTGGTTTAGTCCTGGTTCAGTCCTGATTTATTTAGACCTGGTTTAGACCTGGTTTAGTTGGTTCCTGTTTAGTTCAGTTCTGGTTTAGACCTGGTTTAGTCCTGGTTTAGTCCTGGTTTAGACTGGTTCTGGTTTAGTGGTTTCTGGTTTAGACTGGTTCAGTCCTGGTTAGTTGGTTTAGACCTGGTTAGTCCTGGTTGGTTTAGACCTGGTTCAGTTCTGGTTTAGTCCTGGTTCAGTTCTGGTTTAGACCTGGTTTAGTCCTGGTTTAGACCTGGTTTAGACCTGGTTCAGTTCTGGTTTAGTCCTGGTTTAGACCTGGTTCAGTCCTGGTTTAGTCCTGGTTTAGACCTGGTTCAGTCCTGGTTTAGACCTGGTTTAGACCTGGTTTAGTCCTGGTTTAGTCTGGTTCAGTCCTGGTTTCAGTTTAAGTCGGCAGTCAGTATCTTAACAGTTCTTTTGTGTGAGAGTAATTTAAAAGTGCTGCAATAGTCGTGTAATGTTTTACATTTTAATGTATGTAACAAATGACTCTGAAATGACAGTAACAAGTCATAAATAACACATTACAGTTTTAAAGTCACTTGTCCAACAGTGTATCTTGTAAAGTTGTTGTAAACTAGAAGTCAGTTTGAAAAATAAATGCAGCCTTTCATTTACAGATCTCATCTAAATATAAAATGAACTGAACTTTGAACTAGTTCAAAATTAAAATTGTGAACTATGAACGTGAACTATTCACTTTGAACAAGTGTGAACTGAACTTTGAACTAGTTCATGAAAAGTGTGAACTTGCACAACACTGCTCCATGTAAGCAAACTACTCTAGTTGTCTCAGGTTTGAAGAGTTCCTTCTATAGACAGCATGTTTCAGCTCCTTTCACAGATGTTCAATAAAATTTAGATCAGGGCCCACAGAACAGTCCAACGTTCTCTTCTTAATCATTCTTGGGTGTTTTTAGCTGTATGTTTTGGTTCATTATCCTGCGACCAAGACCAAGCTTTCTGACACTCGGCAACACCTTTCATTCCAAAATACCTTGATAGTTTTACGATTTCTTTGTACCTTGCACAGATTCAAGACACCCTGTGCGAGATGCAGCACAATAGCCCCAGAACAAAACCAAGCCTCCTCCATGCTTCACAGTAGGAATAGTGTTATTGGTGTGCTTCATTTTTTCGTCTGTGAACATAGATTTGACATGTCTTGCCAAAGAGCTCTAGTTTTGTCTCCTGTCCAATGGACATTCTCCCAGAAGCTTTGTGGCTTGTCAATATGCACTGTGGCAAATTCCAGTCTCACTTTTTTATGATTTACTCTCAACAGTGGTGTCCTCATATGAAGTCCACTTTGGCTCCAACAGTGACGGATGGCGTAATCTGACACTGATGTACCTTGCCCTTCAAGTTCACATTTCATTTTTTTGGAGGTTGTTCTGGGCTCTTTGATTCCATTTGTATGATCCATCTCTTCAATTTAACATAAATCTTCCTCTTGCTGCCACATCCAGGAGGTTGGCTACAGTCCTGTGGACCTTAAACTTCTGAAGAACATGTGCAACTGTAATCACAGGAACATCAAGCTGCTTGGACACGGTCTTATTACCTTTATCTTTAACCTGCTTGTCTATAATTTTCTTTCTAGTCTCCTGACACAGTTCTCTTCTTCGTTTTCTCTGGTCCATGTTCAGACTGACTGAGGACAAGTTTGTAGACACCTGTGATGCAGATTGGAGGACCCATCAAAGTTTACATGTCCCTTTTGTTCAGTTACTTACAATCTTTTCTAGAGGTACCATCATTTTTGTTCAGACCAGTTTCATTAGTTTGTTTTTTTAAAATTTTAAGTTAAGTTAATTAAGCAACATAACCAAGTGGCGGGCATAGTGTACAGAAACATCTGTGCAGAGTACGGGCTGGAGACCCCAGGATCAAGGTGGGAAACACCTCCAAAGGTTGTGGAGAATGACCGAGCCAAGATCCTGTGGGACTTCCAGATACAGACTGACAGGATGGTGATGGCGAACCAACCAAACATAGTGGTGGTGGATAAGAAACAGAGCAGAGCCGTGGTGGTGGACATCCATAAAAACTGTTTGTAACCCGGTCTAAAATGTTACTTTAGACTGAACTGACTAAAATATTAATAATTTCATTTTAATAATTTCCTTTTAATAAATAGTAATAAATATGACTAATAAATAAGTAATTGATAAAAACATCTCTTATAAATAGTTAAAAAATGTTATCCGCCGAGCAGAGGTTTTCATCAATTTCAATTGATAAAGTTCATTTTGTTATAGACAAAGTTTGTTAAAATTGTACAGGAGCATAGCACGTTGTATCTGCACAACCTAACTCTATTGTATGTCAATCTTTTGTTTTCTGTAATTTAATTGGAGAATGCACTGGTGATATCCAATCATTGAGGAGTGGGCGTGTTCCAATATCGCACATGTAAAAAACATCTTGTCCTGTCGCCAGTCGGCTGTGAGCAGTGAAGGGAAACAGACGATAGCGTAACCAGTGGGCAAAATAGTCACAAAAATCACCGTGGATGCAGAGTCTACAGGTCTTATGTGGGACTGTTGTTACCTGATGTCACGTGAGTGTCCGAAGTATTTATTTGTGTATTAAAACAGCCCATTTGGTACAAGTAAATGAATAATGCTACTGTGGTTATGGGGTAGTTGAGATGGAGTTTCCGGAGGATGTAGTTGGTGTGAAAGGTCCCATCACTGTCCTCACTTTAATCTGTCCTGAGCCACCTCAAGGTCATGAAACTCCAGTTGTGGTTGGCACCAACGCTTTCCTGTTTCGCAGACTTTTTCAGTTGTGTCAAGAAAATGGTCATGAGATCAAAGTTAGCTCCATGCGAATCCAAGCTGTCTATGACCAAATAAAAGCACAACCATCTCAGTCAGACACTGAGGGGAAAGCCATTGGTCAAGTCAAATGGCAAGGTCCACTTACCATAGCTCCTGGCGAAAAGTTCTATGCCACCTGCAAAGTAGAGCACAAAAATACCAAACCCCAAGACATCGTCTTAGTTGAGGCCCCTGCCATGTCACAGCTTCCTTCTGGTGTGTTAATTCAGCCAGGTGTTCTCCCAGAAAGTGAAATTCATGAGAACAGTTTTACCGTCCTTGTACGCAATGAGTCAGAGAAGCCCACCTGTATCCAGGTAGGGACTGTCATTGCTTAAATGCATGCAGTAGATGTAGTCACAAGTCCTCAGGCTGTAGATTCAAAAGCTAGTACCTTAGATCCCAACCTATTTGATTTTGGTGAATCCCCTGTCCCAGAAGAGTGGAAGATCAGGTTAAGACAGAAGCTATCTGAAAGGCGAAAAGTTTTCTCATTACATGAGTGAGATGTAGGCCTAGCTAAAGGTGTAGAACACAAGATCAGGCTTAGTGACTCCACCCCCTTTAGAGAGAGATCCCGTCGTTTAGCCCCAGCCGACATAGATGATGTTAGGCGGCACTTACAGCAGTTGTTCGAGGCAGGTATTCTCAAAGAATCACACAGCCCATATGCATCTCCAATCATAGTGGTGTGCAAAAAGAATGGTTCCATTAGAATCTGCATTGACTACAGAACCCTTAACAGTTGCACCATACCCGACCAGTACACCATCCCACGCATCGATGATGCTCTGGATTGTCTCTCAGGCAGTAAATGGTTCTCAGTTTTGGATCTCCGAAGTGGATATTATCAAATAGCCATGTCTGAGGAGGATAAGGAGAAAACTGCATTCATTTGCCCACTCGGGTTTTACCAGTTCGAAAGGATGCCTCAGGGTATAACGGGAGCTCCTGCCACCTTTCAGCAGCTCATGGAGAAAGCTGTTGGGGACATGCACCTCCTCCAAGTCATAGTGTACCTTGATGACATAATTGTGTTTGGCAAAACGCTCGAAGAACATGAGCAACGTTTTCTGAAAGTGTTGGATAGACTTGAGGAGTTTGGACTGAAAGTTTCCATTGACAAATGTCAATTCTGTCAATCTCAAGTAAAATATGTTGGCCACATTGTGTCAAAGGCTGGCATTGCCACAGATCCAGAGAAAATAGTTGTTGTTAAGAACTGGCCTGAGCCCACAGATCTTAAGTCTCTCAGATCATTTCTTGGATTTTGTGGGTATTACCGCCGATTCATTGCCAACTATTCCAGCATTGTACGTCCATTGACCGAACTCAAAAGGTTATCCGCCTTCTCAAAGGCACAACAAAGACAAAATCGAAGATCTAACAAAGACTTACCTCAAGCCCTCTGAACCTTTCAAAGAAAGATGGGATGATTCATGTCACATAGCTTTCAGGAAGATCATTCTGTTTGACAAATGCCCCAGTGTTAGCGTTTGCAGACCCCACCAAGCCTTACGTACTGCATGTAGATGCTAGCATGCACGGCTTAGGTGCTGTACGAAATCAGGAATATCCTGAAGGTCTCAAGCCTGTCGCATTCGCCAGTCGAAAACTCAGTGATTCCGAACGCAACTACCCAGTTCACCAGTTTGAATTCTTAGCCTTAAAGTGGGCAGTTGTAGACAAATTTCATGACTATCTATATGGTGCGAGATTCACTGTGCGAACAGACAACAACCCCTTAATGTATGTATTGACAACAGCCAAGCTAAATGCTGTTGGACATCGTTGGCTAGCGGCTTTAGCCACATACGACTTCAACATCCAATATCGTCCAGGTCGTCACAACATTGACGCCGATCTCTTGTCTGGATAGTACAGTGACCATGAACCATGGGCTGATGTTCCTAAATCAGCTATAAAAGCAATTTGCAAAAACAAGTCCACAATCACTCCTGTTCAACTTGTTGATCAACTTGGCGTTCCGCCTGCAGCCATTCCTGAAACGTATGTTTTCCCAGTAAGCCTAAAAGCACTGACATTTGAACAACTGAGCCCCAAAGAGCTCCAAATCGCTCAAGACTTTGATCCAGTCATTGGACCTGTCAAACAAGCCTTGCAAATGGGCAAACAGCCTGTCCAATCAAAAACTGATCCACCTGATGTAGCTTTGATGTGTCGTGAAATCAGAAAACTGGAAGTGAAGGATGCGCTACTGTACAGAAGGAGAAAAGTACAAAGTGGCACAGAAACAAAGCAACTGGTCTTGCCGGAAAGATACTGAACCAGTGTTATGAAATCACTACACGATGAATGTGGACATCTCGGTGTCGAGAAAACCACTGAACTACTCAAAGATCGCTTCTATTGGCCGCGTATGAACTCAGATGCGGAACAATACATAAAAACTTGTGGACGCTGTATTTCTCGTAAAACACTCCCACAACGTTCATCCCCTTTATTTAGTGTGCATTGATTTTCTTCAGATCGAGCCAGACAACAAAGGTATTGCCAATGTGTTAGTGGTCACTGATCATTTCACGCGCCTAGCACAAGCATTTCCCACTAAAGATCAAAAGTCAATCACTGTTTCCAAAGTGCTGTGGGAAAAGTGCTTTGTCCATTATGGACTACCCGCCAGAATACACTCAGATCAGGGTAGAGATTTTGAAAGCCGACTCATTAAAGAAATACTGTCCCTGCTTGGTATCAGAAAGTCTCGAACATCACCCTATCACCCACAAGGTGATGCTCAGCCTGAACGTTTTAATAGAACACTGCTTTCAATGCTTGAAACACTTGAGCACGTAAAGACACAGAATTGGAATCAGCATATAAGTCAGTTGGTACATGCTTATAATTGCTCCAAAAATGAGTCTACTGGATATTCACCCTACTTCTTGATGTTTGGTCGAAATGCCAGATTGCCAGTCGACATCTGTTTTGGTGCAGCCTTTGATAAAAATGCAGAAACCTCCCACCTGCAGTATGTTGACAAAATGAAGAAAAACTACAGCAAGCCTATCATCTCGCTACAGAGAGCGCAACCAAAAAACATCTCAGAAACAAGTCAAGGAACGATCAACGATGAGAGACCAGCCATTACAGGAAGGTGACAGAGTTCTGATAAGAAACCTTGGTCTCATTGGAAAACACAAACTCCAAGATCGTTGGAAACCCGTGCCATACGTTGTTCTTAAAAAGTTACCAAACTTGCCTGTGTACAAAGTGAAACTCGAACAAGGCGCTGGAAGTGTGAAAACTTTACACAGAGATCATCTCCTTCCTATTGGTTACTTTGTCCGAATGCCTGAAAGTACACAACCTACAGAACATGTCAAAACTCCTGTCACGAGAAGACAACGCTCTTTGAGACATCGTCGAAGCAATCATGAATCGAGATCTGACCGCAGCCACTTTGAGTCAGATTCTGAATATGAGTGTGCTTTCGAGTATCCCAATAATGACCAGTTCCTTAAGTCAAGAGACCTGAACAACCTAATTCTCCTTCTGCTTGTTTCCATGGAAATGTTGTTCCTTTGACTATAATATTCTTCACTATGGCATAAAATCTCTCTGGAGATCTCCATCCATCCATTTTCTTCCGCTTATCAGGGGCCGGGTCATGGAGGCAGCAGTCTAAGCAGGGACTCCCAGACTTCTTTCACCCCAGACATGATTTGGGGGACAGTTGAGAGACATAGTCCCTCCAGCGTGTCCTGGGTCTTCCCCGGGGCCTCCTGCCAGTGGGACATGCCCGAGGGCGGTGCCCAGGAGGCATCCAGAACAGATGCCCGAGCCACCTCAACTGGTTCCTCTCGACGTGGAGGAGCAGCGGCTCTACTCTGAGCTCCTCCCGTGTGCCTGAGCTTCTCACCCTATCTCTAAGGGAGCGCCCAGCCACCCTGCGGAGGAAACTCATTTCGAGCACTTGTATCTGCCATCTCGTTCTTTCGGTCATTTTGACTCAGCTCCCTCTTCACCACTACGGTCCGATACAGCGACTGCATTACTGCAGACGCTGCACCGACCCGCCTGTCAATCTCACACTCCATCATCCCCTCACTTGTGAACAAGACCCCGAGATCCTTGAACTCCTCCAGTTGAGGCAAGGACTGTCCCTGACCACCTCGAGATGTTGAAGAGGCGTGTCAGCCAAGACAGCCCCACAACATCCAGAGACTTAAGATACTCGGGACGGATCTCATCCACCACCCTAGTTACTAATTTATTTATTTATTTTATCTATTTGTATGTATATATGTATGTATGTATTTGTATGTACATGAGTATGTATATATGTGTATATTGGTGTATATGTATATATGTGTGTATGTGTATATGTATATATACATATACAAAATGTGTATGTATATATGGTGTACATATTGTATGTGTGTGTGTGTATGTTTGTGTGTGTGTATATATATATATATATATATATATATATATATATATATATATATATATATATATATATATATATATATATAGTTATTTGTTGTATGTATTATACATACATAATCCTTTCCATTATTAAGTATCACCCCCTTATCGGGGTTGAATAAATTTTTTAGGGACAATTGAATAATTATTTTTTATGGCCAATTTGTGGCTTTTTGCCTTTCCATAAAAATTGATTAATTTCTTTAATCCATTTTCTTCTGCTCATCTTCTGCACGTTTCTAAAATAGACTTTCTTGCTGCCTAAATAGTTCTCCAAGATCCAAAGCTAACCACAGTTTGATGAGTCCTCAGTATGTCATCTTATTTCAGTTGTAAAAGAGCAGAACACAGTACAGCTAAACACAAGTAAACAGTTTCTTTAATATTCCTTCTGAGAAATTCATTTATTCACTTGATCATTTACACATGATTCATAGAAACCTTTAGTGACAGAAAATACACAGATTCTTCACTGTGTGGTCCTCAACTCCAGTTTCATGTTGTATGGTTTAGGGGTCACAGTAATGCCAAACACCATCTCATAGTCAGGCTCTCCTGCATCCTCAGGCCAAATGAACTTAAACCTCCTCAGAAGAGTCACCATGATGAGGAAGAGCTCCATTCGGGCCAGGCCTTCTCCCAGACACACTCGAGGACCTGGACAAAAATAGAATAGAAAACAGAATCCCTCCTTGGATGTGCATGTAATATATCGGTGCTTTGAATACTGATTCTTTATTACTTGTCCAGGTAGTCTTGCTTCTAGTTTTAGTTTTGATTCTTTGACCAGGTTTCAAGCTTGACCCTGATTGCACTGCTCCAGGGCTTTGGTCTGGGCTGCAGGACCACACTGTGCAAATTGTGTCCCTCCGCTCCTGCTGACTTTCTACCACCATAAAGTGTATGCTCATTTGTTTTGGGTCGGATTGGGCCCAGACACGCAAAGGAATTCATAGAGATTGGAAAGACATGTCTGTGGCATGAGCTGTATAAGCAAATCCTAAAAACAAAGTAACAAGAGGAAGAGCGCTAACTGCTGCCCCAGACGTGCTCAGTGACATAATGCACCTGAATGCACCTGATGACTGTAACAGCATATAGTGTACTAAAGTGAGATGTAACTTTCTGGAGGTGGAACGTTAACTGCATTATCCCATGGAAAGTTAAAATCATACTTCACAACATTCTCTGTGGAATATTACAGCCAAAGGAACAACATTTTCATGGAAACAAGCAAGAGGAGGCCCTCCCCAAACCAAATAAAGGTCAGGTTTGTGGAAGTGCAAGCCCCAGAGTAAGGACACTTGTTTGCAGCAATAAAGAAAACAAAATTAACAACAACAAAAACATGCATTTGTTTTAGTCTTTTTTTTTTTTGCATACATACTAAGATATACTGTGGGACATTTTGAGTACACTACTTTTTCACTCACTGGAAGATTCAGGCATCACTACAAAATGGTGAGATCATGAGAATATGTCCTACCAGCAGAGAAGGGCAGGAAGGCATCTGGTTTGACAAACTCCCCCTTGTGGTTAAGAAAGTTTTCAGGGTTGAATTCATGAGGAAACTTCCACTGTCCCTCTTCATTGAGCGCTGATGACAGGTTGGGAATGACAATAGTGCCCTTGGAATAAAATAGACTAGGATTATTTTCACAGAGAAGTCCTGAGGGCAAATTTGAGGAAAAGTCAGTAAACTTTTTTTTTTTTTTTATAATTTGAGGGTGCTGATTCAGAATATTTTGTTTACCAAGCTGGATTCTGAGTTCTAATCCTTCTAATTTGCATATTAATAATATATATAATTTATGAATAAAAGTGAAATTAAACAGATTATCCATCCATCAGTCTATCCATTGTTCTTCCACTTATCCAGGGCTGGGTCATGGGGCAGCAGTCTAAGCAGGGACTTCCAGATTTCCTTCAGCCCAGACACTTCCTCCAGCTCCTCCAGGGGGACCCCAAGGCGTTCTCAGGCGAGCCGAGAGACATAGTTCTTCCAGCGTGTCCTTGGTCTTCCCTGGGGCCTCCTCCCATACTGATATGCCCGGAACACCTACGGAGGTGTTCCGGGCATATCAGTATGGGAGGAGGCCCCAGGGAGGCCGTAGGGAGATGCCCATGAGGCATCAGAACAGATGCCCTCCCCTCAGCTGCTCCTCTCTATGTGGAGGAGCAGTGGCTCTACTCTGAGCTGCTCCGGGATCTGAGATTCGACTTTCGGTCGGATTCTCCTCTCCAGTCCCTGGCATAGACCTTACCAGGGAGGCTGAGGAGTGTGATTCTCCTGTAGTTAGAACACACCCTCCAGTCCCCCTTCTTATATAGAGGGACCACAACCCTGGTCTGCCAGTCCAGAGGCACTGTTCCTGACTGCCACGAGATGTTGAAGAGGCATGTCAGCCAAGACAGCCCCCACAACATCCAGAGACTTAAGATCCTCATGACGGATCTCATGATGAGTCCTCACCCCAGCCTTTGCTTCCTCCTCGAAAGACGTGATGGTGCAATTGAGGAGATCCTCAAAGTATTCCTTCGACCACCTGACTTTTTTTTTTCTAAATAGGATAAAGGTAACAAAACAAATCACATATGAAAAAATAAAATTTAATTAGTCTTAAACTGGAAACCAAACTAAGAATGGATATGAATCCAACAAATACAAATCAAATTTATTTACAGCATTTTTATTTTAACAGAAATTGCCTCTCCAACTCTAGGAGACACTAACCATTAACTATTTTCCTTGGAGTCACTGCAAAAATCACAAAAAGTCACACACCAGGATTTTATGTTGTGTTTAATGTGTGAGATAAGGAGTTTAGAGAAAGAAGTGCTAGTTTACTTTAATTATGGCTGTATTCTTAGACTGCACTGCCAGCATTCTGGATCTGGAATTGCAGCCACTTATACAGAACAGGCCTGCACTGTGGCAACTGCATTTGCTTGTCTTACAGTCATACTTGCATCTACAGGTAACCATCAAGTTGCAGGTTTTTGGGATTGCATCAGTTTGGGTTCCAGGTTTCCACTGACTACGTTCCATCCCATTTCCACTCAAGGTGGTAGAACTGGATTTGTTCTGTTCGATTGTCTTCATACTAGTGCTATTCTAATAGGCCATGAGCAGCAGCATTTCAGGGGGTAGAGCCTCAGGTCCCCGACATCTGAAAAAAAGAGTGGCTCTTGCATCTTTGCGGCAGTAGCTCAGAGTGTTCGTCCACTGATCTGAAGGTTGGCGGTTCGAATCCCGCTCTTGCTATAAACATCATTGGCAGATCCACTGACCCAGAGGTTGGTGGTGCGATTCCACCTCCAACAGGTGAATGCTGTTGTGTTTTTGGGCAAGACACTTATCCTGCCTTGGCCCCTCAGTAACATTTACTGAAATTTTGTGATATAATACATAACAGTAGCCTATATTCTCAATAAAGAATGAAAGCTGCCAATAGCAAACAGATAAATGACTTCCAGAAATAAAAATGAGCTGTCACCTAGAATCCAAACCTAGTAAAATCTGAATCAGGAATTTGTTTTATTTCTGCTCATCAAATGAAGGAAATGAAGGACGCTAGCTTTAAAATGCTGCAGTATAGCCTTGTTTTTATTTCAGTATGCTAATTAGGGGTCATGTGGTGATTTCAATCTTAGTTATAATATTTACCTGATATATATACAGTATACTGGTATTTGTTTTCTGGACTTTTCATGAAATCCATTCAATTAAAGAGAACTTTAATTTGATTAGCCTGGCGTCTATGCTATTATGCTAATTAGCATTCTTAAAACTCAAAATTCAGCTTGGTAAACAAAATTTGCCCTCAGGACTTTTTCTGAAAGTATTCCATAGAATTATTCTCAGTCTAAAACAGATATTTTACACTACTAACACACACACACACAACTCCTGTCTCTTGTCTCCTGTCTATAGACATCAGTCTTAAATCTGCTCAGAAAGTGGGCATAACCTGCAGCAGGAAATTGAGGTGGGTGCAAACATTTGAAAAAGGAAGGACTGGGGCAAGATCTCCATAAATAGGATTAGACATAAATGTTCCACTAATGCAAAGAATTTATTATTCCTTCTTACTTTGGGAATGGAGTAGCCCATCAGCTCTGTGTCTCTGGTGGTCGCATGAAAAACACTCAGAGGGACAGTGTCAGCCACTCTCTGACTCTCATGCACCACAGCCTGACGAAGCAAAAGAGAAAAGAAATGTGGGTAAAATCTCCCTCAACTCCACAGAAGAATACAAAACAAACCTCAGGCTGTGCACAGTTACGTCAAAACAATAGATGACATCAGTAGTGAACTTAGTGTTGGTGAGTGAATGTGATATCAGTCAGAGGCATTTTTTAGAGGTTGTTGACAAGGACCAGGAAGAGAGAGCATATCACCCCAGTAATGAAATCTCTGCACTGGCTTCCTGTGAGCTTCAGGATAGATTTTAAAGTTCTTTTATTGGTTTAAAAAGCTCTTAATGGTCTTAGTTCTATCTTTATTTATCTGAACTGCTTTTATCATATGAGCCCTCTCGGACTCTCGGGTCCTCAAGTAGTCTTCTTTTAACTGTCCCAAGAGTCCAAACTAAAACTCACGGTGAGGCATCATTCAGCTTTTACGGCCCCTGTCTGTGGAAAAGTCTACCTGAGGATCTGAGGTCTGCGAGTGTTCATATTTTTAAAAGTAAACTCAAAACGTATCTTAATTTAGCTTTTAATTGAAACTTTTACTTGTTTTAACTTAAATTATTGTTATTATTATATTTGTTTTAAATTAAATTATCATTACTATTTTACTTAATCACCATCTGATCTTAGCTCTCCATTTTTATTTTTAATATAACCTTTTGAAGCTTTATGTTTTATGTTTCTGTTTAAAATGGTTGTAAATATGGATGAAACAGTGGGGTGCGGGTGGTGCGGGTGGTGGTGGGGGGGTTGCTGTTGTTTTTAATTATTGTATTGTAATGTTTCTGTTGCATGTGAAGCACTTTGTGCTACATTTCAAATGTATGAAAAGTGCTATACAAATAAAGTTTGACTGATTGATTGATATACCTGGACATAAGGCATGTTGTGTCTGTCATCGAAAGTGACACAGTCCTTTCCCTCCAGCACTCTGTCTATCTCCTGCTGACAGCGCTCTGGGGAGAAGACATAATAACATTAACATGACCACTGTATAAACACAAAACTGAACAGTACATGATCTAACCTTGGATTTGAGGATTGGTCATAAGGTAGAGGAATCCAGTGAGCAGTGTGTTAGATGTGGTGTCGGTGCCCGCAGAATGTAGATTGAGACAAGACATCAGAAGTTCTTCTGAAGAAAATGATGTGCCGTCATTGATTCTCTGTGAAAAATATAATAAATAATAATAAATATAATAATTAATCATATATAATTGAATTTGGTCTCTCAAGATCTATGTTTACCACTTCCATATTTGTCTACATGCACTAATGGAATGACTCTTGAAATTATTTCAAAATAATAAGTGTCAGGTGTGACAAGCGCTTGAGAGGTAAAAGACACATTCTGTTTATGCTTTACATGCTGGCAATCATTCACAGTTTCTTTCACTAGCCACTATTGATTGTTAGATCTTTTCAGTTTGTCGTTCAGTGTCTGTGCCATTGTTTTATACAGTTTTACTGTTGAGCCTTGACCTCCAGCTGACCACTGCCGTGAGTGTGTCTGGAAAAACTGCTAAATTTGCAATGAGTATCAGTAGTCACTTTTTGAAGTCTGGAAATATGCCACTTAGAAAGAAGCCTGTCTCCGAGACGACAGATGACTCAGGTGCGAATGGAGCAACAATGGATTCTGTACTTCAGGAGGTGATTCATGCGGCAAAACCATGAGAAGCAAATCACTGAGGCTGAGACTTAGGGGTTGTTGCATCTTCTAAATCAGAGATCTATCAACAATAAGGTCAAGTCATTGAAGAAAAGTGATAAGGAGCTTGTTTAGCATTTTGATCAACCTGGAGAACCGGGACAGATGGAAAAATGCAAGCATAAGCTGTTAGTGCTAATGCTAACAACACGCACTACACAGATTATGCACATGGATCAATAACAAAGATTACGCACTAGTAATTCAATTGTTGGTTTTTGAGACCAGGTTATTTTAATAATTCTCATCCAAACCTTATGGCTAAAAATGAAAACTTATGTTTAACTTTTGCAAAACAAAACAGCCATATTTCTGTGATACATCTAAAATAGGCTAAATTACCTTAAAGTTAAAAAGACGGTGATGAGATACACAATATTAAATATTATTATCATTGTTAACAGTGCCATATGTATGCCATATTTTCACTCAGTGCAAATGCAATTTTACATTGTAGTTTTACTCATAGTTGAGGCTATAAACTAGATACAAAAAGTAAATATTTTTTATTAATTAGGAATCAATAAGAGAATCACTAAGGAACCAGATCACTAAGAGGTTTAAATAGTGAGTTTTCAAAGTATTATGCAAAGTATCCACCTTGTCCATTTCATCCAGATAGCAATCGACCAAATCCTGAGGATATCCTGGAACTCTGGTCTTCTTGTGCTCATTTATTATAGAGGAAGTCATGCTTTTTAGTGTCTGAGGCACAAAAAAAGAAAGACATACAAAAGAATAATTATGAGAAAAATCTTTCCAGTCATTTTTAGGTACTACCTGTATTCTCTTAAAAGCTTCTTTGAATGGTAATGGCAAGCGGCGAATGCAGGGAAAACTATCATACAGCTGCAAGAAAACACAATGGTTATTACAGCACTGGACTTATGTGTTAATACAAATATATAAAAACTCACAAAAGACCAAGGTCCATTGATCATCTTGTTAACCTCAGTGAAATTATTCACATATTTTATGATAAACTCATCATCATATTTAAATCGTTTTCCAAACAGAACAAGGCAGATCACGTTGGAAGCGATGTTGTGAAACATGACTTGAGCACTCAGACTTTTACCTAAATGACAAAAGATAGATAGATGACAAGAACAGTTTATACTACAATGTTTGAAAGATTTTAACAGGGACATTTCTGTCTTTAAAAAAAAATAATAATAAAAAAACTCCAAGAAAACATCTGCCCAAAGTCTAACCTCTGTGGACACTGGAACACAGTATGAATTTTAGTCAAATGTAAGGAGTCCAAAGACTCCTTATTAATATGGCAGTTATAAACACACCTGTGTTTTTCTCCAGTTTATTGATGGTGTGCTGCAGTTCTCCCAGGATCCTTTGCTCCATCGACTGTTTGCCCAAACCAAAGTTTCTCATGGTCATCAAAGCAAAACGACGATGCTCCTTCCATTTTTGACCATAATTTGCTGCAATTACACCTGCACCAATTGCACAGGGGTACAGATTTTCAAACAGTGAAAAGAGAAAGTGAATAAGTATCAAGTATCAACAAGTATCTTGTTCCTTGTTCCACAGTGCGTGACAACATTGTAGCAACAATACACAACATGAAAAAGGGGATGGGTGAATGCAATAAACACGTCTCACAGGTTTAGTGTTTAGTTTGCAAACTGGAGGACAGGTCACATTTGAACAACTGAAGAATTGGTTTTCTACCGAAACAAGCAGGCTGGATATATAGTGCAACAATCATCAGATGCTTTCTATCCTGATTTAGCTAAAGGGATGCTGCAAATGAGAAAAAGCTTGTCATATGTGAACACAAGCTGCAGGTCACACCGTGTGATGGACCACCTGGATGAATGCTATCTACCAGTATACATTTCTTTTGTTCTCATTCTCATATGTCCCTCCATATACACTGTACTCTCACTTTGGCACAGGCAGGAAAAGGTGAAGCCTGAGATCCTTTTCCGGTACAGAAAACAGCTCTATAGAGGCTCACTGCTGCTATATTCTAACAGTTTTATCTCTCAGTCACTTTTTATTTTATGCCGATATGTCTTGTGTGTTATGTTGTGTTATTAAGATAATTTAAATAGTAACCTTTATCTTCCACAATGGCATTGACGTACAAGTTCTGAGGTCGTCCAGCAAAGTCCACAGCCTTGTTAACCAGAGCCTCCTTCAGAGCCTGAGTCCCACTCACCACCACAACAGCTCTGGGCCCTATGTACACACTGTAGACATTCCCATAAGTCCTCCTCAACTGGAAACAAACAGAAAAACACACAAACATGGAGAATCTCATCAATAAGCAATCTTACATAGTACTAAGTACTAAGGGCCCCCAAGAAGACTTGTGTGGAAGATGAAATGGCCCTAAATGTCGTGAGGGAGCTGGCTGCAGACCTGCACCTAGAGGACCATACAGCGGCCGTGCCAAAAGACAGATTTCCTGATTGCCTTTTTCAGTGTACACGTTGACAGAGGTTGAATGGCTTTGAAGTGTTTTAATCTAAATATGTGTATATATATATATATATATATATATATATATATATATATATATATATATATATATATATATATATAATTTTTTTTATTTTTTTTTGAAATGAGCTTTTCATGTTTAATAGTGAACTAGTTTATTTATTTATATAGTTTACTTATTTAATGAGACAGGGACAGCACACAATTTTGACATGAACCTTAAAAGGAGAGATGCATTGTACCAGGTTGTAGCACCAGTGCTAATTTCTACCTGTAGTCCCTGGACAGGTTCATTGATTGATTGTATTTAACTGACCTTGGCTATCAACTGTTCTATCAACTAAGGTAACAACTGATAAAAAAAAATGTAATTAAGTTACTTATTTAAAGAAAATTAAAGAAAACGTGAGGACATGTCAGCAGAGGTGAATCCTGGTAGAGGTTTATGAGGTAGTGTCCTCTGGGTAGAAGTCTTCAGCCTTCAGTCTCTCTTGTAAATGACAGTATAAGATGAAGTTATACTTGTGATGTTGTAACAGAGAATACTGTATTCATTGTTTAATACCTAACATTTACCCCTTAAAAATTCAGTTCAAAGGAGCCGTCGACCTCTATATATAGTCTATATCTATTTTTTCTCCTTCAGGTATATAAGATCAATATGCTCAATACAAACACTCCTGTAGGCATTGCTGTGAAAATTTCAGTTGTGGTACTTGGTGCATTAAAACATTAGATGATTGTGTATCTGTGTATCACTTTAGCATGTAGTGGTGTACACCTACCGATTCAAAGTACTTCAGAGGGTTGTCAAAGCTTAAGCTGAGTGCATTCCCCAAAAATGGCAGAGCCAAGGGTCCAGGAGGGAAGTTTTTGGGCCGTCGAGACTTGAACTGAAGCAACAAGAAGCAGAGACATATCCACAGGAGCAGCACAGACACAAACATGGTGAGAGCAGAGAGCAAATAAGGACATGAGTCAGCCGAGGTTTTGGTACAAATCAGTGGTTTCTTTAGCCCCGCCTCCAGTGATAGTGGACTTTATACTCAATATGAAGTAAGGAATGATTCATGTATTTGATAACAGGGCCAGATTTGGAGGTAATTGCATAACACACATAATTTCCCATTTTATTGTATATCAAATTATCCAAACAATAAGTTCTGTTAAAGGTCCTGTATTACACAAAATTTACTCTTAAGTGCTTTAAGTCATGTTAGAATGTTGTTACCTCCTCAAAATGGTTGAGGTTGTGTTTTGTTTCATTCTGCAACATTAATAAAGCACATTAATAAAGTATACGGCTGTCTACTTCTTTAAATCTAAAAATGTTCCGTTCCAGTTTGTGATGCCATGCAGTGGTAGTTTTCAAGTTAATAGCTAACTTTTTCCATTTGTTCAGTACTGTAAACAATACACCTAAATCATGATTTTATTTAGCCAAAAGTCAAAGCAGAGGGTGTGAAGTAGCAGCAGACTGAGAATGCTTCAATCTTAATTGAAGAGAAAGTAGAGCTGATATTTTAGACACTGAAAATGTAAATGTAAATATAAATGGAAATTGTGGTTAGAGACTGCCAGCCTTTTCACGCCCCAAGCAAGTCTGTCTTTTGTAGGGAAAGATGCCTGTTCAGGGCCTGCTTCCCCCATTCTGATAGAACCACAAACCAGGAACCTAGAGAAGTCGGTTCCGCCTGACTGCCTCTTGGTATTTACAACCCCAAGAGAACCGATCTTCGGTGCTTCCACACCTCCCTTCCCCCACGCCAGGTGGGACATGAATCAGAGTGGGGAATTAACATGGCTCTGCTAAAGTGATAAGGACTGTTAAATAATGACTTTCTTTATTGTGCTTGAAGAAACAGACCCACATCATCTACATACCAGACCATTAGGCGCCAATGCTTGGACCGGTTAAAACCGCGATGGACTGTGGTTGCCACTTTTGGACACTAGAGAAGGACTGGATTAAACGCATCTCGATAACTAGTTAAGGATGTTTAACTGTGTCCTATATAAGGCTCATGTTGATACAAGACAAGTATGCCACACTGCTTAATTCATGTGTTCATAGTCTCTTGTGTGTATTTCATGTCATGTTCCCACGGAAGTATTTACGGTAACTTCACGGCGTGTTTTCAGACAGATATACCTTTGATTTATTTCTATGAATCGTTGGCTAATGTTATCATAAACAGTTAGTACCTGAATGTGGGAAGTTATCAATTTAATATTTGCAAATGATATTTGTACGGGGACCAGTTCAGCTCAGACGCGGCCGTGCCTTAAATTTGCATATAACAACGCCCACCAAGCGCACTGACCAAAACGAAGCCTCACGCGCGAAAACTTCGCTTCGCATCGGGCTTTTCGCTTCGCTTCGCCTTTCTTCGCTCCTCGCCTTGCCTCGCCGCCGCGAGGACCCGCCGAAGAGGACCAGGGAAGACGGCCGGTCGGAGAGACCCAGGGGGAGCTGTAACAGACCTGGAGTCGCACCTGCCGAGAGCTGAGGACCAGAGCCGGTGAAGGAGGCGTGGACCGCCCTACCCGAGTACCGTCATCACGCCGCTGCCTGCCCGTGCGCGCGACCACCGCCGAACCCCGCCATCGCCGCATTCCACTCGGACCGAGAACAACATCGCCAAGTAAGGCTGGTTCAGACAGTGAATGAATAAGGGTTGGCATCCCTCTTACGATTGCGTCCAATTATTCCTAAGGCAAGCGCCGTAGCGACTTAGCGAAACGCCATAACTGAGCTAAACTGAACCCCGTTTTATAACTACCTCAGGTTGTTAAAATCGGTGCTTTAATGTTACGTAACCAGAACTTGGAAGCTGGTGTCTAGTTATTGTTTGTTAATAAACCACACAAAGGAATTTGCTGGTTTCAGTGATTTTTCTTAAAGTTATCATCAGGTCACTTTTTCGGGTACGTTCCCTTCAGATTGATTTAATTGATAAGTTGTTGTTGTCGCATATGGTTAAGTTTGATTCGGTCAGAATCTGGTGCCCCGCAAATGTATAATTTCAATAATTCGTCAAAAGCTAAACCACATGCTCAAACACGCACATCTTACCACACGTTAAATCGCATTTTCTCCTACACTTTTATGTATGTGGTTTAGAAATTTGTAGATATACAGTTTCTCAATTACAAACCCTACAAACAGGTCAGGCTACCACACAGCCAGTAAGGGCTTTTCTGTTCAATCTCTTCTGTCCTGCTCCTCAAATGTTTTCTCTAGTACCAGTCTTTGATTTTCATCCCTAGTCTTTCTGATGAAAAATAGTATGGCATCCTCCATTGTAGGCTTTGTAATGCTGAGGCTTCCTCCCAGTGAGTTGAGGTATGGTGTTAAAATAAGTTTAAGATATATTTTGCTATGGAATGTTTCTTCCCAGATCTGGACTAAAAGATTCTCTGACCCACCACACCTCCCATTGCTCCTCTGGTGCATCTCTTCTTTATTTGATTTCTCACAAAACCATCAGGACTCTTCAACAATCCTACCAGACTCCACTAAAGTAGCACTACAATGAATGAGCACGTCACTGCACATTCTGAAACAGTTCTCCCATTTAATGCTCCCAGAGCATTTTCAGATGGTCTTTTAGTATTTGAAATTGTTGTAAAACAGTAAATGAGGGTTTGTTTCCATAGAAATGTTGTTTCTTTGGCTATAATATTCCATGCATAACATCTGTCTGTCTCCATGGAGAATGTAACTTTTTTAACAGTTTTAACTTTTTATTTTCATGGAATCATACAGGACTAAAGAGATCTGGAAAATGAATCAAAGACACAATTTTGGTATCAAGGGCCGTCGATCACTGGCACAAAAAATGTTTTTCTTCTGTAGAAACTTCCTCAATGAGTCTAAATGGCAACTAGAATGTAGTTAACATAGGCCCAAACAGGGCTAGGCTATTACAAAGCACCAAGGTGCTTAAGGTGCTTTGAAGATTTTTAAAAAATGTATATCAAAATATTACATAATTAAAAATCTGGGCTTTGTGAAAATTACTCTAAAATACACTATCAGTTGAACACAAGCAGTTTGATTTCACAAAAAAATACACTGCAACTTTATGGGACAATTCTTTTACCAGCACAAGTATGTCAGCTCGTTTCAGTTGTGAAATACAAGTGCAAATTACAACTATAACACACACGTAAATACCTTCTCTAATATTCCCTGAAAAAATGACTTGTTCACTTAATCATTTACACACGGTTCATAATCAAATTTATTAACAGCAAATACACATATTCTTCACTGTGTGGTCCTCAGCTTCAATTTCATGTTGTACGGTTTAGGCGTCACAGTGATGCCAAACACCAGCTCATAGTCAGGCTCTCCTGCATCCTCAGGCCAAATGAACTTAAACTTCCTCAGAAGAGTCACCATGATGAGGAAGAGCTCAATACGGGCCAGGCTTTCTCCCAGACACAACCGAGAACCTGGACAAAAATAGAACATAAAAGTATAACAAATATTGTGTATCAGTAGGACTATTCTTTTCTGTGTTTTTGCCTTTGTTGAGTTCAATTTTTTTCTTAACAAAATTTTAAACTCCTAAGTTAATAAAGTAGCATAATATGGTATGTGAGGTAGAAGGCATGTGAATGAAAGAACCTGGATAATGTGGAGGTGTAAAGAAGAAGAGTGAAGGAGAAATCCAGACAATGGCAGATGCCCTGAAAGTGGGAATGGACCAATGTACGGTAGGCAAATGCAGGTAGAACATAAGCTCTATGCCATGCTCATTGTTTGGGTTAGGTTTGGCCCAGACATGTAAGGAATTTCATCAGGGTTGGGCACTAACCTCTTCCCCAGTAAGGTGCACTCAATAACATAATGCACCTGAATCCACCTGATCACTGTAACAACATATTCATCTTATTTCACCACGCCCACTTTTGTCTCTAAATACCCCTAAGCCACGCTTTCTTTTAGTGGCACTTCCAGTTAAATGGGGATCCCATTCATGTCAATGGTGAATTTGAGAAAGGTTTTGCCAATTAAAGGTTGTATAGAGGATTTTCCAAGGAACGAGAAATCCAGCGACTGTTTGTCCTTTTTCAAATGTTGCGCATGCGTGAAACCACCCCCCCCCTCCCCTACAGCTCCCTACGTAGAAACGCCTCCTCCCGCCTCCTCGCTACGCCAGAAACAGGTTTGTTTACAGCCGCTGCACATGACTTGTAAACAACTAACTACAGTGTTGGTTAGGCAAGGCGGAGAAGTGAGGAGCGGTGGGAGCGGGTGCGCGGACATTTCGTGCGCGGACGAGAAGTGAGGAGCAGGGAGAAGAGCGGAGCAGGGAGAGGAGAGAGGAGAGAGGAGAGGGGAGCGGTGCGCGGAGATTCCGTGCCCGGAGAAGTGAGGAGCAGGGGGAAGAGCGGATCGGGCAGCGGGGACAGGAGTAGGAAAGGGGTGCAGAGAAGGGTGCGCGGAGATTCAGTGCGAATGAACTAGCTACAACACGCAGCAGCAAGCGGACTCTTTCTTTGCACTGAAAATTACGTTTTCAGACATAGGATATCGGTTTCGTGTCCTGAAAACGTTTGACTAGCTCTTGGAAATAAAGTACGTTTTCATAATAAGCAGAAGTGACCTGTCCAGGAGTAATTTGGCGACCAATGCGTCAGTCTTTAGACCCTGCGTCTGCTTCAGTTGCGCCATCGCTGGAATGAATCTTCAAGAATCACCTTAGTTTGGCTTCGCTGCTTTTCCCCTTGTCTTCTTCTTTCAGCAATCTCAAAAACGGACTTTCTTTTGCGGCTAACTGCTCCTGGATTCTTGTCTGCCATTGCAACAAACTTTGTGCGAACTGCGAGGAAGATATAGGTCAAAAAAAGCCGCTAAGAACTGTTGCGTTGGTGGAGTAAACAGCGTCTGTGCGGCTTGCGTCTGTGGACTGCATGACAGGCGTACGTAAACCACGTACCGGCAGCGCGCAGGCAAGTCAGTTACGCTACAAACGTAGGGAGATTGATTGACAGCCTGTCAGCTAACAGATAACGAGGCAGTGTCGTTATCTATTGGCAAATGTTTAGCTGGCCCCACCACGTCCAGAGTTGATGAATTTTTATTCTCTTTTTTTTGGTCATCATAATTACAAGGCTACTGCACCTCTATAATGCTATCATTGACAATTTGAAACCAAAAAAAAATCCTCCATACAACCTTTAAATATGGCATAAAGCAAGTTAATTTGTTACTTTGGTGCCCCATGCAAAATAATATAACCCAAATGATGATGGCAGCCCCCACGGCAACTTCCAGAATAAGGGGAATTGCGTACTACATACTTTCTGGAGGTGGAAAGTAAATGGCATGATCCCATGGAAAGTTTAAACCATACTTTGGAACATTCTCTGTGGAGATACTGTACTGTACCTGCAGAGAAGGGCAGGAATGCATCTGGTTTGACAAACTCCCCTTTGTGGTTGAGAAAGTTTTCAGGGTTGAATTCATGAGGAAACTTCCACTGTCCCTCCTCATTGAGAGCTGACGACAGGTTGGGAATGACAATAGTGCCCTAGAAATAAAACAGACATTTTACACTACTAAGGCATACACAACTCCTTTACAGCCATCTCTATAGCCGTCTTAATGTGCTTAAAAAATGGCTTAACGTGTAGCATCAAAACGTAGGTGGGGCTAAGAAAAGATTTTAAAAGGGAAGCAGTGGGGCAGGATTTCTGAAAAGAGGATGATTGTTAATCCTACTTACTTTGGGAATGGAGTAGCCCATCAGCTCTGTGTCTCTGGTGGTTGAATGAAAAATACTCAGAGGGACAGTGTCAGCCACTCTCTGACTCTCATGCACCACAGCCTGACGAAGCCACAGAGAAAAGAAATGTGGATAAAATCTCCCTCAACTGCACAGGAGAATACAAAACAAACCTCAAGCTATCCACAGTTACGACAAAACAATAGATGACATCAATTACTATTCTTCCTATATTAAAAAAGGGGGAAAAAAACTTAATAAATAAATAAAATGCATTTATACCTGAACATAAGGCATGTTGTGTCTGTCATCAAAAGTGACACAGTCCTTTCCCTCCAGCACTCTGTCTATCTCCTGCTGACAGCGCTCTGGGGAGAAGACATAATAACATTAACATGACCACTGTATAAACACAAAACTGAACAGTACATGATCTAACCTTGGATGTGAGGTTTGGTCATAAGGTAGAGGAATCCAGTGAGCAGTGTGTTAGATGTGGTGTCGGTGCCCGCAGAATGTAGATTGAGACAAGACATCAGCAGTTCTTCAGGAGACAATGTGGTGTTATCACTGGCTTTCTGTGATGGAAAAAAAAAAAAAAACTCTCTCTCAAGATACTGCTTCCGTATTTTTCTGCATGCACCAGTGGAATGACTCTTGAAATGAGTTCAGTGCCAGAGACGACAAGTGAATGAGATGTCTAAAACCCCAGGCTGTCAAATTTTTCCCTCCTCTTATTTTATTTTATTTTAAAAATTGCTTTTAATTGTTTCATCTTGAGGTGGTATCTTTTGGATCATGTGGGTAGCACAGGAATTTCAACTCCTCCAGGATAACACATCAGTATGTGCCATTATCAGATGTGTCTTCAGCACAGCCTCCAGATCCGAGACGAGATTACAGGAGACATGCAGACATACCCATGTTCCCTGCTTACTGTTGATGAGTTCCAATTGCATTTTAAATAAAACACTAAATGGTCAGCTTCACTCCTTTTCACAGATGAGAGCAGACTCTAAGTACAAATGTGCAAAAGTCTGGAAAAAAACCTGGAAACTATTATGCCTCTAGTCTGTAAGCACAAGTATCAATTTTCAATAAAAAGGACCAGGGATGGGATTCGAGAACTGGTACTTGAGAACCCATTTTAAGAGCAGGGTGAAAGAAACTAAACAGAAAAGCTATTGGAATCTATTTCTATTTCTTCTCAAATTCAGTTTTACAATATTTTACATTGCAGTTTTATTAATAGTGTAGCCTACACTACTGACCAAATAGTAATTTTTATCAGGCACATATTCTTTATTGACAAACAATACTATTAATATTAATAAGATCAAATTTCATCCCTAGAAAGGGCAATCCTGCCACATTATGGGGCACACATTATGAGAAATAAATAATTTAATAAAAAATTGAAATTGTTAGTTTTCAAAGTATAATGCAAAGTATCCACCTTGTCCATTTCATCAAGATAGCAGTCGACAAAATTTCGAGGTTGTCCTGGAACTCTGGTCTTCTTCTGCTCATTTATTATAGAGGTGGTCATGCTTTTCACTGTCTAGCACAGAAAAAAAACGAGAAAAATCACTACAATAAAAAGCTTTTCAATCATATTTTGGTACTACCTGTATTCTCTTAAAACCTTCATTGAATGGTAATGGCAAGCAGCGAACGTGGGGAAAACTATCATACACCTGCAAAAAACACAATGGTTATTACAGCACTGGACATATGTGTTTGTGTTTCAATACAAATATATGAAAACTTACAAAAGACCAAGGTCCATTGAGAATTTTGTTAATCTCAGTGAAATTATTCACATATTTTATGATAAACTCATCATCATATTTAAATCGTTTTCCAAACAGAACAAGGCAGATCACGTTGGAGGCGATGTTGTGAAACATGACTTGAGCACTCAGACTTTTACCTAAATGACAAAAGATGGAAAGATAGATGACTGGAACAGTTTTAGTTAACACTGTAAAATGGTTCAATGTTGCATTCCAGTTGTTTTCAGAGGTTGGATTTTGGAGCTCGAAGTTTGGATATTATTTCAATCCTATTTGAAAATTGGCTTCCCATTGCATTTGGAAAATCTGGTAACAGTAATATTGACAGTTTGTGTTATTTCCTACACAGAACAACAACAAAATAGTCCAAATTAATAATTAGTCACACTAACTGTGTCACCACTGTAACGACTTGACAACTAGAACACAGAAACTCCAAGAAAACTGCCCAAATTTCTAACCTCTGTGGACACTGGAACACAGCATGAATCTTAGTCAGATGTAAAGAGTCCAAAGACTCCTTATTAATATGGCAGTTATAAACACACCTGTGTTTTTCTCCAGTTTATTGATGGTGTGCTGCAGTTCTCCCAGGATCCTTTGCTCCATTGACTGCTTGCCCAAACCAAAGTTTCTCATGGTCATCAAAGCAAAACGACGATGCTCCTTCCATTTTTGACCATAATCTGCTAGAATTAGACCTGCACCAATTGTACATTATTAAAGCTGGGGTAAAGATTTTCAAACAGTGGAAAAAAGCAGAACGTGGGTATTTAAATCTAACTAACTTCTTCCAGGCTCATCACTATTATTCACAGTTGCATTTTTGGGTAGGTGGGTAGAATAGCAAATAATTGTACTCAAGTAAAAGTAGCAAAATAATATTGCTCAAGTATCCATCGTCCACTGTCGCCATGGGCATGAGCAAAAGCCTGCTCAAGGGTCCAGCCAATCAAAGTGTGAACTGTACCAACCAATCACAGAAGTTGTTACTAGTTTGCTCACTTTTTGCATTAAAATTTAGCCAACTAATCAGACAAATTAATCAGAGATGATAATACAATTTGAAAAAGGATTTGTAAATGAATAAAATTGATATAGAAAAAAAACTACTTATTAAATGTTTTAAAAACTCTTTTAGTAAAATCTTTTGTTAATCATAGCAAAGCAGAAATTAAATTCTGTCAACTGGACAAAAACTTTTGATTGAATACGTTTCGCAACTCATCCAAGCTGCTTCTTTAGCTCTGGTCAGAATGCTGGTGGACACTTCCTTATATCTGCCTGAAGGGAGAAGCTAACTACACTGAAACTACTCTGAAATTAACACACCTACTTGTTTACAGTTTCTGTTTGTTAGCTAGGCCTACTGAACTGCACTAAGTGAGGACTGTGCCTGAATCAAATTAGCATGATCGTTCAGGCTTTCACACCTCTGAGGGTGTTTTCACACCGACAGTATTTGGTGCGCACCAAACGATCCATTCGAACCAAAAGTGGTTAGTTCGGTTCGTTTGCGTTGGTGTGAAAGCGTCAATCGGACTTGGACCTGAAACAAATCAAGCGGACCGAGACCGCAAAAAAGAGGTGGTCTCGGTTCGCTTGAATCCGCACCAAATGACCAACTTTGGTGCGGTTCCTCTGGTGTGAACGCGAACCCGGGTCCAAACCATAGACAGTATGGACAAACGGACTATTCGAAATGCATCATGGGAGGGACACGCGTCTCCTCTGCCTGAAATGACGAGCTGTACGACTCCAGCGCAGTAACAGATTGTTGTCCAGACGCAGCCGCGATTCATTTTCGAATTATTTTACCAACAATGGCCAATACAGAGAATGTAACACACGAAGATCAGAGCAAGTATCAGTGTGCGAACGTGTGGCTCCAGAGTGAGTCAAAATTGGGGGTGCGTACCCCTGTTCAGGACCTACACGCACAGAGACGACCCGGTGTTCCCCGTGATCACACAGCAACCAACATTTGTTATTTTAGGCTTTAATTAACCAAATAATTTCATGGCAATAGGCAATCGCCCATTCAATTGATACAACTTAAAAAAAAGTCCGTTTTTAGCCTAGTGTGAGAAATACAGTCGGACTAGATCCAAACCAGAGTCCTGAACCAGCGGGGGCAGCTCCAGTTCAGGCCGGGCTCAGAGGAGCTGGAGCGGGGAGCCTCGACCTGAGGAAGCGCTTTCCCCGGGAAGAACCAAATGCGCGGAGGACGGACGCTCAGAACAACATATAACAAACCAAACTGGACTCACGCTTCTGTCCGGATGCTGCACCACCTCGGAACCAGCCGTGGTTCTTGAGCGCGGAGAACCGGAGAAGCGCGCCGGACCTGTAGTCCACAGCGCATTCTCACTTTCCCGCACAGAACCAGCGCACAGACGACGGAACGTACCCGCTCGGACTCAGCCCATCAAGCACTGGTCTTGCTCGCCACCGTTTGGAACCAGCACATGGAGGACAGAGCCTCCGGACCATCTGACCAACGAGCTTGTAACAGAAGACCAAGGACCAGACCCCAGTCCCGTCCTGAGGAGCTGCGCGCTACTGTGAGCGCTGTTGGCTGCTGCTGTTACCCGAGCTCTGGGCTGATGCGGTGAGTTTGTACAAAGTTCTACATGTTGCTGTTTTATGAGTTCATGGTGATAATTTGAGATGAGGACGGCCCGTGGTATTAACAGGAACATCGGTGTTGATAACTGGAGGTATCGCTGTTTTACCGGGGAAACAGAGACACGTCAATCGAACCAGTTTTGGTTCGTTTGCCGGTGTGAACGCGGACCACACTGGAGTGTATTTGCTACATAATAACAATTTTATTGCCTGGTGCGAACCAAATAATCGAACTAGCGGTGTGAAAACGACCTGATCTTCGTGTGTTACATTCTCTGTATTGGCCATTGTTGGTAAAATAATTCGAAAATGAATCGCGGCTGCGTCTGGACAACAATCTGTTACTGCGCTGGAGTCGTACAGCGCGTCATTTCAGGCAGAGGAGACGCGTTTCTCCCATGATGCATTTCGAATAGTCCGTTTGTCCATACTGTCTATGGTTTGGACCCGGGTTCGCGTTCACACCAGAGGAACCGCACCAAAGTTGGTCATTTGGTGCGGATTCAAGCGAACCGAGACCATCTCTTTTTTGCGGTCTCGGTCCGCTTGATTTGGTTCGGGTCCGAGTCCGATTGACGCTTTCACACCAACGCAAACGAACCGAACTAACCACTTTTGGTTCGAATGGACCGTTTGGTGCGCACCAACCTTAGATGGAGATGTACGGCAGACTGAGGTCCTGAGCCCTGCACACTACAGTTTCCACTACACTGAATGGAGTAGACCACATTGCTTTGTTTGTGGCTCACGGGTTTGTCCCTTGGGTGGACCAGTTTCTGTCTTTGTAGGTTTGAAAAAGACATGTCTGAAAATCCTGTGTAGATTTTCAGAAACACCAGCCATGTGAGGAATAGTTACACCCTTTCTCTTGGGATCTGGTTCTCTGTTGGTATGCTTTTCAGCTCTCTTTGTTCTGTTGAAAGCCCATTTTGGATATCCACAAGCAGAGAGGGCTTTCTGCACTTGTTCTTCATTCTGTCATGGTTCATGTTTGTAGTGGTTGTAGTTGGTGTTTTATTTTGACATTTGTTTTGAGTAGTGTTTTTGTAGTTTTGAGTTTTACTTCCTGTCTTGATTGTTTGCCCCGCCCTCATGTGTCTCACCTGTGTCTCATTAATGTGTGTACTTATAGACCCTGTGTATTCCTTTGCCCTGGGTTGGTACATTGTCATTATGACTCTCATGTCTGTTTTGGATTTTGTGTTTGTTCATTAAACAACTTTGGAAATGCAGTGTTGCATTTTGGGTCCTACTTCTGCTCTAGACGTGACACTTTCTCCTTTGTCCATTAGAAAGAATTTTACCTGGATGACTGAGGGATTACACAAACCTTTTGTTACTTGGTACATTAAATAATCTCTTAAACCCTTTAAATAAAAGTCTCTTTTAATTAATGCTTTACTTTATTTAACATGATGCACATGTAGGGTTTCTTCTTTAGTGACAATGACTGTCACTGTCACTGGTGGAGTTGTGACCCAATCTGGTATTTCTGCCTAGGGTTGTGGCATCTGACCTTTTGGGGGCAATGCTGATGCTTCAGCATTGCACTTTACAAGGTTCTAAGACTCGGTTCCAGGCATTCGGATAATTTGGCTTTACAAATTTGCACCTTTTGTATGATTGACATTTGTTACCTTAGACCACACCCCTGTTTACCAGTAATGTATGAAATGTATTGGCAACTGTTACAATGTTGTGTAATTAAAATAAATAGTAACCTTTTTTTTCAAAAAGTGCAGTCATGTATATGTCCTGAGGTCGTCCAGCAAAGTCCACAGCCTTGTTAACCAGAGCCTCCTTCAGAGCCTGGGTCCCACTCACCACCACAACAGCTCTGGGCCCTATGTACAGGCTGTAGACATTCCCATAAGTCCTCCTCAACTGGAAGCAAAAAGAAAAACAAACATGGAGAATCTCATCAATAAGCAATCTTACATAAAGTACTAAGGGCTCCCAAGACTTGTGTTGCAGTTGAAATGGCTCTAAATGATCAGAGGGAATTGGCTGCAGACCTGCATCCAGAGGACCGTACCTCACAACCCTCCACCAGGAGAAACCTGACGTGATTACCCTCCATTCACATATCCCTAAAAATTAACAAACAAGTGGCTATACCAAAAAAACTGCAAAAGATGCAGATTTCCTATTGCTATTTTCAACGTACATCTTGACAGTTAAATATTAGTTTTAGGTTTAACTCAAGCAGAGCAGAAACAATACAAGGTAGTTATTTGTAAATAACAACATTTTTAAACATTGTTGATTAAATGTCTACTGACTCTTATGTAAAAGACAGGATCACATCTGGTATTTATTTATGAATTCTACATTATTTGCTTAAGCCAGCATTTATGTGCCAAAAACATTCATTCAGCTCATTTAGCATGCAAAATTTAATTGCTATTATACACCATGAGTGTCAACAAGGTCGCTCGCTAGTCTGGCATATACTGGTTATATGTCTATATCTATTTTTGGAAACCTTTGTTACTGGGCAACAGTCCTGCAGGCATTGTTGTGAAAATTGCAGTTGTGGTACTTGGTACACTGTTGATGGCGAAAACTAATATCAGCTGGTTTCTTTTAGTTTTGTTCAGCCTGAAAATAACTTTTTATCATTGCCATGTATCTGGGCGCCCCTTCAGCATGAGCAGACAGTCCCTATCAACAAGTTGCATGCTTTTATTGTACTTAAATTTGTATTGCACTTACTGATTCAAAGTACTTCAGAGGGTTGTCAAGACTTAAGTTGAATGCATTCCCCAAAAATGGCAAAGCAAAGGGTCCAGGTGGGAAGTTTTTGGGCCGACCAGACCTGAAAAGAATAAACAAGACACAGAGACATATCCACAGGAGCAGCAGAGACTCAAACATGGTGAAAGCAGAGAGCAAACAGGAACATGAGTCGGCTGAAGTTTAGGTAAAAATCTGTGATTTTCTGTAGACCCGCCTCCAGTGATAGTGGATTTAACACTTGATATGTAGGGAATGAATAATGTATTTGTTAAGAGGGTTTGCCAGGTTTGGAGGTAATTACATAACACATCATTTCCCATTATATTACAATCAGATTACAATAAGTTCTTTTAAAAAGGGCGTTTACATGTACTCAAGTAACCTCCTTCTGAGACTTCTTCAAATAAAAAAAAAATCCATTAGCTCAAAAATAAAAAAGATATATATTAAATACCACAGTGCTATATATATTCATATTTCCTTGTGCTTATAAATCATAGAACTTTAATAAAATCTGAAAGATGAATCAAATATGGCATTGTATTGGTTTCAATGGCCCATGCTCATTGGTATATCATATCTGTGATTCCCCAATTTGAGTCCCTGCTTTGACTGCTGCCCCTGCAACCTGGTCCCAGATAAGAGAAAGAAAATGGATAGATAGGTTTCTATGCATATGGTATTTTAATGACATTATTTACTGTTCCTAATACAGCGCTGCAGCACCTCTGCCAGCACCACTGGATTGCACTGCCAGCGATCTGAGCTCCTCTCACTACTTTAAATTATATGGTATACTTACAGCCACCAAACTGGAGCTGCACCGCATGCAGTCTGAGCCCGGGTTAGTCAAGAGCTTTATTTGAAATGTGCTTGTGGGCCCTCAAGGTGAAAATATGTAAGACATAACTTAAATATTTTTGTGTAAATCCTATAACTAAAACCAATTTGAAATAAATCCAAAGGGGCAAACCACAATTTAATGAGTCCTCACAGGCAACAGCTCATTTCAGGTGTAAAAAGTGCATATTATAGCTATTGCCTTCAAGCAATGCCCGAATGATCCCGGGAGCTATGTTGTCGGGGGCTTCATGCCCCTGGTAGGGTCACCCAAGGCAAACAGGTCCGGGGGAACGGGTCAGACGAAGAACGGTTCAGAAGCCCCTTATGATGAGTGCAACACAGAGGCCAGTTACGTCGCCCGGATTGGCGTCACCGGGGCCTCACCCTGGAGCCAGGCCTGGGGTGGGTGCTCGTCAGCGAGCGCCTGGTGGCCGGGCCTTCCCCCACGGGGTCCGGCCGGGCTTAGCCCGAAGGAGCGACGTGGGGCCGTCCTCACGTGGGCCCACCACCCGCGGGAGGAGCCATATGGGGCCGGTCCAGAGAGATCTGGGCAGCAGTTGACGGCGGGGGCCTCGACGACCGGATCTCCGGACATGGAGACTAGCTCTGGGGACATGGAATGTCACCTCGCTGGGGGGGAAGGAGCCTGAGCTTGTGCGGGAGGTTGAGCGTTACCGACTAGATATAGTCGGCCTCACCTCCATGCACAGTTTGGGCTCTGGAACCCAACTCCTTGAGAGGGGCTGGACTCTCCATTTCTCTGGCGTTGGCCGCGGGGAGCGGCGGCGGGCTGGTGTGGGCCTGCTCATTGCCCCACAGCTCAGCCACCGTGTGTTGGAGTTCACCCCGGTGAACGAGAGGGTCGCGTCCCTGCGCCTTCGGGTCGGGGACAGGTCTCTCACTGTGGTGTCGGCCTACGGGCCGAACAGCAGTGCTGAGTACCCGGCCTTCTTGGAGTCCTTGGGAGGGGTACTAGACAGTGCTCCAACCGGGGACTCCGTTGTTCTCCTGGGGGACTTCAACGCCCACGTGGGCAGCGACAGTGACACTTGGAGAGGGGTGATTGGGAGGAACGGCCTCCCTGATCTGAACCCGAGCGGTGTTTTGTTATTGGACTTCTGTGCTAGTCACGGTTTGTCCATAACAACACCATGTTCGAGCACAAGGGTGTCCATAAGTGCACGTGGCACCAGGACACCCTAGGCCGGAGGTCGATGATCGACTGTGTAGTCGTGTCATCTGATCTCCGGCCGCGTGTCTTGGACACTCGGGTGAAGAGAGGGGCTGAGCTGTCAACTGATCACCACCTGGTTGTGAGTTGGGTTCGCTGGTGGAGGAGGAAGCTGGAAAGACCTGGCAGGCCCAAGCGTGTAGTGAGGGTCTGTTGGGAACGTCTGGCGGAGGCCTCTGTCAGAGGGACTTTCAACTCGCACATCCGGGAGGACTTCTCCCGGATTCTGGGGGAGGCTGGAGATATGGAGCCCGAGTGGGCTTCATTCTCGGCCTCTATTGTCGATGCGGCTGCTCGGAGCTGTGGGCGTAAGGTGCCTGTCGCGGCGGCAATCCCCGAACCTCGGAGCTGGGAGGAGTTCGGGGAGGCCATGGAGAAGGACTATCAGACGGCCTCAAAGAGATTCTGGCAAACCGTCCGGCGCCTCAGGAGGGGGGGAAGAAGTTCTTCGCCAACACTGTTTACAGTGCGGGGGGAGAGCTGTGGACCTCGACTGGGGACGTTGTCCGGCGGTGGAAGGAATACTTTGAGGATCTCCTCAATCCCACCGTCACGTCTTCCGAGGAGGAGGCCGAGGCTGGGGACTCGGAGGTGGACTCATCCATCACCCTGGCCGAAGTCACTGAGGTGGTTGGAAAGCTCCTTGGTGGCAAGGCTCCGGGGTTGGATGAGATCCGTCCTGAGTACCTTAAGTCTCTGGATGTTGTGGGGCTGTCTTGGCTGACACGCCTCTTCAACATCGCATGGCGGTCGGGGACAGTACCTCTGGACTGGTGGTCCCTCTGTATAAGAAGGGGGACCGGAGGGTGTGTTCCAACTATAGGGGGATCACACTCCTCAGCCTTCCCGGTAAGGTCTATGCCAGGGTACTGGAGAGGAGAATCCAGCCGATAGTCGAACCTCAGATTCAGGAGGAGCAGTGTGGTTTTCGTCCTGGCCGTGGAACACTGGACCAGCTCTACACTCTCCATAGGGTGCTCGAGGGTTCATGGGAGTTTGCCCAACCAGTCCACATGTGCTTTGTGGACATGGAGAAGGCATTCGACCGTGTCCCTCGTGGTGTCCTGTGGGGGGTGCTCTGGGAGTATGGGGTCCGGGGCCCTTTGCTAAGGGCTGTCCGGTCCCTGTATGACCGGAGCAGGAGCTGTGTTCGCATCGCCAGCAGTAAGTCAGACCTGTTCCCGGTGCATGTTGGACTCCGCCAGGGCTGCCCTTTGTCACCGGTTCTGTTCATTGTGTTTATGGACAGAATTTCAAGGCGCAGTCAGGGGCCGGAGGGGGTCCGGTTTGGGGACCACAGGATCTCATCTCTGCTGTTTGCGGATGATGTTGTCCTGTTGGCTTCATCGAACCAGGACCTGCAACGTGCACTGGGGCGGTTTGCAGCCGAGTGTGAAGCGGCTGGGATGGAGATCAGCTCTTCTAAGTCTGAGGCCATGGTTCTCGACCGGAAAAAGGTGGCTTGCCCTCTCCGGGTGGGTGGAGAGTCCCTGCCTCAAGTGGAGGAGTTCAAGTATCTCGGGGTCTTGTTCACGAGTGAGGGAAGGACGGAACGGGAGATTGACAGGCGGATCGGTGCAGCTTCGGCAGTGATGCGGTCGCTGTATCGGACTGTTGTGGTGAAGAGGGAGCTGAGCTGAAAGGCGAAGCTCTCGATTTACCGGTCAGTCTTCGTTCCTACTCTCACCTATGGTCATGAGCTCTGGGTAGTGACCGAAAGGACGAGATCGCGGATACAAGCGCTTGAAATGGGTTTCCTCCGCAGGGTGGCTGGGCGCTCCCTTAGAGATAGGGTGAGGAGCTCAGTCACACGGGAGGAGCTCGGAGTAGAGCCGCTGCTCCTCCACGTCGAGAGGAGCCAGTTGAGGTGGCTCGGGCATCTGTTCCGGATGCCTCCTGGGCGCCTCCCTCGGGAGGTGTTCTGGGCATGTCCCACCGGGAGGAGGCCCCGGGGAAGACCCAGGACACGCTGGAGGGACTATGTCTCTCGGCTGGCCTGGGAACGCCTCGGGGTTCCTCCGGAGGAGCTGGAGGACGTGTCTGGGGTGAAGGAAGTCTGGGAGTCCCTGCTTAGGCTGCTGCCCCCGCGACCCGGCCCCGGATAAGCGGACGAAAATGGATGGATGGCCTTCAAGCACACTCTATTATTCATTCTGAGAAATGAATTTGTTTACGTCATCATTTATACACTACTGGTTTATAACATTTATTGACAACAATTATCATATTCTTCACTTTGCAGCCCTCAGCTCACCTTTCATGTTATATGGTTTAGGGTTTATGCCAATCACCAGCTCATAGTCAGGCTCTCCTGCATCCTCAGGCCAAATGAACCTAAACCTCCCCAGAAGAGTCACCATGATAAGGAAGAGCTCCATCTGGGCCAGCTCTCCTTCCAGACACACTCAAAGAACCTGAATAAAAATAGAAAACAAATAAAATGACAATGAAGTCTGTATATCAGTGAGAGTTTCTCCCGTGCTCAGCCCACAGCTCCAAAAGGATTTCAGATTTTTCAACTGTAGTTGAAAAAACTGGTGTTTGAGGCCTGGTCAAACATTCAAAGCATGAACACTCAAGACATGCCTCTTCAAACACCTGAAGCGCACCCTGGTAATTTTGGACATCTGCCATAGACTTTGTATGTAAACCATAGACTGTAGATATAAATGGACATAGCTAACACTGTAGCTGGTGCATTCCAAATAGAGAGTTCACATGCTGGTGCTTACGGCACCACGGTGCTTCTTCTAACCCTGGCTCTCATTGACTTACACTGGAATATTGTTGCCCCTCTCTCTGTAGAGGGCTGCTGTGAGCTTTGTCATTTTTGAAAAAAGAGTCACAAATTTAAGAAAAGTGCACAAGGGGATGTAGATTGATATTCAGACCTGAATTGATATTCAGGTTAAAAACTTTGCACACAAAAAGATAAATGAAAGTAAAAAGTAGAATGTGCAATTGTGCAAAAACAATGAGAAACTGTACAGTATTATATCTGCAGCAAAACTGATATGTTTGCCCCTGCTGCTGTTTCTACCACTGAATGCCTGCAAAAGTAGTCCACAGCCACATACAAAAACCTATGATGGTAGATGACTAAATGTGGCTGTGAATTGTTTAACTGGTAGCCTAAGTAATAAATAATTAAGTTTCTACTTCTGTACAGTGTTATCTTTTAAAAGTCCTTGATAAAGATTTTTAGATTGTCTGTCATTAAACCATCACTGTTTAAACTCTAACGGAGTGTGTGGAGTTTATGAGAGATTAAAGTCTTCTCAATGCAGAATTTTAAGTGGATCTAAAGACTGCAGTTAAATGCTCGTCTTTTATGAAAAACGTGTGACAGCCCAAAGTCCAAAGCATCTCAGGTAAAGCCAGTTTTTATTACTCCTAAAGAATTCAAAACAACACATAATTATTTTCCCTTTGTGAATTTAAAGCATTTTATGGCCTATTATGTACGTAATAGCACTGGGTTTATTGGTCACAAACCCTGGTATAACTACTATGCTCTATGCACGTCCCTCCCTCCTGAACTCCAGCCTCTGTCATGGTCGCAAGATGTTAGGCCCTGAGTGGACAGTATTTAGGTCCACTAAGGCTAGTGTAGGTTGTGATTTTAGCGTCTGTAGCTCAGTGCTGGGCTGTCCTCAGCGTTTATGGTGGCTCTCCACAAAGAAGTTACCTCAGTATGTCACTATGGTTTATTATGTGTCTCCTTGTCAAATGCATTGTTTGTATTGTGTTAAATGTAACCTACTGTATTTAGGCTCCTGCTGGCAGGATCTGTGATCCTTGGTTGTGCCCTGTGGGTGAGAAAGGCAAGGCAAGTTTATTTGTATAGCACAATTCGTACACAAAGTAATTCAAAGTGCTTTACAGAATAAGAAATACATTAAAATCATAATAAAAAACAAATCAAAACATAAATAATCATGAAGATTAAAATTAAAAAAGAGAGACATAAATTGGAGAGAAGAGTGTGGAATGAAAACCTTTCAGTTATATGCACAGTTAAACAGAAATGTTTTGAGCCTGGATTTAAACAGCGTCACAGAAGAGTCTGTCTCACATGTTCAGGAAGACTGTTCCAGGTTTTAGCTGCATGAACCTGAAACGCTGACTCCCCTTGTTTAGTCCTGACTCTGGGCACCAGCAGGAGGCTGGTCCCTGAGGTCCTCCAGAGTTCATATGACACTAACATGTCACAGATGTACTTTGGTGCTCGGCCATGGAGAGACTTGTACACAAGCAGAGCTGCTTTAAAGTCTATTCTCTGAGGCACAGGAAGCCAGTGCAGAGACCTGAGCACAGGACTTATGTGCTCGTACTTCCTAGTTCGAGTAAGGACCCGAGCTGCAGCATTCTGGATGTTCTGCAGCGTCTCACAGCTCGTTTGGAGAGATCAGTGAGCAGACCATTACAGTAGTCTAACCTACTGGAGACAAACACATGGATAAGTTTCTCCAAGTCTACTTTAGACAGTAAACCTTTGATTTTTGCTATGTTTTTTAGATGGTAAAAGGCTGCCGATGTTATTGATTTGATGTGGCTGTTAAAGTTCAAGTCTGAGTCCATTATTACCCGTAGATTTCTTGCCTGATTTGAAGGTTTTAGAGAGAGAGACTGGAGGTGACTGCTGACACTGTCCCTTTGTTTCTGTGGACCAAACACTATGACTTCAGTCTTGTCAGAGTTTAGCTGGAGAAAGTTGTTTTGCATCCACACACTGATCTGTTGGATGCAGTGACAAAGTGAGTCCACTGGTCCATAGTCTCCTGCTGCCAGAGAGACGTAGATCTGAGTGTCATCTGCATAATTGTGGTAGGACACATTATTGCTGCTTATTAACTGGCCTAATGGCAGCATGTAGAGATTGAACAACAGGGGGCCCAGGATTGACCCCTGAGGCACCCCACAGGTCAGGCCCATGTGATCTGAGACACAGTTTCCAATTTCAACAAAATACTTCCTGTCTTCTAGATAGGACTTGAACCAGTTTAGTACAGTACCAGAGATGCCCACCCAGTCCTCTAGTCTCTGTAAGAGGATCCCATGATCGACAGTGTCGAAAGCAGCACTCAGATCTAACAGTATCAAGACTGAGACTTTGCCTGCATCAGTGTTCAGGCGGATGTCATTTGTCACCTTGATAAGAGCAGTCTCAGTGCTGTGGTGGGCTCTAAAACCTGACTGGAAAACATTAAAGGAGTTGTTAATTTGGAGAAAGTTCGTAAACTGTTGGTAAACAGCTTTTTCAAGGACTTTGCCAAAAAACAGCAGATTTGAGATGGGTCGGAAATTGTTCAGTACTGTTGCATCAAGACTGCTCTTCTTTAGGAGAGGCTTAATGACCGCAGTTTTCAACGCGTTTGGGAATGTTCCAGATTAAAGTGACATGTTAACTATGTGAGTGAGTGGTGAAAGTAAACTGTTGAGGACGGACTTTAGAAATCTAGTGGGTAACATGTCCAGGCAGCAAGTAGATGAACTCAGACTGGTAACGATCTCTAAAACAGTTTTGTCAGTTACAGGTGCAAAGTGATTCAGCTCTAAGTGTCTCTGTGGCTGCATGCTTGTTATTTGTGTTGTGGAATTGATGGCATTTTTGATGCCCTGAACTTTGTCATTAAAGAAAACTGCAAACTCATTACATTTAGATGTGGAAATTAGTTCTAGTGGCAGTGGAGCTGGAAGGTTTGTTAATCTGTTCACTGTTGCAAACAGGACACGAGAGTTGTTACTGCAACTCTCAATAATGTCCGAAAAATACTTCTCTCTTGTTTTACTCAAAGTGTAGTTGCACATATGCATTGTTCCTCTGTAAATCTCATAATGAACCTGGAGGTTTGACTTGCGCCATTTCCGCTCAGCCTTCCGGCACTCCCTTTTCTGTGCTCTGACTGAGTCATCATTCCTCCACGGAGCTTTTTGTCTATCTTTAACCATTTTAACCTTTATCGGGGCGATCGCATCCAGAACATTCAAAACACTCAAAGTCACAGAGTTCAACACATCATCAACATTAGAACATGAGGCAATTTAAAAATTTATCATTTCCATGAACAGTGCACCTGTGTTATCATTTATGTGTCTTCTTCGAACAACTGTAGGAGCAGCCGGTGGTTTGGGAATAACAGACAGGTCAAAGAAGACACAGAAATGATCAGACAGAGCAACATCAACCACACTGACATTTGAAATATTTACACCCTTTGTAATGAGCAGGTCCAGAGTGTGCCCTCTGTTGTGTGTGGGCTCACTCACATGCTGAGTCAGACCAAAAGTTTCAAGGACAACACTAAGCTCTTTGGCATTTTTGTCACACACATTATCCACATGTACATTAAAATCACCTGTAATGACTAAACCATCAAAGTCTGTGCAAACAACTGAAAGCATCTCAGTAAAATCATCAATAAAACTTTGACAGTGCTGAGGAGGTTTGTATATGACGATGTAGAGTATGGACGGTGATTTTTTTAGCTCCATTTTGAAGGAAACATACTCAAATGATGAAAACAATCCAAATGACAACCTATGTGTAACCAAATGATCTCTAAAAAATGCACACACTCCTCCACCCTTTTTATTTGCTCGTATTTCAGATTCAAATTTGAAGTTGGGAGGGGTTGATTCCACTAGCACTGCACGACCTGTGTTTTTGTCAAGCCATGTTTCAGTTAAAAACATAAAGTCAAGATTAAAAGAAGAAATAAAATCATGAATTAGAAATGATTTGTTACATAAAGATCTGACATTGAGCACAGCAAGTTTCTGATTAGTTTCAGTAGGACTGGATGTTATCTTCTTACAGGGAATGTGAACTAAATGTCTCTGATTAGACAGTCTAACTGTCCTTCTTTTAATCCGTCTACGTGTTGTAACTGGAGATACAGCTCCATCGCAGGGCCCCAGCCTGATATTACCTTTATCATGACTGTATGTCCTGGGACAGCAGAGGCCCTGTGCGTCCTAGCTCTTGGTGATAACAGCTCTGGGGAAAGGCGGGGGAGGGCGAGCATGGGAGAGTTTGGGTGAGTGACCAGGTGAGGGACCAGGTGAGGGCCGAGGAGGTGGCCGAGGAGGTGGAATAGGGGAGGTTTGGGTGAGGGACCAGGTAAGGACTGAGGAGGTGGAGTAGGGGGAGGTTTGGGTGAGGGGAGAGCTGAGAGACTCTCTGGTGGTGAAACAGGCACAGTTTTCGTCCCTTCGGCCTTCATCAGGGCAAACTGCTCCTTCTCCTTCTCAGCACGGATTCTCTGCTGCTCAGCCCTCTCAGCACGACGCTTCTCCTGTAGCACGGCAATACAAACACATGGTCTCATAGTTCACACAAGATGAAGCCCTGATGAAGGCCGAAGGGCCAAAATGCGTTGGCGTATTTTAACTTTATCTGCCATGTGGTATTAAAGGCTTTTAATTATTTTGTACTTTTTGAGTGCCTCAGCTTTTTTCCTACTCTTCTTCTGCATGTTCTGTCTCATAGTGGACTAAAAATCCAACAATTCCAGACACTATGCTGACCTCAGATGATGTTGCACTGACTGGCTTGAAACAGTGATTATCTCTGGTATCTGGTACTGCAAGTGCATTTGCAAATCTACTTTCCAGCTTGTCAGCCATGGACTTCACATGCTCATGCCATCTTGACACAGCAACACCACACTTAGAACATCTCATGGCAAACAACATGCGCACATTACTGATGACTGACTTTAACCCACCACATTGTATATGTTTTTGTTAGTTAATAAAAATATATAACCCCTCGCCTCCCTCTTTTTGTTGCGCAGTTTCTTTGTTTCATTGCGCAGGATCGTAACAGACACGTTTCTGTTTCTATATTTAAGGACTACATATAAGTTATACTTCAAGTATAGTTTATGAAGACTGAAATTAAACATTTTGTTGAGTTTAAGCTGTGTGTCATGAAATCAGAGCATTTTCTTAGCTTCTGAAAGTGCCTTCATAGTCCATGAATGCTATGCATGTATGCAGACACCGCATTTTCAAAAATTCATTTTGCAAAAATTCATTTTGCAAAAATAAGGCAGAACACCATCACATATTTTGGATATGTTAAAAACAGACATCTAGTCTTCCTAAATTTTTGAGCAAATTCAATCCCCCAGAAATCTGTGATAAATCAAAAGCACATGTGTAAAATTTCATATTCTACAAGTACTTTTTATGTTTCGTATTCTACAAGTAATTTTAAGGACCTACCTTAAATAGTTTTTTAGATACAGCATCTGAAAGTGGCTCCTTGGACAACTCTGCTCAAAGCAGGGCAGGGGAGAGTTGACAGAATAATTTATAAAGAGTTGGGAGTGAAAATTTTAGACTTTTCCTATTGGAAAGTGTGTGAACCTCCTATAATTTTTTCAGTCAAATATGAGATGGTCTGGCGGGGGCATTCGGAGATTTGGTGTGAAATTACCCATAGCTCTTTTCCCAACTCTCAAAGTTGCTTAATAATTTTGTGCATTATTCATTCACTCCATACTCGGTGGTGGAACTAATACTGTAGCCACAGCTGCCCTGAAGTAGACTGACAGAAGAGAGACTGCCAATCTGTGCCATTGGCCCTTCTGACCATCACTAACACTAACACTGCCTTGCCTAAGGACACAAGAACAGTTTTTGCCACTGGTGCCCCACTGTGGCTCATGGAATAATCAATGGTCTCCCACCCAAGTATTAATCATGTGCGGCGTTGCTTAACTTCTGAGATCAGGTTTTGACAAAGTCAAATAAAAGTACAGTTTATCTGTTCAAGGTCCAGCTTAGTCAGTTCTTTATGGCCAGACAGTGTTTAAACAAAGTAAAACATTTGTGGACTTAATTAAATAAAGCAGGCTTATATCTGGGTTCTCCTTCAGTATAAGCAGCCAATTTCTTGCTTTTATCTCCGCCATTATGATGGTCCTGCCTACAGTACACACAAAAAAGATATTGAGTGCACTTACTGATTCAAAGTGCTTCAGAGGGTTGTCAAGACTTAAATTGACTGCGTTCCCTAAAAATGCAAGAGCGAAGGGTCCAGGAGGGAAGTTTTTGGGCTGCCGAGACCTGAATAGAATAAATAAAGAAGCAGAGACATATCCATACGAGTAGCATAGACACAAACATGGTGAAAGCAGAGAGCAAACAGGGACAAGAGTTTTCGTTAGCCCTGCCTCCTGTGATAGTGGACTTTACTTTAAGATATAAAGTAGAGAATGAATAGAGAATGTATTTGTCATACCAAACACACTAAAGCCCTAAGAGTTTGGCTTGCCAAGTTTGGAGATAATGCATGGCACAATTAATTTCTCAAACTCACTCAAATTATATCACACAACAAACACAAGTTCTATGCAGTTAATGAATGACCACAGTGCACACCTGTCTGTACTTGTCTGACCTAGTCTTTCCTGGAAAGAGTACTGAAAATGTTTAGTCAAATAAATACAGTTACACGAGTTCATATATAGGTACAAGTACTGCTGCAAAACTTGTAAAAGTAAAAAAACGTATGCATGAAAAATACTCTTCAAGAGTATAGTCACCTATTCTGTTTTAACACAGTTTCATAAGGATTTTAGATTACGCTTTTAACTTGACCAATCAAGAAGGTAAAACAGAGTTTAGTAATTTAAAACCCCAATTTTCAGTTCTTCAATCCAGTTAAGTTTATGTATTCAGACATCTCAAAGAGGCTACAGTAAAACAAATAATGTACATAAGAGTCTTGAAAATAAATACGCAGAAGTGTAAGATTAGTGTTGCTGCTAATACTTTAATCACAACATACTGTTCAATCCACAATGCCCATAGCCAATATAACAATTAGGATATACATCATATAATATACATATGCTGCTATCAGAATTCACTTCAGCATAAGTGTTTATAATATTCCTCTTAAGGTTGTCTAGTGTTCTTAGGTCTTTTAATTTCAGGTCCAACTTATTCCATACATTTACCCCACCAACAGAAAATAATGCTGCTTTATATTTGTCCTTACATTTGTTTTTTCATGCTTTGTCTGTGCTGTTATATGTGTGAAGGTTTAGAAAGGAATGTCAACTACAAAAAAAAGAACAGGTTTAGAAATCAGTTACCTCAAATATCCACTCACTTACAGTGACATGATTATTTGTAAGAAGTTACTTTCCACCCTGCCTACAGTCACCACTTATCATCTGAAAATATCTCAGTCCCAATGACTGGGGGTCTGCCTGTGCTAATTATTGTGAAAAACTTTTTAAATTATAAAGTAAAGGCTTTAAAATGGCAAACAACATGTAACCATTCAGTCTTTATTACCCAGTTTGTTGTTTTAAAATAAGCTCAGGTGCACTATGCAACTTTTTTGGTGGAAGGGCTGTCACGTGTTTCCATGGGGATTGCTTTGCCTAGAATGTTCCACACAATAATCAAGCATTAATGAATAAAAGCTTGATTAATATTTAATGCAAAGCATTAACATCTCCATTGAGGCAAAACATGGCAGAGACATGTGGGCAATGTAAAGTTAATAAACTGCCCTAGAATGCACTTCTGTACTGACATTGGTTTTTGAGCATTTAAATGTGCAATATTTAACTTTTCTGTTCTCCTTGCCAGGAATGTTCCACTGCATGGCATTATGATTAATCTTGCCTTTATTCAATTACATTATTTATTATTATATTATCATTTAGTTAGTTAGATATATAAAAAAAACATTCATACTGTTAGCGTGGTGGCAAGCAGAGACAAGCAGCTGATAAGCCGTCAACCAAAAAAGCTTCAGTGCTCCTTTTAGGTGACGTGGTAATAAATCAACATGAAAGACATTTAACATTATAAACACAATTGTCAAATTACAACGTAAATTTTCATTATAAGCATTTAGGCTTTGAAATGTGTTTTTGTGAGTATCAGAAAAACAGATGCCAGGGTAATGAGAGTGATAGCAAAGTTGAGTGGTTGATACAACAACCATAACACCGTATAAGTGAATGAGAAGTTCTTGTGGTCAGTAAAAACCATGTGGAACAAATGACTGTAAAATTACGCGTCTAAAAATACTGAACTTTATTGATTTCTGAATAACAACAGATCTACAGACATGGCTTGAAGAGTCACACTTTATTTACAAAAATACTGAGAACCAAACAGTCGAGGCGAGGAAGCGAGACAACAACATTCCCTACAACAACATTAGTAACATTAGCAGCTAAATGCTCTGTTGGCATGTGTGTTGGGAGTGGACTGGAGTTTGCAGGGTGAACCTCAGCTCTACGGGCTTCTTCGGCGCTTCGACCTTCGCCACTGTATGCGGTGCTTTATCAGGCGTGTGTTCAAGATGATCGCGTTTGGTTTCTGAAGATGAGAGGGGACTTCCTGTTTACTTTCTGCGGCGGGCAGCAGCTCCCTTCTTGCTGCTGTAATACAGAAAGATGAGGAAAAAGCAAGTCAAATATGAAAAATATTGTGAAAATTACATGTTGGGTTTCACATAAACGTGTTGAAGAGCACATCGCTCTGGTGGTGACTAATTTGAAAAGAATAACTGATAAAATAAACAAGTGCATACTGAACGTAAATCTATGACTGAAACACAATACTCTATAATCTGTCACAATAACATTCAAAGGGGCACTAATACAAATACATTACACAATAAATTACAACCTAAAATATTCAGTAAGGAAGGATTATAAACCATGTCTCATATAAATTACTTAACAGAATTTGAACATGCAATGCAACATAAAATCACAACTTTGGCCCACAAGTTCAGCTCATGCAGGACTTACCTGTATAAATCAACATATTACACAGTCCACATAGTCTTTAATGTTACTGATATGATGAGTAATAACACAAGATGTTTGCAAAATCCAATACATTTTTCATCAGAGCATTGACACATTGGAGCTTTAGTCATTAAAGAAGACCATGACATCTGTAGACTTAAACACATTTTAATTTAGAGTTACATGTTGAAGTTAAAACTCCAATTATCAATTACACATAAAATTGGTCAGTATGGTTTTGGACAATATAATAAAGATATAGAAGTGGAGATAGTCATTTTGTTAAAGTTAGAAATTGAAGTAAATCAGCTGTCCTTGTCTTTCTTAAGTAGTGTTTTGGTTTGTAAGATGAATTAGGTTAACTCAAAACTGGAGTTAAATGTAGCGATTATTGGTGGTCAGTGAACGCAGCATGGACCGCACTGTACTTACTGCTTCTGCCACTCATCAATGCGCTTCCTGTATGTGAGCACCTGAAAATGACACAGCAGCCATTTTAACACCTGGCATAGTGTTACCTCAGTGACGTGGAAACTCGCCTGTTTCTTGACGGACTGGATATTGGTCTCCTAGTGCATTGTGGGAAAGCAAGATTCACAAACAAATGCTGCGTTAGCTTGAAGCCAGAGCTATAGCTTACTTACCTGCACAACCAGACTCACACCACTCTTTTAATATTTTTGAAGAAATTATAGTTTCATCAGGGCTCTTTTAACTGAACTGGAATGTATAGTAAATTTGTTGCAATATTTCAGTGCTAAAAGGAATCTGAAGTGCCTGAAGTGTTAGTTATGTGTGTGTTGATATGAGGGTAACTATGTGGGTAACTGCATTTACTTATTGACTAAACGTGCATAAAGAATTGATCAAAACAGCCGCTTGTACAGCTGTTTGTCTTTAACTTAACAAATGCAGTAAATAAGTATAGTAAATACTGCCTTAAATGTTGAGCCTTAATATTACAGTTAATATCTGACTTGTAAAACAACCCTACACCTGGAGAGCAGTGGTGCATTGGTTGTCTTCTGGGTTGCGGGCTCCTACATGCTAACTTCTCTAGCCTCATGCAGCGAGCCGTTGCTGTACAAACTGCTCTGCTCTACTTACAATTTACTGAGCTCCTCCACTCTCTTACGCAGGGTTGTAACCTGGGAATCAAAGAGCACATTCACCATTGAAATATAAGGTAGTAAACAATGCTGGACCAATCAGAGGAAGCCATCTCGAGGAAGCTATAGGAGGGAAAAAAATTTTAGTAAAATGTGCAATGTCCAAAACCTATAAGTGAAAAGGTCATTTAGTGTCAAAGAAAATAAGATTTGTTATGTTATGTTGAGATGAAAGATGAAAATGAGATGTTAGGTGACATTTATAAAAATACATTTTAGTATTCATATTACTACAGAGAATGGGTTAGGTTATGTAATTTTACCACAATTGCTGTAACGCCTTTCCGTTTCAACAAACTAGGAGTAAAAAATAGAACACGTTAAAAAAGTAGACCATATTTCCATCATTCTATTATATATGGGAACATACATGTGTTTCAGCAATGCGCCACGCTGTAAAATTACTTTTGATATTTTGAAATGATATTTGTTATGGCTAGTTAAGACTTGTGATTAAACATAATTGGGCATCCTCACCTCATATTTCTGCCTCTTCAGTCTCTCCATGTGGTCGAACTTCTCGGACTCCAGCTGACGCATCCAGTCATACAGCTCATTGATCTTGTCCCTGTTTCACAAATAATATACAGCACATTAGAGCACAGGCCACATATAAAGAAGTATCATAAATATATATGGGTCCGTACTTCAGTTTGTCCTCGTTCAGGTGGTCAATGTTGAGGGCCTTGCGTCTGGCGGCCAGGATCTTCTTCTTCTTCTCTCTCTCAGTCTCTTTCTTGCCTCCTCTCTTCTGGTCAGCCTGTTTGGAAATGGTAAAGTTAATACAAATAATACGGCAATATGTTTTATATGAATTTATTACATTTTTGTATTGGACTGCTAATTTCTCATTTAATTATTGTCTGTTAACAAAGTAAATGGGTGGATACATATGTATCTCCAATTATCAATTACCTTTGTTCCTGACCAGATCATTAATGATTTTAAATTACATAATCTCAATCTCAAGTAAAATTTAAATAAATGCACAGTCCTACACCATAATGACACTATTCCTTACCATGCTATTTCCACCCCTTACCCATGCCATTACTGTATTGTAAAGTGAAGTGCTCCCCAATCACTTGTGTATTCATGCAGTGCTCACTCTCTGCAGATGGCTGCTGTAGTTGGAGCCCATGTTGGACAGAGCAGACTTCTTCTTGGCCTCTTCATCTGCCTTCTTCTTGGCGTCAGCCTCCTCTCTGACCCGCCTCTCCTCCTGATGGTCACATGTGGAATAAAAGTTTGAGTGACTACTGTGTGTGCATTTTTTTCCGTGTAAAATTGCGTTTAATCACGGACCTCACGTCTGGCCTGGCGCTCCTTCTCCTTCTCAGCACGGATCCTCTGCTGCTCAGCCCTCTCAGCACGACGCTTCTCCTGTAGCACAGCAATACAAACACATGGTCTCATAGTTCACACAAGAAAAAAGTCTACTGTTTGTGAAAAGTATTATTTAATAGGTCTAGTATTTGATATTATGTTTTAGGTGGTATGCAAATGAGACTGCACCACAAAATCTGCAGTTACTAACACTTTTTTCCCCATTAACCTATTATTCTTGTTACTAACCACCATGACTGTATGCATGACTGTATGCCATTTCAATCCAAAATGTATATTGCCACAGATTTCCTTAATAGTCTATTCACATTTGATTTTAAAGAATACATTTGTGAGAATCTGTAAACTCACGATTCTCTCCTTGAGGGCGATGAGCTCCTCCTCTTCCTTCTTCCTGCATTCAAAGTGCTGGTCGATAAGGGCCTGCAGCTCAATCAGATCCTTGTTCTGACGTTTCTTCTGGATGTCCTGTACCACATAACCACAAGCCATGTCATATCCTGCCACACTGACTCAAAAAAATGGATTTAAGTTTAAATATATATGCAATATACATACATCAAAGTCCACTTTCTCACCATCTGGGATTTTGGGAGCGCTAGGCCTAAGAAACAGTTAAAATACTTGAGTCTAGTTGTACAAAATACATTTGAATATATTAAGAAAGGTATTTAAATCTTTGTTACTAATATAAATGGGACTTACTTGAACTTTGGCTTCTCCTCTGCAAGTTAAAAATGAAGAAGGGACAAGTACATGTTTTGGGGTTAGAAACACTGGAGATTATTGCATTTCTGTCAGTAATTATACTTTAATAAAGTTACATAGCAAAACATGTTTTTCAAAGTTATGGTTAGAAAAAGATCAACTAGAAAACAGTCAAAAAAGATATTAAAAAAGAAGAGTTTTAACAGGATAAGGATAAATCATCTTGCTGTGAGTGAAGTTATGGTCTGAGTCCTGTTAAGTTGTGGTTTTAGATTTCTCCCTGTGTCCATTGTATTGCTTAATGGTTTTGTTGGCTTGACCCCAAATCAACAAGCAAGACAAGGAAATATAGTGTATTGTTTCTCGGAAGAACCAGATTCCTGCGGTACATGCCATGCGGGCATAGCATGTGGCAGAGTTTAGCGGTGGGGTCGCTGCAGTGAAGCACATGTTAGCGTCAATATTCTTTCACCCTTTTCTTTTACTCAAAGATAATTGTAAATTGTATTTTTAGTAAATATTTAAATTCTCCAATTGCGCTCCTAGAGTTGGACAAACAGATAAAATTTGGACAGACATTTTGTGAACAGCAGGCGTTCCCCAGCCCAGTACAGTACAGACGTAGACCAGGACAGTATGGTCCCCCAAAAATCAGAGTCTCATTAGAGATCAACATACCTTCCTCTTCAAGGGCCTCTGCATGCAGCAAGCATCGAGAACAGAGCAGAATACAAGAGTTAGCAGGCACACAAGCTGACACGCAGCTCTACAGTCACATGGATACGCTACTCAGATAGTTGCCAAGTTCAACGGTGGCAAACAAACTGTTTGCTAATCATTGCACACATTATAATGAACAAAGACATTATACATAAGTATGTATAAATAGTGTTAGAACTAGCAACTATTTGAGATACTAAATACTGTATAGTGGTAGACTACAGCAAAGTGACTAAAATAGTTGTTTCCACAGGCTATAGGATGATTTACAGAGTCAGAAAGGTACACCCAGACAGCATGTGGATGCAATAGAGTCAGAGGCCAAGCCCAGAAACGGACAGAAGTGAAAAATACAGTTTTAAAACATCTTAGTCTGACTGATCTAATGCCATGCTAGGGCACCTCTGTCTGCTGTAACAAAGGTAATCAAAGCCAAACCAGAAGAGGTCAGCTGACATGTACTCCATGAACAGCCAGTACATGTTCACAGATATAGTTAGCGTCAGACACTGAAGGAGGCCAACATTGGGAATTTAACTGTAGGCTGCCTATTTAAATACATTTGTACCACAAGTATGTACCTGGCCTCAGTAAACCATTAGCATACAGAGGTGGCATGAGCTATATTTAAGCATAGGCAAATTAGTGGACTAGAGCTATGTTTTACATTGAACAAGACATTATTGCAGTGCATTACAAAGACACCAAGCAGCCACACTGTATGCTAACTAGTAGGGCAACAATTGGCATAGATAGGATTTAAATGCATATATGATGTTCAACATTATAGTTTGATATGGTTCTCATATAGGCAAAAGGGGCCTGTGTCACATTTCCACAAAGGTAAGAAGTTCATTTTAATTTATAAGCCAGACGTCTATAAATGTTCTACTTAAAGTTTTGTTGTAAAGCTTTGGCCTTATGATTAGTCATGCTGTAACTGTAGACTGACAGCTTTAGCTCTTGATATGAAATCATTTGTATGTCAGAGGTGAAGGGAAGGTAGCATTAGCATTAGCATTAGCAGACATGTAAACATGTGCGTCTGGAGCAGAGCGGTCTGTCTGGGTGGCTGTAGCCGGTGGAGCGCACCTGTCTGTAGGTTTAAGGATGATAGAATACCCCTCCCCTTGGTGCCACATACCTTCAGGCTCGGGCTCAGGCTCAGGCTCGGGCTCTGGTTCTGGCTCGGGTTCTACCTCTGGTTCAGGTTCTGGCTCTGGCTCTGGTTCTGGCTCTGGTTCTGGCTCTGGCTCTGCCTCGGCCTCAGGGGCCGCCTCAGGGGCCACTTCTACTTCCTCTACTACCTCCTCTTCTACAGCTAAACATGCAGCAGGCACGGGGAGGAGAGGCGTCAGAGCATTAACATGGGGGGCCATGGGGACAGAGCATTATACTTTCATGGGACAGAGCAACAGGACAGGTGTCAGACATTATGGAGGCTGCAGCAGTCTGCGGGACTACCACCAGGCGGCGCTAGAGCACGTAAAAAGCGAGCAGTTATTTCACAAGTGTAATGTCATGATAATGATGTGATGGTTTTCCGGAGAGACCAGTATAAGCGTCTTGGTCCTGACTGATATACACTATATTCTCAACTGTCTTTCAGTCGTGTTAGTGAAGAGGCATGCCACAAAGGTCGGTTTGGGGTAAGAAAAACACACGTCGAAAATGTGATTACATTAGTGCGAATAACATTTGGAGTCTGTAGGCTGTGTCTTACCATCGTATTCTTCACGTCCATCCGAGAAAAGAAGGAAAGGAGCATTACCAACAAGATCCCATTTGTACCCATTTTTGACATTTAATAGAGCAAAACCTGGGTACACTGGGATCCATGCTAAGCATACACACCACAGTCCCCAGAGCTGAAGGCACTGTTTAATGTGTAAATGTGAGCATTTACACCATTAAAGGCCTTACACTTGGCTCTAGGGGACTGTAGATTGCAGATGGTCATGCAGAGCTGCAGGTATCATTGAAAACTAGACACTGCTGTATTTTCACCTGTATTTTTCAATGCCCGTTGTAAATATAGCACTGTCTTATTGTCAATGATAGAGCCTGCAGCCATGCGTCAGCAGCATAGTAACATCCAGTATGTGCAGATTTGCTTTAAGAGAAACAGAGGAATCTGAGGAGTCAAGCCAAACCTGCAAACATACAACTGTAACCCTGTTCATACAGAATCTTTATGTAAAGGGCTGAAAACTAGATATACAGATTAAATGTAACATCACTGGAGATTAGCATGGACCTCATGGTTTTACCAAATCTTACAGAATGTTGTCTGCATTTGTGTCACAAAGAAAGGAATACTTACCCTCCACCTGATCACTGAAAGACACATTTAAAGGAAAAAATCAGTTCACAATTTCACATACCCATTTGTCCAGCTTTATGATAACAATTGTAATTTGACTTACACTTCTTCTGTGTCAGACATGGTGACAGTGGACTTTCCAACCTGAAGAGAAGAGAGAGGAGAAGAACTTAAAGTATCCCTGCTAGAAGAAAGTTAGCAGCCATTTGAGTATTTTTAGCCTGGGATTATGTTTCAAATGTCTTAAATATCTGCAGCCAACCCCACCCTGACCATACCTCACTCCAGTGGCCTTGACATATCTCCCACAACCCTTCACCTCATTAAAAATCCCCAAATAAACCAAAGCTTACAAAACCATTTACTTCAAACTCATAAGAATTCAAATAATAGTCTAAAATATCTCTCCCGATTGTTTACAATTAATTATTTAAAGACTCGGGAATATGAGCCCAGGACATGAAACCTCTACACCAATGATAAGTGAGAAGAGTAGCCAAACTTAGACATATGCCCACAGTCTGAGAGGAAGGGAAGAGGAATGATGTGGTAACCAAAAGTTAAAAAGGGGTTTAAAAAGGTCAATCTAAAGGTCAAGATAGGGCCCTATAGCCATTTAAACATATATAGGCCATAATGTGTCCATACCTTAACCTTAAAATTAAAGTTAGAAAGTCAATGTTATTGCAATAAAAATAGCAAAAAATACAAATTTATTAATGCTATCACTGTAAGACGTCATTGAGTGTCCAAAAAAGCGCTATATAAATCTGATCCATTATTATTAATATTATTATTTGCAAATATTGGTATATGATGGCCACCTACCCAGACTAACTGACAGATTAACAACCTCGGCCAAGTAGAAGTAAAATTGTTCAGAAATACATATTACAATTATATATTTAATTACTGTCATTTAAGTATTAGTTATGCACTCCTTTCACCTCCGCTAACAATGGACTGTCTCTTCAATGATAAACATACATGACCCGGGTTTATCCATAATCAGATCTGTCAGCGATTAGATGCTAGCTTAGGTGGCCATTAACGGCATTAGCGTGGGACATCAAAACTATTTCTAACGGGCAGCTGCGGAGGTCTCGGCTCCGGTTTCAGCGACTCTATGTTGGAAGATTGGGTTCCCCTTCGCCTTTGGACCACTACCCATAATTCCACCTCCATGCCCTTATCTGGTCGTGTCACCCTCACATGGATCCTTCAATCATTTTTGCATACCTCCCCACTGACTGTGAGTTAAAATAAACTCAAATTGGGTAGGAGAAGTTCAAGAGGGTGTAGGTCTCAAGTAGGCAGGTAGTTTGTGAAGTTTCTAACCGCTACACAATATGTCAACTAAGCAAAATATTCAGTGGCCTTGTTAACATTCTTGGCTTCCTTTCAAGATGATAACTTGTTGATCCATTTTCCTGTACGCACCTGCCACACCCACTCAACAATGTATTTTAACAATGTCTAAACTCTGTCTCCAGTGTAAGCCATCGTCAACAATAACTTGACAGGCGTGTCTACTGCTCACTGGCCAATTGCATAACTTATTAGGATCATCTTCTTTCTTCTCCAGTGGAAAGCCACTTCAAAGGCCTTAAGCCAATTGTAAATCCCACAGGTATGGACCGCTGGACCCCGACCAGAGCGGGCAGAGAAACAACAACAAAGTGTTCTGTGATTGCAGCTGTTGAAATCCTAAGCGCTTGTTATTTAAATGGGTCAATCTGCATAACTGGAAGACTAGACTACTATGCATACAATGTAAATAATACAAATTTTAACATTTCATATCAAAAACTCAAATTTGTCACATCAACCCAAAACTTAGCAGCTTGTTTTTAGCCATGACAGTGATTTTAACACATGCAGCTGTTGGGACACAACTTGAAGTGGGGGCAAATGCACTTGAATTCCAATAGTTTTTTCTACTCAAAGCCTACCACACTATCTAACCTGCATTGTCTATCTTTCCTTACCTCAGAAAAGCTGAAAGAAGTGAGCTCCCGTTGGCCGAGACAGGCTGTAAGGTTCTGCAAACTTACCGCGCTGATTATGTCCTTCTGTTATAGTGACATTTGATACCCTCCACAACGCCATTGGACGAAGGGGCGACTGGGGGGCACTGTCCTGGGCACGCCACCCCTCCCACTCCTCCCACCGACCACCTACCACCATTTTTTGCTGGCACTCAAAAAAGGAGATGCAAGGAGGCAAGCGTTAAGGTGGGTGCAGTCTCAAGTTTGGAGAAGGGGATAGCCAAGATGCCCCCCCCACGCACACACACGCACACGCACGCACACACACGCACACACACGCACACACACACACACACATACACACACACACCTAGGGTTGCTATTCTGGGGGTGCTGCATTAGGCAAGCACATTTCTCCAGAGAGCGAGAGGAGACTTGGGCGTCTTGGAGCAAAGCAGGTGCTGGGTTATAGAGATAAACATCTTGTACTGAATAGTGAAAGCGAAGTCCTGCTGGTTTTCTTTGTTATTATACAGCAATAGACTTACATACATTTCATTAATTTGCACTCTACAAGGAAGTGGTGAAATATATTTGTAATATTTATACATTTGTAAAGGTGCAGGATGTAACTTTTGTGGTGGAGGGTCTGTCACTTGATCGTTGCTATGACTTTGACAGTGTTCAACTCTATGGTATTAAGCTTGTCTATCTCCATGGAGTCAAACAGGGGAAACCCTGAATTTTTAAGTTAGAGGTCAGATCTGTGGAGAGGTATATTCACAGTGAGAATATATGTTTTTCAGGATATTTTTTTTAGGAATAAATAACTGCTAATGAATAAATGCAAGATGGATAAGGTTAATGCTTTACTGCAGAACACTCCAGGTAAAGCAATAACATCTCCATGGTGACAACATCTACTACAGAAAAGTTACATTGTGTATCTTTAACTCGTCAATCTTCTTTTGATTAGTAGCTCATGATTTTATCTTTCTCAGTGGTACTAGCTGTTGAAATGCTGTATATGACAACATTAGTACCCTTAAAAACAAACTAAATGTTCTAACCCTTTAGGATTAGCCTGAGTTGACTCCTCTATGTTGATGTCAATCCAAATAAGCTGTAGCAAGCATCATATAACTCACCTCTACCCCTCTTTAATATATGGGAGGCTCCTCTGGGCTGCGTTTTTCTGTAGACTGAAAGGTCTGTCTTTGTCCTCTAGAGGGCGCTACAATGACAGGGTTAAAGCAGCAGCCTGACAGTGAGTTAGCCTGACAGAGCCGAGGTGTCAGATGTTTCCAGACCAGAACCACAAATAGTCCCAGGCTATAGCCCTTTGCTTCAGGATATTGTTAAACAGTGAGCTGACCTGTCGCTGCAGTAACTGCTGAACAGCTGGGATTTCAAGGGAAGAACAAAAAGGTGCAAATGAATTAGATATTATCTAAAAATGTATTGTACTTGTTTAGTCATAAAGAGAAGAAAACCTAAATTAATCCATACCTGTAATATATAACTTAACAGCATCCGTGAGCTACGGTCCTTTGCAAAGATCTGTTCAAAAATATTTATTTATTTATGTAAAAGGTAAAATTCTATATAAAAATATGTATACATAATAATACATAAATACATAAAAATAAATAATACATAATACTGCTTTAATATGTTTATGAATGTTCGATAATTTCCATCGATTTCCTATCATAATTGTCTTTCTTTTGTTCAAATAGATAAGCATGCAACCATGAAAGAAATCATTTCTTTGTAGCCAGTATGTTTTATCCAATCAAAATGAATACTGTAGTACAGCATTTCCGATAGGCTAATACACAATGGGAGGAGTCAGCAGTGTGCCAAGCAACCTTTAAAAGAAAATGGCACACTTCAAGTGTGTGTGTCCTGCTGTGCATCAGGGTGAATAACATATAGCTCCTTGCTCTTTTTATGTGTTTAATATGGCTATGGCAATTACATGAGGTTAAACCAGATGCATTGTTTATAGTTTTATAGTACAAGTGGTAAATTTCAACACCTGTCCAAGTTCTACACAAGAATATAAATATATATTATATTTCAGACATTATGTGAGCAGTTCTGACTTGGCTTCAACCACAGTTGAACATGTAGATATCAGTCTGTAGTTTTATGTCATTTGATACATGCCTCTAAAAACATGAATGTCTTTGATATTATGGCCAGTGTTTTGCAAACCAAAAGTTATGTTCCACCCCATGTGCCGTTACAGAATGTGACATTTAACCTTTCAAACACTTTTAACCAGGGCCTGAACACTGGGTCATTTACAGTCCTGTAAGTGCCGCATGATCCACTGACTGTGATCGCTTTGAACAGCCTTTGCTTCTCTTTATGTGTGAAATCTTGGTTTGACCGCTTAGCTCTGGGGACTACTAGGACGTCTGGTGCTCACTCCTCAGTGGTAACTTGTAACCCCTCTTTTAGGGGAACAGTAGGTGAATGTACAAGTCGTGTAGTGCTGCAGCTGTAATAATGCTAATAGGACTGACCACCAGTCCCTCCCACAACGCAGAGCGTGCCCTAAACACAACAGATAGTGGGCATATTTTTAAGGTATTACTTACATCATAGCAACAATGTAGTTGGCATAGAATTAGTTAATAATAGACACAATACTACCTTCTTGGCCTGCAAAATACACTTTGATAACTATTTCAAACTGTGCATTTAATCAATATGAAATACAATTTAGAATGGCAAAATTGATTCATAGATTGAATCAATTGAATCATTCACAAACAGATAAGGGCTGGTAGTTCTATTTCCACTTCTGCCAGTGCATAATGTTGATTTCTTGGGCAGGACAGTGGCCTAGAGTTTGTAAGGGCTACCGTGCTCAAAAAGAAAGTTGTAAGCAGATTTTTAAGCATTTATGGAAATGAGAAAGGACAAGAAGTTAATTCCAGAGTTTGCGTCCCTATCTATCTATCTCCTGCAGCTTTGAAGCAAGTTTTAGGAACCATCAATAGACTTTGACCAGATGATGTCAGGCTATGGACAGAAATGTATGGCTTAATCAAGTTCACAGGAGCCAAGCTGCTAAGGTTCTCAACACAGGAATTTTGTATGAAGGTGCACATGAAAAAGAACATGGGAGCCAATGCAGAGATTAAAAACAACAACAAAAAAACTAAACAAACGCATCCTCCTATAGGTCAAAGGTCTTACTGCAGTTTACTTGTTTGAGTAAAGAGGAGTAAACAGGCAGTTACTGTAACCTTGTGGACACAAATTATGCACAAGTACATTTTTTTTTTTATGTAAGGCCACATAGGAAACCTTACAATTGTCAATAAAGACATTTCCCCAAGTGATGGTCATTTTACAGTATTAAGATGACATGAGAGTTACTGGACAGCACTCCCTTCACCCCTCCTCAGTCTTGGCCCGTCCTTGCATTGCCCTGGTTGGCCCATGGAGCTCAGTTTTAGCCTGTTGAGCTGCTGTAACCCAAGTTTCTGTGGCCTGTCCTGCGAGTGTCGCCTCTCTCTGCTGCCCCAGGACTCAGAGTTTATTTTTGGACTGCCATGGCGTCTGTTCCTTGCATTCGTGTCAAGGGGGGTCTAGTTGGGCTCAATATGAACCTGCCGTTCTAACACTTTGGGCTGGGACAAGCAGGCAGCAGCCGGCCGGCCACCCCCTACGCACAAAACGCACAGGTAAGTCCACCAAAATTACTTTTTCTCATTAAAAAGTTGCATTATAGACATGATTGCTGTCCTAAGAGCTAGGGAGCAGTAACCTTGCTAGGAGACCACTACCAGGGCATTTATAGGACAGACATGTTGGGGGGGCTGTTTTGGTTGTATCGAGCACTTAATGTAAACTAGCAACTAGCATCTATGTGTGTAGCTTTGACTCATAATTGGTTTAGCTAAGTGTGTTAGCAAAATATTCCACTATGCTAACAATAGGTACCTTCTACCTATGATTGACGGTCTAATATGTTTGTATGTTTTAATATTGTGTGAAGCTCAACACTAATCTACAATGTCTGTTCTTTTCAAAGGGGTACCTGCCTGGGCTGCTTCAAACATCTGTAACACAAGTTTTTACCTGGTGAGTTCATACCACGTCCATCACTATTTGTCATGTGATACCTTCATTAGGGCTAAAGAGATTTTTGGGGCTGGATTCGTCGACTTGTCTATTGTATATTGACCGGCTTGTCCAGCTTTATTACACCAGCTATTCTTACCCTTTCCTCTTTTGAACCTGCATCCCAAAGACGCTCTAAATACCGAGCCTACCACGGCCTTAAATGGAGGAGTAGCTTCTCGAGTGTCAGACAGCAGCAGTGGTTCAGAGTACATTTAAAACACAACCAGATCTGGCCTACATTTCAGTGAGGTGACACACTTAGAAAACTGATAACATTCAACAGTTGGCTAAAGCAGGCTGCATTATGTCTGGGTCATTTGCAGTCCATCTACCCATTTGACTTGATATTGAAGATTTTGTACACTGACATTCTGGGGCTTTTAAAGGTGCACCAAGTAACTTTTCTGCTTGTCTGCATGGAGATGTTATTGCTGTGCCTCCACAGTACATCTGTCTGCCTGCCAGAAGACAAGTAGGTGGCCTGATCAAGCAAAGTTAAAGGTCAGGTCTGTGGAGAGGAAGGCTTACTCACATCATAGTAAGAACAGCATTCCAGGTAAAGCAATAACATCCCCATGGACACAAACAGGTAGCAAACTTCTACCAGAAAAGTTACATGGTGCATCTTTAACTGTGTTTTTTTTTTTACTACCTGAATATAAATAACTTCTAACATTTCTTTCACAATATCAGTAATTTTAAAGTTTACAATCAACCTACAGGATATCACAAACAAGTGTTTTCTTTGTGCCATTCTCAAACCCAAATAAATGCTTTCATCAGGAATGACATATGGTGAAAAAACAACACCTTGTCAATCAGTAAGTCACAGATTCAGGCAACTAGCACAAATCCCAAATAAACAGTATATTTCAACATAAAATTTAAATGATCTAGCCTCCGTGTGACCTCCCTTATCCCCTGAGCCACCATGTACAAACCAGTGCATTAGATTGTCTCTTTAACAATAATAGCAGGCTTTGAGGTCCTAAGTCAATGTGCGTCCATGTTATTTATATGTTGATCCTCAGTGATAATGTTTTTTCTGGGGCCTATCCAGTGTCAGAGGGCCGTGATGTCATGAGGTCAGCTGCTCTGCATTCACTTTCACCCTTCAGCAGATGAATATAGTCCATATGTGTGGGTTATGTGGTGAGAGACATGAGACGGACTAGGTTGAAATATGAGTATGCTTTTATGAATATTTTTTGCTTATTTTGTAAATACAGTCATTGTTCCCTATAACAGTGTTTCTCAACCTCTGATGCAATTACCAATATTTTAGAAGTAACTGTACACCTCTTATAATTCATTCATTGCCTAATTCAATATACCAAGTATTGCTAAGATGTAGTAAAGTCTGGTTTTGAAATTGTACATGTTTAGACCTGTTTTAGTCCAAGTGTAGATACAGTGAACCAGACTAAGTATAATAAGTAAGTAACTAAGCATAATACTTAAATAAAACTTACCAAAGCAGAATTAACCAAATTATGTAAGGTAAATATAGAAAGAGATTTTGCTGCTACCCAAGACATGATGGCTAATTAGTAGATAGAATTGGTTTTGCATTTCATATCATAACAGTAACAGGCTATAAATGTTGACATAGTCATATTTGCTTCAAAGTAACTAGCATAGTTGTTTGGAAGTGCTAGTCATATAAGTATGCTAGTCTCATTCACTTGTGATCTCACTCTCTCATGAATGGTGTTTTTGATTCAGTGGTTCCACTTGATCCACTGTGCAGCTTCTTGATTTATTGTTTGGAGGAAGGTGTTGGAGTGTCTTAAATAAGGGCAGCAGGTGATTGGCTGACCTCGTCTCTGCTTTCTAACTATAATTAGTCTTAGTCAAAGCTCTGAGGATCAGCTGTGAAGTGGTAACATCATCAGGAAAGAGTTCAGCTCAGTTTTGAAGACTGCAGGGTCAATATCATATTCTAGCCACACAAGTGTTATCAATATGTTAGTATCCAGTGTCTGTGTCCTAAAATTTAAGTGAATGCTGTAAATGTGGTTGTTCTTGATGAGGCATACAGTAATGATCAGCGAAAACATTGAATTGTGATTTTGATGTCATGGTGACCTAGAGAGATAGTTGTAATTCAGTGCTTTTATCTAATAGCTCTAGGCTCAAATAGAGGGACAGCACACATGCTGTTATTATTGGACAGACTTGTCCTGCTCTAAGCTGAGTGACAGGTGGATTTACACATCACAGGGACAAATCACAGGGAAAACCCAGAAGAAGTAGGAGATAAAGTTACTGTGCCAGACTACATACATCATAATTGTTTGCTATATATCGCCAACTCATCATAAATTATAAGTAATACAATTTAGGGGAAGGTCTGAAAATTGTTAGCTCTAGCTCTAATCTGTAACTCTGCATAAAAACATGGAGAGATCCATTGTTGGATCACTGGAACCAAGCATTACCAGAGATGAAAAAAATGACTCCAAAAAAAGTTTAATTTATTTAAGAAAAAGGGGTTACAGACAAGATGACATTTAAGAAAATATTTTAGAAAACATTCAAATCAAGGAATGTGTGCAATAGTTTACAGATGAAGTTGAAGGCACCAACATGTAACTAAAAGTATTGATTATAATTTCAACAAAGTAAGAGCATATTTGAGAACTGAGAAATTCTATTGTTGTAACATCATTCCATTGTCTTCAAATTTGGCATCACATCTTTGTAGATTAAAATGTATAAAAACACAATACTTGTAACATTTGAAAATTGTATCACTTTCTTTCAATTTTTTCTTGATTAAATGAAATATAAAAAGTCAGATTGTTTGAAGCAAAAATGTAAGTGCAGAAAATACACAATATAGTTATAATAAAGAAAAATAAACTCTAATCTTGCATTGCCTACATGATAGAAAATGTAAACTCTATGAAAACCAACTCAGACCAACCAGTAACAGTAAAGCTCACAATTAGATATGTACATAACATTAAGAAATGCATATAAAAGAAATCCATATTTGTTGAAATTTTGAGTTTTATGTATACAACTGAAAAACTGATCATTGTGATGAATTGAACGACATATTTAGGACCATGTCTGTTAGGTGTCATTGAAATCAGCTGGTCCAATGAAAGGCGGTGTGCATGATCCAGTTCAATTGCAGCAGTTGTTCTATAGATCTGAAAAAAGAGAAAAGTGAATGTAACTTTTAATAAGTTAGTACAATTTGTAATGCTATATCTGTCTATGCAGTTCAGTTCACCGTTCATAGTGCACTTTGGTTCCCTGGCTACAAATAATAGTGTTTATGGGCTGACCTTTTATGGTCTGAATGGTTGTCTTAAGACTGTAACTACTACTTAACCAAAAATGTTTTAGTTTTATTCTACTCTTGCCAGAATTTGGAATAATCTATACTATAGTATAGAATGCCTTTTATTGTCAATATACACTTGTACAATCCACAGTATGTACATGCACAACGAACACTCTCCAGTGCACACATGCATGTGGAACACTTGAACTATCTACACTATATCTAGTCACCACTTCTAAAATCATGTTGGAATGTACAGTAACTCTTTATTTAGTAACTTTATTACTTGGTTGTATTGTTGTATTGTTGGTTGTATGTACATCAATTTGTAGTCATCTCCAATCCAGTCCTGAAATTTAGTAGAATAGCCTATTTGTTGCAAAAAGAATAACACCCTAAAGACATTTTATAAAATCTTCATAATTTAGGATATATAATATCGCAGTCAACTATCTCTGAAACGTATTTTGTTGAAAATTTTAGAATCAATTAAACAGAGAATTGTCTAAGTAAAAAGGAAGAAGTTGAAAGAGGGTTATATAATCTATGTTCAAATATTGGTAGCATCTAATTAATAGTTCTTCCTTATGTTCTTTTCACAGGGTGCAGACGCGCTCATGGCTCTCGCTTACACCTCCGTCACCCCTCTGGGCCTGTTTGCCCATCCGTACCCTCCTCCTCTGCTGCCCAAGCCTGGCAAAGACAATGTCCGGCTGCAGAAGCTCCTTAAGCGCACTGCCAAGAAGAAAGCCGCAGCGCAGGCCTCGCAATCCGCTGCTCCCTTCCGTTCAAGCCTCTCTCCTGTGAATGAAGCTAGCCCTGATTTGGAACATAGCGACCACTCCTCCACACCGCCCAGAACCCCAGAGACCCCTTACAGTTTCTACAGCCACCAACCGCCAAGATTCTCAGTAAAACCAGTCAAGCCGTACCAACATGTGGCATCGCCCTATCCCCAGCGCGCAGCATATGGTCGTGGGTTGTCCCCCCAAACTGTGGCGCCACCTATGTACACTCAACCAGTTGGCACTTCTCCTTCATACCCCAGTGTCCCTCCTGCTACACAGCCCGCCCCACAGCCACCAGTGCCCAAAATAACACTACCCTCTTCCTCTGCACTGGAACCAGCAGCTGTGGATGTGCGAAAACCAGCCTTCATCACACTTCCTGCAACACCAAGGGCACCAAGTCCTGGCTTTTATCCAACCGGCCTGGCAGAGACGCGGCCTCTCACTGTGCTTACCCCCATTGTCAAGTCGAAAAGCCCTCGTCCGACTTTCAAAGCAAATGAACAGTCAAAATCGCCTAAGCCATTGTTCGACGTCCCTCAAATTAGGAATTACACAGCAAGTACATCCTACTATGAGACATCCAGGACCCCGCCTGTGTATGATACGACTGGGCTAACATCTATTGGAGGGACTGTGACGCAATCTGTAACTGAAACCAAAATAGATACAACACCATCGTCAGAGATAAGAGCGAGGGGTACGCCAACAGCTAACTTGAGTTCCGACCAACAAAGAAGGACCCCTAATATGACAGGAGTGGTTTCAACTACTCAAGAATCCCAAGTTCAGACTCCAGCTACTGAGGTGAAACGGGCAACACCAACAGCAGATGTAAAGCGAGCCACTCCTACCTCTGAACCAAAACGCACCACTCCCACCACTGAAGTTACTGTGAAAACAACAACATATGAATACCAATCATCACGTCTATCACTGGCACGTCCCAGAACACCATCTTACCGTCCGACCACTCCAGTTTTTGAAGTCTCAAGACCCAATCCCCTACTTTTTGCGGTGTCGCCCATTACAATAGAACAAGAAAGATCCAGAACACCTAAATCGACTATAAGCGATATCTCAGTGAAGTCTTCTGAAGTGATACCGAATGGGGACATACATCAAACCGAGCTACCAGAAGAAAAAACAGCTGAAGATGGTACTGTACAGTCAAAATCGGAGTCAGATATTTCTAGAGTGAAACCTACTACTCCAGTTGCTGACTTGCTTTCAACTGAGCCATTGCCGACTTTACCCTCTCAAAGCATTCAACGACCTAAGACTCCAACATATGAAGCGTCCCGCCTCTTGAGTTCTGCCCCGGGATTCAAAAGACCAAAAACACCAACGTATGGGACCTCTGTGACTGGGGCCTCTCCTGCAGGCTTTCAGAGACCCAAGACTCCAACACAGGTAGCTCAGAAATCTCAGAAGTCTTCTTATCGTGGACTGACGCCTGCTGAGTATGCAGCCTATGGAGGTATCAAAACCTTCTCTCCAGCGTTTGGTATCACAACATCTTTGACAACTCAAGAAGAAACTAAAGTACAGGAAAAAGTAGAAACTACAATGACTACTGAAAACTTTTCTGTAAAAGAGGAGGCAATTGCTGAGGTGCCAAAACCAACTGAAACTATAAAAGAGCTAGATAAACCTAAGATGAGTCCATCTGTACCTACAATTGTGGTAACTCAAGCATCTGAGACAATTGCAACCACAACTATGCAGGAGAAAGTGTCTAGTCAAGTTGTAGAAAAGACATCTGTTATTAAAGAAACAAAAGTTGTGCCTCAAAAAGAACAGGAGAAACCTACTGAAAAAGTTGTAAAACCTGTTCAAGAAGTTACTAAAGTAAGTCCTGAAGTCAAGCCGGCTAAAAAGGATGACCAAGCTGGACTAAATGCAGTTAGAAAATTGTTCGGAAAAGCTCCGTCAGCAGAGAAAAAAGCTGTTGCAGAAACAGCTAAAGAGGATACAAAACCTCAAGTTAAAAGTGAAACTACATCTGAAGAGACAAAGCCAACCGCTGTGCCTTTTAAAGCGGCCGCAGCAGAATCAAAAATAAGTGAGAAGAAAGAAGAATCTACACCAGCTGCTCAACCAGAGAAAAAAGAAGAGGATGGGGCTTTACAAGCTGAGCCTCTTCTTAAAGCTATGCAAAAGCCGAAAGGCCTGAAATCCAAAATGAGCGGTTGGTCAAGACTAAAGAAGCACATGGTTGTAGAGCAGGAGGAGCCCAAGTTTCCAGAAATGGGTATCCAAAAAGAGTCCACTGTTTTGGACAAAACTAGTGAGCCCGAAGCAGTTGAGGAGAAAGCTAAGGATAAACCGGCAAGCGAGAGCCAAGCTGTAGACAGGGACAGCCCCAAAGCCACTAAGATGTGGGATGCCGTCCTCTTCCAGATGTTTTCCACCAAGGAGAACATCATGGCGCAGATCGAGATGAACAAAAGCGAAGAGGAGAAAAAGCAGGAGAAAAAGGACGAGCCGGTCGAGATCCCTTCGTTCGCACACCGGCTGCCCGTGCTACTTTTTAGCCCACGGTTTGATGCTAAAAAGCTCAGGGAGGCGGCGTCCAGGCCAGTGACGAAAATTTCCACTGTGTTTGAAATGGGGTTGATCGGTCGAAAAGGAAAAGACGAGGAACCAAAAGACTTTAACCGAACAGCAAGGGGATTCGCTGCTTCTTAAGCTAAATGTTTAAAGTGTAAAGGAAATGCTATTTATGTAACGCTTCAGAAAATACAGTTATTGTTGTTGTACAGGTCCACCGTCTTAGTCTATGTGAGTGTTGTTGTCGGCCTTCATTTTTACCTGCATTGTGTGATTGGTTGTGTGGTAGATTTTTCATGTTTGTAGACAGAGTTGTATGTGTCCTACAGTCATTCAGACATCACATTGGATTAAACAGTTTTGTTTAAAATATACTCAGAGCTTCTCATTTGTTCCTTGTTTTTAACCATTTCATTCATTTTTATGTTTTTTCATTGAGGCACTTGTCATTGTGTGGGGAGAAAGTGGCAATATATTGGAAGCATCAAAATAAGTAAGTGCAAAAGTTTAAGCAAAAGGGCCAAACAGTAACTTCATAACACATTACACATAGCAATTATTTAATTAACAAACTTTTTACTTTATTTTGGGTTGGTTATTTGTTCTGTTTCACACACATTCACACACTCACACACACACACACACACACACACAACTATCTCACTCATTTATTTTAATTCTTCATAATGGTGCTATTTGCCTCTTGGTGAGACACACAGGGTACAACTCTCAAGATTCATTCATTATAATTGCTTAATGTTGTACTGATCTGTATGCATAGACAAGATCAGAAGAAGAACAGATTTAATGGTGCAATATTTTTGTATTCATACTGTCAATATATGAACAGTAAGGTTTAGAGAAGACTTTCTTTGACTTGATGCTTGTTAAGAATGTTATTAGAAATGGTGGGGGAAGTAGGTAGGCACAAAGAAGTATTTTTTAGTTTGTGCAAAATGTCATCATCAGACCATTTTTGTGTTGCTATTTGTCTGTCTCTGGAAGAGTAACTGTTTCAAAATAAAAAGTAAAAAGTTGCCCATGTTTACAATTTATTTATAAGTGCTTAATAATGATGACTGAAAAGTATAACACAATCCTTAGAAACTAAAATTATTGTAGTGTAATTTGATCTAGTATTCGTTTATTAAATTTCTCTTACCCTCAGAAAACTCATCATCATCCACAGGGATCTTCTCGTATTTGCCGTGACCAGTGACAACAAACTTGTATTTTTTACCAGATGTGGAGCCCTGAAATCAATCAATAGAAATAAACTTTGGATGAATAGTATGTAAAAGCACAACAATCTAATCTAAACACAAAATGTGTTATTATTAAGTTGCTAAACAAGTAATAAACCATATATTAGGAATAGGGTTCATATAATATATAATATATATTTATTTACAAGAGCAATAACTATAACTACTGTGTTATTGCATAGGGGAGATATTGCATCCTGTATGGCTTAATGAATGGATGGATTGATAGATGAATGGTTGCTAATAGAGATAGACCTTACTATTGTTTGGCTGATATTTTTTCAGCATATCGGCTGTTGGCCTTAAATCTCCAACAGAGGCAAATATTTTGTTTTAGACCAGCTAACTGTCTAAAGAATATACATAAAGCTTTATATGAGCACTTTACTACAAAGAGAGTACTATACAAAATGTGACTACACAGCTCTTATCTATTTTCTAGTAAAATATGGCTGTGGATGAGGTTTTAGTAAACTCAAATGATATCATTTTGGAAAAATAACTGAAATTGGCCCTACATATTGGCAAAAAATAAAATAAGATATTGGCAGAGCTGATCGGCCATTGGTTGCTCTGGATTCTAAACAATCAATATTGGCTTCGGTAATGAAAAAATAGTAAAGTGTTACATATTTTTTAGAAACTTATAATTTACATATTTATAAAGTGATATATTTATTTATGTCTAGCTTTAAATGGGATATGCTGGAATCAATTGCTGGGTTTCGGATGACATCAAAACATTTTATTGGCCAATAATATCCAAAACAGATGGGGACTTGTAAAATGTATATTGTTAAAAGTGCACTGTGTAACTTTTCTGGTGGAAGCTCCGTCAAATGCTTTTCTCCATGGAGATGTTATTGTTTTGTCTGTAATGTTTCACAGTGTGGTATTAATCCTTTCTATCATTATGGAGACATAGTTATGATCATGACAGGCCCACTAAAAACCACTAATGTTTAAAAGTCAGGATGGTAAGATTGGTATGCAGCATGTTGTTGTATGAGGACTAAAATGAGAGCACAAGTTAAAGTCACTGTGTGTGTCCAGACATACCTTCCTCTGCCCTGACCTCATAGAGCTCTCTCCCATGCCCTCCCACATGTTCCTCTTCTGCATCACGTCCCCAGGCTTCACGTCCTGGGACACAAAATAACAACAAGTGTAATGAGGGAAACAGTTAAACATAGGTAGAGAGGGCATAGTCTTCCCATGGTCTTTTGCTATTTACCCTATGTCATGCTCCTTTGACCATCTTTATAGTCTAAAGTAAAGCATTATGAGCAAAAGTTGTTTCAGGTAAGGCATCTGACATAAACCTTGACGCTCAAACAATCATACGGATTGTCTCATAATGGGAGATAAATAATTTATTGCAGTGACAAATAAGCCAGTCAAATAAGACTCTAACCTGAATACACTTTAAAATGTATATATTATGCAAAATTGGCCCTTGTGAGCTTCAAGTCGTGTTTTAAGATTGTTACTTTCTCAAAAAACATGCTTAATGTTATGTTTTATTTTATTTGCATGTATGAGTAAGCCTTATTATTAGTCTGTCTACGTCTCCATTGCTCAAAATGCTCTGTTCCACCTTGTGATGTCATGATGTAGTAGTTTTCAAGTTAACATCTAACTTTTACCATTAGTTCAGTAGGCATGGGCAGTTCCGGGCTGAAATTGCCCAAATTGCCCCAAATTCTACTGAAAGCATATGCATTAGTTTAAAAACATAGTGGAGCATTTCCTGTATTACCACATGACATAAGAGTGTTTTCTGTTTGAGAGAAAAACTTGCATTGCGTGCATTAAACATGAATGACTGAATGAAACAAATCACAAGTCCGGGTATGGTTTTGTCATTATAAGAGAGTAATATGGGCCCTTTAAGATAACAGTTGAATTGCTTTTTTACAATATGAATTGTTTCTCTCTACTAAATGCAATATTACATTAGGTAGTATTAGGAATATTAATTCTTTTTTATTTTAAGTTTAAGTTTTGTTTTTGGCAAACCTCATATAATGTGTTCACACTGTACCTGAACCACTGCAAAAATGAGCTCAACAGCTGTACCTATAAACCCATTTACCATACCGTAAATTCTACTTCAGGAAATACTTGGCATTTCTTCTCATAAATAGCACATTAATAACAGATTGTAATGGTGCAGTTGCTGACTTACTGTAGGTTTGCCTGGCCCCTGTCGGCTGGGGTCATTGGGGCCCTTCACCCACTGAGTGATCAAGTTAGCTACACCCACTTTCAGACCTTCTGTGTCCTGTTACAACAAAACACAGAACAATTCTATCATTCATCATATGTTAATTATAAGACACTGTAAACTTTAATCAGAAAATAATACTGAGGAAATGATAGGACCATTAAACAACAACCCTATGTACTGTATGTACTATTATTACAAATATTTAAGCTAGTAAGAATTAAGGTTGAGCTGAAGGTGCTGAATCTTATTTTTAATATCTAAAATCTGAAGTAGATCATTTTAATTGTTATCAGGGGTTAGTTGTTGTTCCTTCATTGAAATGAGTTTATAAGCATTTTTCACAACTTTCAGAGACAAAAGTGGAGTTTTGCTGGCATAGTAATAACAGTGCACAAACACTATGATTAGCTACAGACAGCACACAGTGGTTTTATTTTGAACATAATTGCAATATATCTGTACTGGGGCAAAACTACATGGAAAAAAATTGGATACAGCTACTTTAAGTCCATTTACAATTACATATAACACAATAATAATTCTCACCTTGCAGCCTGGTGCTTTGGTCGGACTCTGACAAAAAACCTCTCCTGCTTCGAATAGGTTCTTCTTTGTGGCCACTTCAGGTGTGCTGGGAAGGTCAGATGGTGCTGCCTTCACTGACCGGGTCTCAATGGACGTCTGTAAATAGAATATAGAGTAATGCAACTTTTCAAGGTTATATTAACTTAATCTTGTTTCAGTTCATTTGCGTTCACAATCTCAAACTTGAGCTCACTGTTAATAGACAGACATGTTGCTCTTTGTCATTTTTTAGTGATTGGCAGATGAAGTTTCCAAACTCCCATCCTTATAATATATACCACTGTATAGGGAATGGGAATGTGATGTGACACGACTTCGTGCATGAGAAGGAACTACCCACTAGGTGCCACACTTCGGTGTAGACTGGTTCAGTGAAAATGGTAGATAAAGTGCTGTCAGTCTTTCCGCCATGGGACGAACTTATTCTGTTGTTTCCGCCCCAGAATGCACTGCACAGCCCACTTCCGCTCCCATTCCCTATTGTACCCTTTTAAACAGTACATTGAAAAAATAACTTAATTTTAGTTTATTTGTGTTGATAGTTTTTATTGAGCTTATTTGATTATGGTGACACAAACTTGAGAATATATGTCAAGGTGTAACAATATGGCAAGTAATTATTGTATTATATATTTTTTTTATTGTTAATTGCTATTGCTGCGGCCCTAATTTTCATTTTAAAACCCATGAAAGTGACATTTTTGACACCTGCCAGAAAGCTTTAGCTGAATCAGATATCATATTCTAATTCTCATTGAATTGCCATGGCTCACTTGTTCATTTTTACTGCACTTTTGACCCATTTGTTAAGTGCTTCATAAATTAAAGTGTCTAGTATTAACCCGGAGTCAAACTGTGAGTAGGGAATCAGCCTGGGAACTGCCTGAGGTGAGGAGCTCGAACAGGAAACAGAAGAATGAAAATAAAAGATGCTATAGTTACAAACATGTACTAGTCCCACTGTATATCTGACCAACACATATGCCTATAAAAACAGTGCACAGCAATGATGTCATTCCCTAGGTGCAGCTGGAAAATGTGACCCCCGACACAATAAAGGGCACAGTAGCGTTTTGTCCCATGTGCCTTAAACACAACACCAGAAGTATGACATGAAAGAGCAGATTTTGCAATTTCCTGCAATATTGTTGCAGTTGTATGTAATGATATTAATTACTTGTATTGGTATGACAACAGACTATATGGGCTGATATAAAATGCTATTCTTTGATAGTGTTGTCATGATACTAAAATTTCAAACTTGATTTTAATACTAAGGAATAAACTCAATTCTGATATTACAATGATAATAAAACACACTCTTTATTTAGACAATAGAATGTGATTTTCAGCATTAATTCTTTTATTAGTCTTTTCCTTCAGATGTCCAGATATGTTCCCTGGTGGTCCATGGGTGTATAGTAATCTATGTGGTTTTATAGTTGTTCTGATACAGCTCAAGATCAACACTATTCAGGAAAGGTTCTTTTCTGTCCTGCGAATGTGACTTTTTTAATATCAACTTTTATAAAAAGGTTAAATTATGCTACATTTTTCAATACTTTTGACAACACTATCCTCTGGGAACCTGGTTGGGCATCTGACTTCTGCTATGTTTTATAAAATTGGCTGGATGCCCCTTTAATCTTAGATAAAGATTAATTCTGTATAAAAGGGTAAAATGGTTGGCAGGGTCACTTGCATTCTGTAATTAATGTAAAGTAAACATGGTGAGGAGTGACACAAATCCCTCTTAGGAAAAGAATGCAGGACTAAATAGCATTGTAGACTTAAGTGTGTCTTTCAAGTGTCTTCTTGTGACTGATGATGATTGCCTATTGTGTATCATGCCTCGGGCTTATAACAGTTAAACCTAACAGCTTCCCATATTTTGAAACTGCCCTGTTGGATTTATTATGTTGTCAAAACCCATGGAATCAGATTACTTATGTTGGTGTTGGGAGTTTGATCTACATGGATATGCCACAACCTAAACATCCATACGAAAGAGAAGAAATAGTCCCTGATATGTCTTTGTGCTCAGTGAGTCATTATTAAAGGTCCACTATGTACTATTTCTGACTGAGGGTGTGCCACTTTCCTGTCTCCATGGAGAGGTTATTGCTTTGCCTAGAATGTGCACAGTATGACGTTAAACTTACCTTCATAGAGGCTGATGCTATGAGGGTTAGTTACAAGTCAGATCTAGGGTTAATTACACACAATAAGTATAATCCATGTTTTTTATGATATTTTGACCAAAAAAAACAAAACAAAACAAACCCAGCAAAATGTAATTGAACAAATACAAAATAGACAAGATTACTAGTACCATACTGTGAAACATTCCAGGCAACATCACCAGGGAGACAAGCTGGTATTGCACCCCCACCAGAAAAGTTACATAGGCCAGTGTTCAAAACCCAATGTGCCGGCAGTCTCAAACAGGGCATAGGACAGGGCATCTGATTGTCGTTGCCAGATCATCAAGTTCTATTCCTGTTATCTGGCATGTAAACATAAGTACACAATAGTCCGACAATAGACCTGGAATGACCCCTAAGTCCTCAGAACGTCATCAGCCCAGAGCAGACGGCCCGTGGTATTAAAACCAGCTGCACTTTTCATCAGTTACAATCATTCACTTCATCAGCCTCCTGCAATATACAGACGTAACACAAGCCCACAGCCCTGTGCCCAGAAAAGAACCTCGGACATCCACTGCCAAAACACATACTGTATAAACTATAGGATACTGTAAGAAGGACTATGTTATTTAAGCACACCTTTTCCAGATGTGCTGTCAAGGAGATTATTGCACTAAACAAAATGCCATGCCATTTTGTTCTCATTCTTGCGGCCTAGCTAGCGTACTTTGGGTTTGGGGTTAACCACTGCTTGCTTCATAAGTTTCATAGGAAATCACAATCTTATGAATGATGTTGTGACTATTATCAGTTTAAAAATATAGTTATATGTCTTGTACTTACTTATATTTATTCTTTATCATTTTGGCAAAATCGTTATCTCTATAACATCGTCTTTACAAGGTCCTTACTGTTTACAAAAGAGGCAGTACAATCATAGCTGAATATGTGTTGCCAGTGCTTTGACCTGCACAATTTTCATTGGACAGGCTATGCCTTATGTGGAAGCTCAGAAGAGGCTGCACTAGCATTCATTCTGACTGCAGGTGCTGGGGTTTAGGTAGTGACGATTCAAATTGGAGACAATCTTTTTAGGTTTAAACCAGCTGGATTTCAGCATAGAGCAGCATGAGAATCAAAACACCAAATTATAATATACTTGGCCATCAAGTGGAAAGTGATTTAATACAAGCCTAAATGACCCTGTGCAAAATGTATATCCTATATGGCACTTGTATTGGGATATGTAACATATATTTACAAGGTTTGTTGATACAACAGGGCTGGATGATATGGTCTGTAAGTGTCTTGGTTGAGCTTTATATTGCACAAAATGAGCATGTTTGACTGTTTTCTAATACAGATAATATAGTGGATGCTTATATATGTTTTAAATGTTTAATATAAAAAGTGGTGTCCACATTGCTTTGTGCAAAACTATCTTTTTTTTTCATTTAAGATAGCATAAAACCCACTTCTGTTACTCTTGTTGTGACTACAGTATCATACATGTACTAACCTCAATAGCTTGAGTGTACTGCTCCAGCTTGTCATCAATCTTTGACGTGGGGACAAGGGGCGGCGTCTTCTTAAAACTGTTACTGAACAAACAACATAAATACAGGGAATTAAAAGACAAATTCATAAGGACACAATGCCAACGCTACTCAAATAAGTACTTCAGCTTAATTGTCCAGGTCAAATATCATGAGTTCACCTACAAGTTTCCATGATGTTCCCTGCCCTAAGGTACATATCATTAAACTGTATTCAGTATTATACAGTTAGACTAAAAGGAGTGAAATGATGAGTACACAAATAACAGTACACAAGTTGCAGTAAAAGGTTCAAACAGGAGAGCATGTTGTAGTACTAATATATATTATTTTGCATATTTGTATTAATTTATTAGAAGTTTATTTATTTCTAATATCTTGATTTGCTCTCCATGTTAAAAGAAACAGTAAGAGATAGTAGTATGCAGTGGTTGCTAATATGTATTGTGCGGCACGGTGGCTGAGTGGCTAGCACTCATGCCTCACAGCAAGAAGGTTCTGGGTTCGATCCCCAGGTCGCCCAGGGCCTTTCTGTGTGGAGTTTGCATGTTTCTCCCTGTGTCTGGATGGGTTTCCTCCTGGTGCTCCGGTTTCCCCCATCAACCCAAAACATGCTACAGGTCTCCAGAACAGTTGATAGTCATGGTCAGTTAAATACAATCAATCAATGAACCTGTCCAGGGACTACAGGTGGAAATTAGCACTGATGCTACAACCTGATGTACAATGCATCTCTCCTGTCAAGGTTAATGCGAAAATTGTGCGCTGTCCCTGTCTCAAATAAATAAATAAATTGTCACAATACTAAAATTTCTTAGTAAAATTTGATATTAAGGAATAGGCTCGATACTCAATACTGATTCTGATACCACAATAACAATGAAAAACACTCTTTCTTTAAACTTTAAATAAAAGTATTTTCTTTTATATTACCATGAGTTCTTATATCTGTGTAATTCCTCAGTCATCCGGATATATGTGGTCTTATACTAGTTCTGATACAGCTCAAAATCATTTTAAAGCTGCTCATGAAAGGTTAATTTCTGTCGTTCTGTCTTTTTTAGTATCAATACCAGGTCAAATGAGTCTAGTTATGATTAATCTAGTTTTGATACTAGTTTTACTGGTTACTCTTATTTGTTCTTTTGCCGTAGTTCCTTTCATTTGCTTTCTATGAACAACCAACAGCAATTTTTGTTTAGATGAATAATTTCAGATTTTTTTTAGATTAAACACCAATTGAGATCCTTATTGCATGTATTATCTAATTCTCTAAACTTAAAAAAAAAATAATAATACAAAAGTAACAAAGAAAGTTAAAATGTTGATGTTGCCATTCGGTACTATCTGCAAGCCATCAGGTTGATTTGTGGATGAATGGTGCTCTGTATTTTTGTGTAGTTTCTGTTTGGGAGGAACTACAGCTGTCCAAACTCACACTATCCTCTGAAACCCCTCTCCTCCTCCTCTTTCTCATCCTCTTTATCTCCCTTGCTCTCTCGATCTCTCTCTCTCTCTCTCTCTGCTCCCCCTTCCTCCCTCCCCTCTCTCTCTTATTCTGTCTTTTCCTGCAGATGATGTCATTCTCTTTAACGGGAACAAACTCTTGAACTGTCTTAAGCTGAATTGTGTGTCTCAACATGACTTCAGTCAAACCACGCCCCTCCTCTTGATTTCACTCTAATCTTACCATAGATCCAAATAATGCTATTAATCTTATTCGTGACTGCATAGTAGTGAGAAAGTAATAACAATTCTGTTTACTCACTTTGAGATTTTGTATTTTGCACAAATCCATTATTGAACAGTGCATATTGTAACACTTTCTTTATATAAGTTATATATACCTTTCAACTAAGTTATATATAAATTTTAACTGCATGTTTCTCAAGGAGAATCTATTAAAAAAAAAAAAAAAAAAAAATATATATATATATATTATATATATATATATATAGATAGATAGATAGATAGATAGATAGATATAGATATATAGATATAGATATAGATAGCTAGATATTTTTCTTTTGTCTTTTTGTCTATCTACAAAATTTGCATGTCTGAAACTTTACAGCTGTTCAGCTGTGGGCCCGTATTTTGTTTTTTTGGATCTATGTTATGCTGTTTCCTAATCAAAAACATACTTAGATTTGTGTTTTCTTTCATTCACACATATTTAACAGACAATTCCTGCAAATTTAGGCCGAGTTCTTCTCTCAAACAGAAAACAGGAGTATGATGTCATGAGTGCTCCATTGTGTTTTTAAACTCCATACACCTTCATTAGAATCATTTGGATAGTTTTAGCCCTGAAATTGGGTAAAAAGGGTAAAAAGGTTAATCTAATGTAACCACAAATGAAGCAGCTTCATGAGTAAGAAGAATGTGCAGTGTTGCTGGTTTATACTGTTTATCTGTAATGTAATATGGTTACACTTGGCACAGTGACACTGTCAGTAGCAACAGTGGTCATAAAAATAGTGCTAGTTATTATAACATTAATAAGATTATATTATTTAAAGCTTATAATTTAGTTGATTTGATAATGTCTGCTTTTTTTTTTTACATTGCTGTTACTCTATAGATTAATTTTGGATAGAAATAAGTAACTTTCAAATAATGATGGTTTCATTTTTCCATAATTGAACAGCCCTTTTTCATCACTACCACTCCTCCTGTCAGCCTCTGTTCCTCTGCTTACACACCCAAAACTAAAGTCCAGTGGCTCAAACTCTTGTCTCCTCTGAGTCAGTGATAAGTTCTGTAGAGCTTCAGACTGAGCGGAGCCACCATAGCTCACAGTGTGAATCAGGCTAACAGCAGCCTGCATCTGGACTTAGTTAAACCTGACTATAAATCAGAGCTAAGTCAATCTAAAGCACTGCGAGTGCACAGGGTGAGCTTCTTATCCATGTTTACCTTTACACAGGAGCACTTCAGCATGGGAGCTGGGAAAACAAGGCCTGATAAATGTATTTGTTCATGCATACTTGTGCACATAACAAATCAATATTGGGACTAAACTGTATCTAAACTATACACAGACTCCATAACATGCTGTTGCTGAGAAATCGGGTTTTATGACTCAAGACACAAGAATTGTGTACAATTATTTTAGTCTGTAACTATGTCATATAATGTTTCTACCTGAATCAAAACATAGGCTACCTGGAGTGTTTTGTTATATTCACACATGCTCTGTTCCACCTTATGATGTGATGATGCAATATTTTTCAACTTGCCTTTAGTTCTAATTCCAGGGCTGAAATTATCCAAATGGTAAAATCCAAATAGTGAAGGTGTATGGAGTTTAAAAACACAGAGGACCACTTCCTGTATTACCACATGACATCACAAGGTGGAACAGAGTGTTTTCTGTTTGAGAGAAGAACTCGCCCTAAATATGCAGGGAACCTCAAACCCTAAGACAAGAGGTCACTAGGAATTACCTAGTACTACTAACAAAACATACACAATAAATACAATAATACCAAGATGTTACTATTCAACACTATTTTAAAAGCAATCGTACTCTGACGCGTACTACATGACCCACTTCTTCAGACTAGCCTTGCACTGGAGCAGATACTGGGAAAAAAATCATAAAACTTCAAACCTATGCGAGTCCTTGTTTGACCACTGATGAGGGGTTGTCAGTATTATGGACATGTCAAAACAAATGAAACATATTATTGGTTGAATTTGATGATAGAAATTGTTCATCTTTCCAGAACTCCCCCACTATAATTACATTGTACTATTGGCCAAGTCTCTTTTGCCTAACAGTGTGAAATCTGACCCCCCAAATGAGGTTATGACATTTGAATACTAGTCAAAACCATGAATGATTCTGAGCACTATAGAATGTGCAATCTAATGGAAAACCCCTATTTGACACTGTAGCTGAATCAGTGTGCATATTTGCTTTATGACATCGCCTGAGTGAGTCCAACATTTATAGTACAATTTTTACAGCATTATTAAGTCATGTTCTTATGGTATATTCCAGTGTCTTTAATGTAGTACAGTAAGAAGTGAAGTGTACTTTTATTTGATAGAATAGTTGTTTTATCAACGATTACAAAACTAATAAGGCAAGACGACAACTAGGTGAGGATTTAACTGTATTACCATGAGATAAATTGCAGGTCAAAATAAGTCAGCTGTGAACCCTGTGCTTCAAATTATCTAGAGTTTTACTGCCCGAGAATCAGCATGCTAGTTGTTGGCGGCAGACTCCACTTTGGCCTGTGAGAGTCGTGAAAAGCACTTATAAACTCATCTCTGTGAATAATTGGAATGCTCAAAATGCATAAGATAAGTGAGGAATAACTTTGGACCTCTGCAAACCGTTGAAAATGAAAAATGTGTTGGTTTTTTTGGCATTTTAAGACATACAGTATGTATATATATATATATATATATATATATATATATATATATATAGTATATTATTGTTTTGTTTTCTTAACTATGACACTCACCTCTTTTTAAGTGATCTGCTGAGGGATTCTGTTCTCTCTGTGATCTGCAATTCATACAGAGAAATCATTAGAGTTTATAAAATACTGTAATAGCACTGTCATCACATAGTATAGATAAAATATAGCTTTTTTAAATTCATGGGTTTCATCTTTCTGTTAAATGTAACATTTAAAGGACTTTTTCCCATTCAGAATATATTTGTTTTAAACTGTTAATATGGCAGTGGTCCACATTTTTTTATCATTCTGAAACCCATGAATGTTGAACCTCCTCTGTTGCTAACAACGTTCTGGGATAAATATTTAATGTGGTCTTTAATACACCTTTGCACATCCAAATATAATAATAGTGAAATTGTTCCTGAACTGGATTTCCCAGGCATTAACATCAATCAAGACTTACTTTAAGTTGATAATAGTCAGTAAATAGACTATAAAACCAGTTCAAGCTGCAGTGCTCATAACATGCAGTGTCATGCACACACCAAACTGTGACAACACTGAATACAAAGAGCTCCCTTACAGAGGTGGTAGTACTTGGTTACATTTACGCATTACTCACATTTGCTGGAATAACATTTGAATAATATTGTACTGCTCAGAATAGTTTTTTGGCCCTATACTTTGACTCCTATTTAATATAATTTGTGCAAGTGGTGCAAGAAACACAACACATCAATTGTGTTTCTTGTGTGCACCACTCCTTTAGATATGATTTAGTTTTTCTAGGTTTTGTGGTATATCCTTTGAAAAACACCAACTTTTATGCATTATTTAATGTTCTCTTTCCTAGATCAATTTCAATCATAAGTCAGATGCTATGTCCAGACAGTTAACTTTTACTTGGACTGTAGTTTCCTCAAATCATTTTTCTCTTGTAATTACTTGAACCGCTATGTGTACTTCTTCTGCTTATTTTGTAACAACAGTACCTCGCAACAATATTCACCTCTGGCCCACATTTCTAAAGATTACAGTTTAAAAAAAATTATCATTATAATGTTTTGCACACATATATCTTCATGTGAAACAAACAAGCATCACACAGCACCAGTGCAAATCCAACCACACAAAATCCACTTACAGTCTGACACTCTATTGTTCCACTGTGGAGATAAGACAGTTAATTTTTACACTGAGTTTGGATGTAGAGTTTGAACAGTTTCTGAATGTGGTGTTACCTTGTGTGTGGGTGTTTTAGGACTGAATGGACTGAATGCTTCATCTCCATCACTGGACGTACTCAGGCTCTTCATCCTCTCGGCCGCCTCCATCCTCCTCCTCTCTATCTCCTCCTTCATACGCCTCTTCTCCTCCTTGGAACAAAAATCAGGTGAGTGTGCATTAGTGTTGGTATTATATTCATCCAACCACATTGTATTGGTAAATCCAAAATGATCTCTCTGTATTTTTTTTGGATATTGGTTTGGTCACCACTCCCTCAGTTATGTCTCGAGCCAGATTCAGACAGACAGTGACGCATGTGAAAAGAATGAGCTCACTGGTCACCCATCAAACAGAGTTTAGTGTGTAAAGTATTGGAGAAGTATTCTTCTGTATTCTGGCTTCCAGGCAACCATATTGGCAGATTACCGATGGCACTTTTGAATCTTAATTATAGTTTATGGATTTTAGATGACATCATGACAATGTATTGATAGGAGAATGAGAAATAAATATGAAAAATATTGTAAAAAATATATTTCATAACTAATATTTTGTATTTCAGTATTTTAATATACTTGTACTGTATTTTCAATTATATTAAAACAAGTTATTCACTAGTCTAACTTAAAATTACAAGCAAAGACTAAACCAATAATAAAAAACCTGACACTTGACCTTTAGAAGGGGCCCATCCTGCTTGTTCCTATGGAAAGGTTGTTCCTTTGTCTCTACTCTTCCACAGTATGGAATAAAACGTATCTATTGCTATGGAGAATGTTCCAAAGACTGGTAGGTGACATGCCACCTCGAATGTTGCATACTTTACTTTCAAAAACAGCTCTGACCAAAATATGATACTTTTATACATGTCTTTTTTATATTTACATTGCAGTCATTACAACCATTTCTCTTTATATTCCACAGCCCTGGTCCTCACCTCCTCTTTGGCCAGTCGACTCTGCTCCTCCTCCTCTCTGCGTCGCTCCTCTTCCTCCCTGATTAATCTCCTCTCCTCCCTCCTCCTCTTCAGCTCCTCCAGCTCGTGCTCTGCCTCAGCCTGCCTATGCCTCAGCTGCTCCAGCTCCTGGCTCTCCTTCTCCTGTAGACCACGCCGGATCTTCTCCAAGCGCCGCTCCGTCTCCAGGATGGCCTCACTCTCCTCCGGCTCAGCAGCACGACTACAGGCACAACAGAAAGAGGAGGAAAGTACTGTATGATGTATGTTATGTTTGGTTTGTAATAGACATAACATTTATTTACTTGGGGTTAAAATACTTTACAGAGACATTATGATCTGGAGCCATATTTTTCCTTCCCTTTCTGTGATCAGAGAAAGGGTCTGTTTGTGTTCAAACAAACAGTGGGTTATAAGTAAAAAAGAAAAAAATAACAAAGAGAACTGAGAAACAGCACAGTTTTCTGCAGAATCAATTAGAGAAGCCAGGCAGTGTGGGCTGTGGAGCATAGTTATTGGAAATTACTTAGATAATTTTACTTGACATATTACAAATCAGAAAAACTGTTCACTATTTAAACAAGAAGTATTGAGTAAAACCTAAAACCTAAAAAAAAACTCTTTGACAGTAAATGCACTCACTTGATGGAGCGCCTGGTCCAGCTGATCGTGGTGCTGTTGCTATGGGAGAACTTCTCTTTGGGGGAGGCATTACCATTTGAGTTCTGGTGTCTGGGCTCCTGGTTCAAGACAACTCTGGATGTGTACGACACTTTCATCTCTTTTCTTCTTTCAGCCTGTAGATAGTGAATAAGCTTTAATCAGTTCAAACTGACTTTTTTTGTAGAGCACGACACTACGTAATATAAACAAGTCAGTTGCATGTATGGTTGTAGTATAAATTTACAAGAACTCTTACCTCTACATTTGGTCTATGACTCTCCTCTTTTCTCTTGAACGCCTCCTCTCTCTTCCTCCTCTCCTCCTCTTCCTCTCTCCGTACACGTTCAGCTTGCTCCTCCCTCTCTCTCCTCTCCTCTCTCTCCCTCTCTCTCCTCCCCTGCTCCTCTCTCTCTCTCCTCCCCTGCTCCTCTCTCTCTCTCCTCCCCTGCTCCTCTCTCTCCCTCTCTCTCCTAACCCTCTCTGCTCTCACTTCCTCTTCCTGCCTCTTCTTCCTTCTCTCCATTTCCAGCCTCTCCTGCTCTTGTTTCTGGAGCCTGGATGCGGTGAGGGAGGGTTGGTTGCCCCCGTGTCCACCCCTCTGTCCCGTGTTGAGGTCGCCTTCCTCCTCCTCCTCTTCCTCAGCTCCGTTCTTCTGGTGGTGGTAGTTGTGGGTCAGCTCTTGTTGCCGAAGCTGTCTCTGCCTCTCTCTCTTCTGGGTCCAGTCACTGAAGCCCTCGTCCTCCTCCAGAGACGGAGAGCTGCTGGGCTTGAAACTGCCATCCAGCCTGATAATCAAAATAGTAGTTAATGAATGATTGAACATAATTTTATTTTACTGATGTATTTAAGTAATATTCTTTATTTGCCATTACCCATACAAGTTGAATAAACATAAAATGATATAACATGTAATTAGTGGTTCATTGGTTATGCCTTAGGGGATGTCCTGTCATTATTGAGCAAAAAAAAAAACTGTACATTTATACAATCTGCAAATATATTGAATAGAATGGGATCCCTCAAATCTCAGATTATAAGAACAGTATGTGTACTGACCTATATTTTCTCCAAATAAGAGATAAATATAATAGAGGTAAATTATAACAATTGCAATGCTTGTTTATTCTTAAGTATAAAAACATTGGACACAATGGCCAAGATGGAGTTCTCGTTGTCAAAATGATTATCCAATCAGAAACCACAATGAGGCTCACATGAGTCTCATTTGGGTGGAATCCAGTTTTCCAGTTTAGTTTAAACCTAAAATGTGTCCCTCTGATTTGAATAGTCAATACCTAAACCCCAGTCCCTGTAGCCAGTGAGTGCTAGTGCAGCCTGTGCAGCTCAGAGAGGGAATTCTGGAGGTTCTGAGTTTTCAGATGAGACCTGTCCATATACTGTTTGTCTCCTCTATATGCATTACAACATTCTGTAAGGGCAAAAATATAGGGTATTGGGGGCAGCTAAATTTAATGTTATTAAAATGCAAATTTCTGTTGTAATGTATGGAGTTCTTAGGTATAGTGACCAATAGAAATGATCAGATTCAACACTATCTGTGAGGAAGACATCATCACACTGTAGAATCTGAAAACCACCAAGGCCGACTACTCAGCCAGCACCCCTAGTATGATCAAATGAAAAGTGAAATAGCATTATGAAATCACACTGTAAGGACATTCTTCCTTTACTTCTTTTGTCCTTCCTAGATAGACAGCATAGAAACTACTTTCTACTTAATCATGAATTAAGGAATTATTTTAAGGATTTAAGGATTAAACTTAGACTGATTGCCAACTCTCTGTACCTGTAATTTTCACATTCAGACTAAGTCATCTGGAACAGTGTGAGCTGATCTGATCTTTTGATGAAGCTTTAATGAATTGCCGTATCATTGGCTTGTGTTTGTGTTCCCAGGAGCTGCCTAAAAGGAATCCACCTCCTGCATTCCCCACATGATTAAGACATGGCCATCCTAGTGCATCATGGGAGCCCCTTTTTTAGAGCAGCTCTGTTTGAGTTTTAGAGTGCCAGCGCAGTGATCTGTAAAGTGCACCACACCACAGGCTAGTGACAGGTAAGTAGTGGTGGATAGAGTTATCAATATACTAAAATTTCAAACTCAATTTTAGATATAAAGGAATAGAGTTGATAGTCTATACCAATTCTGATAGCATGAGGGCAATAAAAAACTTTTTTTTTCAATAGAATGTGATTTTCAACATTAATTGTACTTTTTATTACCATGTGACCTTATATCTGTATTAATCCTTCAGTCATCAAGGTAGGCTCAATAGTGGTCCATGGGCCTGTACTAGTCTATGTGGTCTTATACTTGTTCTGATAGAACTCAAGATCATTCTAAACCTATTCAGTAAAGGCTCCTTTATGTCCTATGAATGTGACTTAGTATCATTATCCATCCATCCATTTTCTTCCACTTATCCGGGGCCAGGTCGCAGGGGCAGCAGTCTAAGCAGGGACTCCCAGACTTCCTTCACCCTAGACACTTCTAAGTAATAATACTGTTACTTCAAAATATTACTTATGAATATTAAGTAGAATTACAACATTTCAAGAAATTACGTTTTGGGGAGTATTTGGGGGAAACTTTTAACTTTAACTTAACTTTTCTGGTAGAGCATCTGGCATGGAGATGCCACAGTATGGTATTAATTTATAGCATTTTTCCCTTGCTGATGTTTTTATTGCAAAAGAAAAAAATGCTTTGAAAATCATGCATTTTTACTTTGAGTAGGCAGAATCTGCATGGAAAAAGAACGTATTTATGTCAGTAACTGATATACGCAGCCAGATTTGGTTTATACGGAAGGATGCTAATCCACCTGTCAATCATGACCCTCTGATCCCTGGGAGATTCACCAGTGACCAGTCTTGGTCAAGTACTGGGGAAGTGTGTATTCTGGATCCCCCGCAAATGCAAGCTAAAAAATGTATTAAAAAAACAGCATCCCAATGGCAACACAAAAATAAATAAATGAATAAGAATCTCCTGCCCCAAACCATTGTCTAAACTAGAGCCCGACCGATATGGATTTTGCTGTGGCCGATATGAAACCGATATAATGAAAGTTGGAGCTGCCGATAGCCGATATAATCACCGATATATTTAGTGATGTAAAAATTCACTGTAAATGTTGAATTGTTTAAAAAAACTTAGGTTTGGCTCTGGTGGATTTTAAATTGGGTTTATTTAGGCAACATTTATTGTTATTCTGCTTCTTTACATCATATTTACAGACAGTAGGTTGACTTAATGGCATTTTTGCATCACATTCTAGACACTAGTGATGGGTATTCCAGTTCTTTTTAGAGAACCGGCGTCTAAAGCAGGACTGAATCAGGACTGAACCAGGTCTAAACCAGGACTGAAAAAGGACTAAACCGGGACTTATTTATTTTATGCTAAACTACAGTCAAATATGCTCGTTTTTTTTTTTTTTTTTTTTTTTTTTTTTTTAATCCTACGTACACGCAAATTTCTCAAAGTTTCGTTTTCAGCCGCTGTCAAACTACCACGAGTCTGCACGCGGCGTGAAGAGAAAAAAGTGAGAGAAAGAGAAAACACTGCTCCCAATAAGGATCAGGCTCCCGTCGTTCCCTTTAGAGAGCCGGATCTAAGAGTCATTTCGTTCGCGACGGACCCATAACTAGTAAAGAAAGTAGCGCTATTAGCCTTTAGCCGTAAATACGTGCGCGCCGCGGTAATTAATTATATGCGCAAATGTCATAATTCACACGTCTATTCACAGCTCATTTACATATCAGTGCAGGTCCAGTAGCAAATATACGGCCAATATAGTCACTTTAGAACAGACCAATAGAAAACAGCCTGTTTATGTGCGGGAGCTACAGCAGCTAACCCATAACAAATGACAAAAACTAGCTTCAGAGTCGACATATTTCCAACACTCACCGCTCATACAGGCTCCTCCTCACATCACAAATCTGCACTAATAAATGTCCTTTTAATCCAGACTCAAACCGATTGTCCGTAAAAAAGAAAATAATCTCAGTGTTTGGATCTGTGTCTGCAGGTGTAAACAAACACACGTGAGTGACGCGACTCTGTGGTGTGTTCAGGGACAGTACGGACACACACAGACAAATGACTCCGTAGATAAATACTGATGTGGAGCCACATATTAGGACATTTATCTGTCTGTAAATTGGTTTAAATGAACAGAATGTAGAGAGTCTAAGCTTTATAACGAGGTATAACATGCCCACGTGAAATATCGGCCCCTATCAGCAAGCATATCGGCCGATAGCCGATATGCCTAAAGTTACCCATATCAGCCGATAATATCGGCCAATCGATACATCGGCCGGGCTCTAGTCTAAACATACAAAAATGTCCAATCGCGTAACACTATACCACCCCCATCACATCAGTCACTCAAGCCGAACAATGCAGACCGAAAACAATTCATATTTCTGAACCCAAACCTCTTCAATCATTGACTTCTTTTGGCCCAACTTTCAAACCAGCCCCTATTACTTAAGATTTATGCCTGCCCACGAGAAACCTCTAACACCTCACAGTATCTGGAATCAATAATCTGCAGAGCATTGAAATTCACGCCATTTTTCAAACGGCATCTTTGAGTAGACATAAAAAAATGTAACCTCTGAACTCTGACCTTTGCAGACAGAAAGCCACTACATTATTCCTTGCGTCAAAACGGAGCTAGTATGTCTCAACCATAAACGTTTTTCTCAATTATAGGGTTACGTGTCCCTAGCTCACGTCCAGTGGTTGGTTAGTGTTTTTGTTGCGGTGATGGTGGAGAGGTGTTGCGTATAATTATCTCGTTTGAAATCACAAGTTTGAACTTATTTTTCCCCTTTTTTCTCTGGGAGACGCTGGAGGTAGTAAACATTCTTGAGTGCTTGGGTAATGAGAAGCCAGCTGTGCGTCTGTCCTCACATCGAGCCAAAATAGTGGAGTGGAAATATTTTCTTTATGTAATGAAATGTATGTATAGGCTACACAAATGGGGCAAAAGGAAAGCAATATTTATAGGTTATAGGTGTATAATACTTTTCAGAGTACTTTTCTAGTAGCATACTTTTACTCTTACTTGAGTAATATTTTTATTAAAGTAACAGTGCTCTTGAGTTAAAATTTTGGTTACTTTTCCCACAAGTGACAAAAGCTTTATGACAATATTAAATGATTTACACATTTGCATTTTTACCACTTTTATATGATTTACCTTTAGAAAATAGCAAATTTTGAGCTTTATTTCATGTTTTGCCCTTCTAAAAATAAATCAGACATTACATTCCAACAGTTACTCTTTAAGTTACTCTTATTTGTACTTTGTATGTTGTACTTTTCCCGAATTCTTTTTTCCTCTTACTTACTACCTGATTTCTTGGGACACTACTTTGTAATTCTACTTGAGTAATATTATTTTTGAAGTTACGTGAGTAAATTCTTTGGCTCCCCACCTGGCTTTATGTAATGAAATGTATGTATAGGCTACACAAATGGGCCAAAAGCAAAGGAGAGCGATGGATGATGAGAGCAAAACTACTTAAAGCTAAGGTCATGTAACTCAGGAAGCTCTTTGACATGATGTGAAAAAATGAAAAATTATTTGTATTTGATAGTTTCCTGTTTTCTCATTCTTACACGCTCCAGGAATTTGCAGCCTTTTGGATCTCATTTAGATTGATTTTGGAAGAAGTTGTCATGGAAATGTGTATACAACATGTTTGAGATGACCTCATGTGAGTTATTAGTTCTTTAGCAGTCTGGACATCAGTGAATAGTCTTGCTATTCCAATACCATTACAGCTAACACCATTTTGTAACTTTATGCCAAAGGACACAACAGCAGTATGTACTGAATATGAACACACATCTTACAATGACAAAATCCCTTTGAATTGTCCTATATGTTAAAAGGTTTTTATTGTATATACATTTATTGCAGAGATATTTGTGTGATACTCTGGTGGTACTTCTGTGATACTGTGTATGTACTTGTATGTACTTGTATGTTGTGTGGTACTCTTGTGTGGTACTCCTGTATGGTACTCGTGTATAGTACTCTTGTGGTACTTGTTGTGTAGTACTCCTGTGTACTGGTGTGCTTCTGGTGTATTACTCACGAGCTGTCTTCAGTGGGTGTGTGGCTTTCTGGAGACTCCCCCCTCACAGAGCCACTGTCCCTGCGCCTTAGCTCCTCTCGGGCCCTGCGCCTGCGCTCCCTCTCCACCTCCTCTGCGTCCTCTATGCTCCTCTGGGCTGTCAGTCTGGGAAAAGACAGGACAAAGACACAGTTAGTTCATCAGAGTTAACCAGAGTACTTTAAGATCATTTTGGATTATTTTGTTCTGACTCATAGAGTCAAGTAGTTTTTGTCATTTTGTGGCTGCTTTCAATAGGAAGAGGGACACTGAAATGCAATTGAAGTGCCTATATTTCGCTATCTGGTTACTATAATGTTTGCTCATTCAAAACATGTCATCATAAGGTGGAAGAGAGTATTCTGAGATTTGGCGATATAGACAAACTAATATTGGAACGGTTATTTTTAATGAAACAAAATACGGATCAAGGTATCTTTTTGATGAGGTAACAACATGTTTAAATGGCTTAAAGTTCAAAGAGTGAGAGAGAAAATGAGAGAGAGAAAATGTAATGTTTAGTGACTTAATACTTATCAGCTCAAATTGAGTTCAGTAGTCATAAATCTATCTAAACCTAAATTTGAATAGGGATCAAAATATTCTTTGCCACTCCCAACTGTGTTACTGCTTGCTAAGACACAGACTATTTGCTGTGGTGACCCCAAAAGAAAAATACCAACAGAAACAAAGCATTAATCCAGTTCATTAACTCTGACTGTAAGCTATTAGCCAAAAATAACCACAATTTAAAGGACGATTAGGAAACTGTTACAGTGGAGAAAGTGTGTAGGTGTGGTGAGTTAGTAACATCTGCTGGGCCTCAGAAGAGAAGAGAAGCTAATGTTTATGTCGAGCGTAAACAACATGTGCTGCTGACCACCTCCCCGCCTTATGACATCACTGCATCTACTTCAAACATGAGTAATCTTTATTTATACTGACAAACAATTTCTATAAGCAAATGTACTTATTACATGGCTGTGAGGGTGGCATTGTATTCTGTGGAGGAAGCTTACCAGAATGTCAAACTATATTATCAATTTGTTATAAAAATGTGCACATATTTTGAATACAAGTTTATTTTGTAGCAATATTTTATTCGACCACTACTGGTACCAGTACTACTGCTATTACTATTACCACTTCTGCTATATTTCACAAAAAGAAACAGCAAAAGCAGATGCATTTTTTTTAAAGTTGTAGTCTACGGTGTAAAATTCACCTGATTGTCTCCATGGAGATGTTTCTGCTTTGCCTAGAATGTCCCACAATGTGATATACATTTATTTATATTGCATTATACAGATATTTGACAGGTGTTTTGTTGCTAAAGAAATACCTTGAAAAAACATACAGACTGACTGTGAGCAGGATCACTTCTCCACTGATCTGACTTGTAACTTGACCTGTTTGCGTCACCTGCTTGCCTCATTAGTAGGCCTGTCACGGTAACACGTTTTTAGGCACAATATATTGCTACAGAGAAATATTGTGATAAAAAGTAATACTGACACTACTGTATGTAATTGCACAATAAGAATAAAACAGGATAATTCCAGAAAATATAGATCATATAGTCCTATATCATATATTAAAACATCTATCTTGTGTAAATATACTTCAAATGATCCCATGCCTTTTAGTTATGAGGTACTTTTAAGGTTCGCATTTGTCTTTTTTCCTATTTTGAACACATGTATAATGACAAAAGCTTATGAGAGCCTTGGTGCTATAAGCTGCTTTTGATCTTAACCAGTCACATGCATTTTTGTGACTGATCAAGCAGTTTAGCATTACCTGAATGTTTACATCTTTCACCATGGGACAGGAAGTTAAAGGCTCCGATCAACCATTTTTAAGGAGCTTATAGGAATAACAAACTGGGCCCTTTAATGGGACGTGTAATGGCAACACAAGCCTCTTAAGTCTAGATTCCATCAAAAACTGTTATTAACTTTACCCAGAAGCTTTAACTAGAGGTGTTACTAGATCATGCAGAGAGTTTTAGTATTTAATAATTTCAGTCTTTAATGCACTGTGCAAATTCTAGAGAAGATACTAGAAAAATCAATACTTTTTCTAGCCTTTCTTTATACTGTCGTCTTACGGACATGTTTTAATTGAACATTAATGGTTAAAAAAAAATCTACTTTCAAGACAATTAAAAATGTTATGTAGTAGCACTAGTGGAAATGATAGAGATCAGTAGTAGCCATTTTTAGTAGTAGGAGGAATAGGAGGAGTAGTAGGACGAGTAGGAAAAGTAGTAGGAGTAATAGTAGGACTATTAGGAGTAGTAGTAGTAGTAGTAGGAGGAGGAGGAGTAATTAGTAATTAGGAGTAATAGTAATAGTAGTAATAGTTGGAGCTCTAATTGCAGTAGTATTAGTAAAAGTAGTAGTAGCAATTATATAGTGGTTCTGTCCCTTTTTGATTTTTTCGCAGTTCTATTCTCCATCTAAATCTCACAGCCTGGTGGGTGGATGAGCTCCATATGTGAACTCAAGTATCCTGTTACAGCCTCACATCTGACTCTAAGATCACTAAAACATCCCTGAAGGCTCCATCTGCTCTGCTTTCTCTCCTCTTTCCAGGCAGGCCACAACGTAGGTGGGACGAGCCGTGACCTTTGACCCCCAGCACAGATAATCCAACAGTAAAAAGCTGTAGCCTCATCACCGCCTCACTCTGACTCAGTAACAAACAAAAGAGTTTAAACATGCCACGACACGATTTGATACCACCAACAATCACGATGTTTACAAAGGTTAGTGATGGACAACAGCAGTAGGGAGAGGGCCTTGTCAAAGTTTATGGTACTTTTTGCGTGCTTAGATATGGTAATATGTCAGTTTTCACAATACAAAATGAAGCAAAACATATACAAACAAATAAGTTAACTATATGCTGTACACTTAGTCCTGGTTTGACTCAGTCAAGTCTTGGTTTAGTTCCAGATTTAGTCCTAGTTTAGATACAATTTTGATGTAGTGTTAAGAAAATTATATATTTTTTACCTTAAAACTTACAAATGTGCTAGTAGAAATGTAGTGGCAGGTATTGTATCAGGGCATTGTATCTTAAAACCTGCAAAATAGCTTCAGATTTCCACTTTGTTATAATATTGTTCCCTTTAAAAAAAAAAGGCATGGCTGAAAAGGTCTTTTATGTCATTCATGCATGTTACAATAATTTAGTGATTTCTCCCGGCCACCATTTGAGCCCTCCCTACAGCTAGCTGTGAGATTCTGTCCAATACTCAGCCCACAAGCCTACGTCATCATTTTCCCACATGACAATTCTCCATAAATATACAAAGGAGCAGGATACAAAACAGTTCACAACAACATGACAAAACTGATGTGCAGCAGTATCATTATCGGGATAAATCCTGATTGTGTTGCCATAGTGCTCTGAAGGGGGAGTGACAGGTAAAGGGAGACTCGCTACAATAATCTGGAAAACTGATGCATTTTACGGAACAAAAGTAAGCAATTGGAACCAAAAACAAAACAAACAAAAAAAACTTCAAAAGCATTCACCAGTCCATCGTTTATTGCGTACATTTGATCATTTCGGTAAAAAGATTTCTTATGGTTGATTTTCACAATGATTTGGCATCTTTACTAGCAATTAACTGGTGTTCTTGCTGTGCCTAAATGAACACATAAAAGTAAGAATGCATTGTGTCATACTTTTTGGTTAACCAGAAATTCATATGACACTGACATCATAACTAAAGCAATATGTTTCTTATTAATGTGTTCATTATAGTCATAGCATTGTGGATTAAGCGCATTGCAATCTTGTTCCTGGCTCTGTATAAAGACAGAGTTGGTTCGTAAGCAGTTCAATACTTTACTGGAGTAACTTTTGATAAGATTGTACACTGCAAAAACTAATATCTTGGTAAATTAAAATGACTCAAATGAAGAACATTTAACTTAATTTCTTTAGATTTGACTTAAAGTAATATTATCTACCAATGGATTTTTTTTTCTTGATTCAAGCAAATTAAGATTTAGTTTCTCAATTTAAGCCAAAGAGTTGTTATTTTTCTTAACAAGATGCATTTTTAAATTTTCAATTTTAAGTATCTCATGTGAAATTTACTCAAATCAGCATTTTCTTATTTTGAATCATTTAAACTTCACAAGATACAAGCAGACTGCAAAAACTATTGTAGTGTACGTTTTAGCATTTTTTAGACACTATATATTTATTCCTATGTATTTTGCAGTGTAACAGTACAGTCTTACTTAGTTTTGGTTACTCTTTCCACAATGAAACCCTAAATTAATTTATACTTGAATAATATTTTGTTATAACTTTTATTTTGTGACTATTCTACCACCTCTGCATATATTTTTGTATTGGCAACAGTGTTTTCAAATCTCCCATCAAGAAGCTAGTCCAAATCTCTCTGACAAACTATAACAAAATGGCCTCATCCATCCTCTCCCAAAACCACTCCTTTTAGATGATGGAAAATGTCAAAAGTTCACAGAAATCTAAGGAGGAAAATTCCCAAAGATACTGAGAAGATCCCACTAAGATTTCGGTTTTAAACTGTAGCAGATGTGTAGTCAAAAATATCATTGGTCTCAAAATCCACTGCCCAGAACTGAAAATGCAGTCATTGTTTCAGCGGATAATAGCAACACAATGCTATCACTCACTTCCCCGGTCTGTGTGTGTCCTTCCTGTGGGGCAGGTCAGGTGATCAAACAGGAAGTGAAGAGGAGGAAGTAGGTGGTGGGGTCTGGATACAGCCGGACATGGGTCAGATGGGGTTTAGGACGGTGATGACCAAAAGAGCATGGGTCAAATGTGGATGAAGAGTCAGGACAGTGCGTACAATGGAAGTTCAAAAGTGTTGCGTGATGGTCAAGGCTACAAATCAATTTAAAATGTTACCTGTAATGCCACAATTACATTCATTCATCATTTTGTACTCACTCCTTTTAAGGTTGTTTGGGCTTAGAGCCTACATCAGCAACTATTGGGCTTATCAGGGAACATTCTCGACAATAAATACAGTCATAGGTATGTATCACAGATACATAAATGGACAATTTTCACAAGGGGAAAATCATTTTCACCAACTCCAAATCTCCAATTAA